AGAACGTCAAAATGTTCCCCTTGAATTGATAGTGCCGGTATTACTAGCATCATCAACCGGGAGTGGGATAGAGGCAGCTTGAGAGCTAACAGTATCAAAATTTGATTGCCTCTCATAGTCAAATTCATCATACTCGCAAGACATGACTGAAACAAAAAAAAAACAGCATTTATAAGTACCAAATTAAGTGACAGATTCTACTAATAGTGAGCAATTAAGCATGCATTGTCTCATGTGACTGACATATGTGTACATTTTAAGTACTAACTTTAAGCCAACTTTAAGCCAATCATACAAGTATACATTTTAAGTACATACAAGTATACTAACTTTAAGTACTAACTTTAAGCAGAATAAGATTAGCAGAATGGGGACTTATTGAAGAAATTGTGTAGCTTCTAGATAATACAATTAAGCACCTAAGAGAAAACAAATATTGTAGTTAATTAGAGAAAATAAGTTAACTCAATGCAAATGCACATCTGTAGTGCTACAATAAGTAAAATGAACCAAATTAAGAAAACAGAAGTTGTTCCTTCAACAACAACAACACCAACAACAAAAAATAAAATAAAATTAATCCACTCTCAAAACAGATAGCATCAATGTAAATGCCAAAACTAATTCTCATTCAACAACACATCACAACATTTACTGATTACTATGGCCACTCTTCATTAGCATCCTGCTCACAGCTGCCAAAATACTCCTCGTCCTTCTACCACCCCCCTAATTCCTTATTCAACAGAAATGTCAATATATTTCGATAAGAATTCTCTAAAAGACTAGAAAGCTGCACTAGCTAAGTGAAACAAACGTGTCTACTCATTTGAGGTGAACCAGAGTAATCCTTCTCCCCTTCAAACCAATTAATCACATGAATTATGTTCACACAGACAAAACCGTAACCCGTTAATCGCATAAAAATTGCAACCAAATCAACCAACACAACACAACACAACCATAATTCAATTCCCCTCCCTGTGAAAATCAAGATCTAGCGACTATACATTGCAAAACAACCAACATAACACAACCATAATACAAATACCAAATCTACAAAAAAAAAATAAATTTACGTATAAAAAAAAAAATCACAAAATATACATTGCAAAACAAAAAATGAACAAAAGAACTAGAACTTTCAAAAAAAAAATCAGAAATTATAATTTACAAAATAATAAATGAAAAAACAAAACTTAGAAAAAATAATAGGAACTTAGAATGAGAATGAAAAATACAAATTCCTTATATCGTCTGTGAGTAGAGAATATGAAAGATCTACAAAAAAAAAGAAAAAAAAATTAAAATTAAAAAAAAAAAGGCAGATAAACTCATAAACCAGAATAAATAGAACTTATAAAAAACCAGAAAAATACCAGAAAAATTCGAAGTTTGAGAATATCCAGAAAAAAGATCTACAATAAACCAGAAAAAACAGAACTTAGAACAAAAAATAGGAAATTAGAAGTTTTCAACAAAAAAAAAAAATCGGAACTTAAAATGAGAATGAAAAATACAATACCTTATATTGTCGTGAGTACAATATGAGTATATGACAGATCTACAAAAAAAAAACAGAAATTAATCAATTCGGAATAAATGAACAAAAGAATTAGACCTTCCAAAAAAAAAATCTGATATTTTAAGACTAAATGAAAATATCAGATGAGGAAATGAGAGTTTCATAGGCGTGAGAACTGAGAATTTGAGAAAGCTTGAGAGATTCAGATGAAGAGGGAGATAGTTAGGGTTAGGAGGTTAGGAGAGAGAGAGAGATGTTTGAGAATATCAGAGAGATGAGGAAATGACAAATGAGGCGTGTGTGCTAGTGAGTTTTCTCTAGGTTTAGTTTTAGGTTTTACTTCTTCTCCTAATCTAACCGTCCATTTTTAATCTCAGCATCTCACCGTTCATTTTTTTTTTTGGTAGTAATAAAGTAATAAAGGTCTGGTTCCAGAATGTTCATGCAACATGCCAGCTTTATCAACGGTCTTATTTTTTTTTTTCGAGACTTTTTCCTTTTTTTATTAAAATATATTAATATATTATTATTATTATTTTTTTTTGAAAACTATTATTAATTATTTTATTATTTTGAGGTTACTATAATAATAATTATTATTATTATTATTATTATTTTGAGGTTATTATTATTATTATTAATAGTATTATTATTGTTATTATTATTATTATTATTGTTAGAATGTTAGTATAATTTTATGTTAATATTCTTTTTATAAGTATTATTATTATTATTAATATTATTATCATCATTATTATTATTATTATTATTAATATTACAATATTACTTATAAATTGTAAGAAACACAAATGAAACAAAATTGAAATTAATTCAATATGACATAATTAATGACTTAATGACGTTAATGTACATCAATATCTAACATCTCTATGTATAAGTGTATAACTATGTATATGAATATATCAGTGAGTCTGTGACTTTAAATATAATAAAATAATAACTTAATAAGTAATAAACTAATAACTAATAAGAGTATAAGACTAATAAAGTAATAAGTAATAACTAATAAGTAATAAGTAGTAACTAATAAAGTAATGAAATCTAACTGTTGTTTTTCATGGGCATTCAATCTAACCGTTGTATATTTGACCATTTGACTATTTGACTATCTGTACATTAGTATTGCTCTTACATAATGATTTCATCACCACTTTAGTGATTTCGTCATTTCGCCCATTTAACTTATCAAGTTGTTTGAATTAGTAATCTAAACAAAGTACCAAACTAATAATTCATTTAATCTCGTGTAAGTGTGTAACTTATAAATTATAAGAAATGCAAATGTTTGGAAATTGAAATTGATTCAATACGATATTGACATATTGTTAATGTATATGTATTATGTATATACTTATAAATTGTAAGAAACACAAATGAAACAAAATTGAATGAATTCAATATGACATAGCTAATGACTTAATGTACATTAATATCTAACATCTCTATGTATAACTATATATATGAATATATCTGTGAGTCTGTGACTTTAAATGTAATAAACTAATAACTTAATAAGTAATAAGAGTATAAGAATAAGTCTAATAAAGTAATAAGTAATAACTAATAAAGTAATGAGTAGTAACTAATAAAGTAATGAAATCTAACTGTTGTTTTTCATGGGCATTCAATCTAACCGTTGATTATTTGACTAATTGTACATTAGTATTGCATAATGATTTCATCACCACTTTAGTCATTATGTCATTTCGTCCATTTAACTTATCAAGTTGTTTGAGTTAGTAATCTAAATAAAGTACCAAACTAAATAAATAATCCATTTAATCTCGTGTAAGTGTGTAACTTATAAATTATAAGATATGCAAATGTTTGGAAATTGAAATTGATTCAATACGATATTGTTAATGTATATGTATTATGTATATCATATGGTAGTATGGTATGAATGTACGATTGGTATCATAGTATCATTGGCTCATTGCCTCATTGAATCATTGGTATGTAAGTAATTAAGTATGTAACTATGTACGTATAATCGATAAACACATATGTTAAAACTTAAAAATTTAAAACATTTGTTGATCGATCTAATTGAGTACTTGTACTTCCTTAATTATCGATTTATTGTATTCTAAGTATCAACTCATTAAATCATGGTCATGACGCGATCTTTAAAACAATCATGATTCATGAATTCATGACCCAAACCGCTTATAAACCGAACCGGCATGATCCGAACCGTTTATAAACCGAACCGACATTGGACTGGGTAAACCGCCCCTAAACCGGCCCATTTCAAACCGAACCGACATGATCCGTACCGTTTATAAACCGAACCAACAGTGACCAGGGTAAACCCGCCCCTAAACCGACCCGTTTCAAACCAAACCGGCATGATCCAAACTGTTTGTAAACCGAACCGTCATCAACCTGGGTAAACCCGCCCCCTAAACCGATCCGTTTCAAACTGAACCGGGGTGATCCGAATTGTTTATAAACCGACCCGCTTGTGACCCAAACCGAATTTAAACCGTAAAGAAATAAACCGAAACCGAACCGACCCGTGACTAACCGAAACCGAACTGAACCGACCCGTCAGCTAAATCAAATCGTTTCAACCCGAACCGCTCCAAACCGAAACCGACTCACACCGAGGTCAAACCGAACCGCCAAACCGAAGTCCCACCCCTAAGGGGGAGGGAAGGATCCACTTTTCCTCCTCCTTTAATAAAGGCCATCCCTTCAAAATTGGAGAGATTTGGAGGGAAAATGAAGCTCATTATTTCCTCCACTTTCCCTTCCTCCTATTTCCCTCCCTTCCATTTCCCTTCTAATGTGTTATCCAAACATAGCATTAATGAATAAAAGTTACCTGCCCATTATATTTAAAAGTCTGTCACAAGCAATAATAAAAATAAAAGTTAGCTAAATTGGTTTATTTTGACATATATGATGAGACTTGAAACCTAATGAACAATTCGATAGCAATTGTAAGGTCAAATTAATCCGACCTAACAGATGGATTTAATCGAAAATCATACAAAGTATATGGACTAATTGCGTTTTATTGTTGAAGGATCAAATCAATCAAAAGTTTAAGCTTATGGTTAAATCCCACGCACACCCTCACATGAAAAAGTCATTTAAAATTGAAATATGGGTGCGACATGGACCCCCTTATACCCGGCGTGAAATAGTTAACCTGAAAATAGAGAGTGAATGAGTTTTGAACCCGTGACCTACAAAGTCATGCAATGTGGACAATGAGGTAGAAAATTCGTAAAATTATACTCATCTATATTATTCTATTGAAAGGTGTGAAATTGTAAAATTTTGAGAATTGCTATGAACATGAGATTCTAAGAAGTTGCGTTAGTGTTTTATTCCCGTGATATCGATAGCCAGCGCAACAAGTCTAACCAAATAAGAGCTAAGAGGTTGCGATAGTGATTTATTCCCGTGATATCAATAGCCAGCGCAACAAGTCTAACCAAACAAGAGCTTGGCTCGATTCTATACCACTCCAAACAGCCAAAACCCAACCCAACCTAACAATTCGCAGTCAATAGGGTGAATAGTATTAGACTGTCCCTTGTTCTAATTTCCCACCTTTCCCAAGAATTTCACTTCCAAATTCAGATCCCAAACACTCTCTTTACAACTAGAAGATGTTCAAGGTGATCGGAAAACTTCTGGGCAAAGCTCCATTTCTACAGGCAGCTCCAAAACCTAATTTTATCTCGTCATCTGTTCATGAATTCCAGTGTAGTAGAGGTAATTTAATGATGTATTTTGGTAAATTATTGATTTTTTTCCCTTTTTATGAAATGGGTTTTTTCATTACGTGAAATTAAGATGATGATTGTGAAATTTGAGAATCAATTTGAATGTTGGATTCTGTGGTTTGTGGGTTTTCACCATTTTGTTTTATTGCCCACCAACTGTTTGTTAAAATGCTGCTTCTATCTAGTACATAAAAGCCTAGCTTAAAATTGCTGAAATGCTCAAAATATGATTGTGTTTTTAGGTTGTATAATTCGTTTATGTTTGATCATTGATTTGTTATCTGGGTTATTTTGTACTATATTGATATGTTAATCTTCCTATTAATTGTCAATGAGACATTCTTAAGCAGTTAAGCCCATGAAATTTTTGGATACTATTTGCTGTTTAATTAAAGAAAGGTGCAACTTTTTTTGGGGGGGTGTTAGTTTGAATGAGTAGTACTTAATAACTTGAATGCTTAGAGTGTGTGCGCATGGATATTTGATTGGAAACTAGGGCATTTTTGGGCTCACTGTTCTTATTACAATATTGCATTGTGATTGAGATGAGACGAGGACAATATGTTTTGTGAAGTGCATTGTTTGAAGTTTTGGAGCTTTTGTTAGAAGAAGTTAGGTCTACCACGGTAGGGGGCAACATGGTGTGATAGTGAATGTCTAAGCCAAGATAATCATGACTTTTTAAGGTAGGGAATTCAAGAAATTTCGAAAAACCCAACTCGCATGTTCTTCCTTGTTCGTGTTAATAGTTGTTATTGGAGAACTGTGAATTCAGTCTTTGGGGCAGGGGGTCATGTAATTTTTAGCTATAACATGTAATCTGAAATGGTTATGCATGGTGAACTGTTTAGTCCAAGAACGTGTTGTGATTGGTTGTTGCTCTAGGGGTTAGTGTACTCTTGTGATTGGTTGTTGATCATCTACTTATCTAACTACTGCTCAGTGCTAAACTTCTTCAGAAATATTTGTTGTATATGTATGCTTCTTGCTATAATTTTAGTGCTTGTTTGGTTAGACATAGGAAGTAAAATTGCCTTGGAAGATGCTTTTTCATGTACTTTTGATTCCTAGGAGTAGCTATGTTTCGTCTGGTTGATCATAGGAAAATTTACTTCCCATGGGAAAATCCACTTACGTAGGGGGGGGGGGGGGCTGGGTATGTAAATTTTCATTTCGTGGGTAGTATGAAGTGCAACTTCCCATAGTTTTTTCTAACCAAACAACCTTATCTTCTCCCACTTCGTAGGAGTACTTACGTCCCATGAATTTTGATGGCAACCGAACAATCACTTAGTTTCTTCATTGATAGATGACAAGTATTTCTATTTTACTGCTACTGTGCACCTCCAATTAAATAAAAGTGTGTAATATAACAGAGCTTCTCTATTAGACTATTAGTATTGGCTATAATTTATAACCGGATTCAGAATTCGGCTTCACACAGTTTTTGATTGTTGTTTAGATGACACTTGACTGGTGAATAATAATTATCAGTTTCCCTATTACTCTTTCATTATATGGTTGGATGATTGATTAGGGGATCAATGGTAGGTCTGGCTTTTGTGCTGTTTGATTGCAAAAAGAGATTATACTCGGTTATGTTATTCTATACCTTGTTTAATGGTTTGCTTGTTATACTAATACCAATCATGATCGGTGATACGGATGTAAGAAGTTCTCTTGATGATTGGTACTATTTACTGAGGATTTTTTTTTTTTTTTTTTTCCTTGTAGGCTTTTCTACTGGAGTAGGCGCATATGTTGGTGACAAGCGAAACATACTGGACTACCATCGTAGACAGCTAGCATCTAAGTACGAGCTGAGGAGAAAGCTGTACAAAGCACTGTGCAGAGATCCTGAGCTTCCTCTAAGCATGAAAGACAAATTTCGTTACAAACTGGCCAAACTGCCAAGAAACAGTGCCTTCAATCGATTGAAGAACCGTTGTATCTTCACCGGGCGTTCTCGAGCTGTGTACGAGAAATTCCGGATGTCTCGTATTGTTTTCCGTGAGTTGGCATCTCAAGGCCAATTGCAGGGTGTAAAGAAAGCATCCTGGTAACCATCAGATGTTCCAATTAAACAATTTTGGAAAACACCTGCTTTGCTTTTGAGTTTCTATAATCAGCAGTGTACAACTGATCTCTTGTTATGCCTTCTTTTTCTTTATCTTCATTACAATAGCTTCATGCTTGGGGTGATAAATTTATATTGTTGTTTAGTTGATGAACTATAGCCGCTCTATTCATGGTCCGGTGAAGCAATTCTTTCTACGAATGTCAATTAATATGACAACACAGACAAACAAATATACAGCTTGAAGGTGTACATCATCTCCAATATTTTGATGCTTAGTTACAGGGTTGTGTAACTTGTGTTGGCTACTTAAAAACAGAGAAGAAAAACAAAAATGGCAGAACAAGGGCCAGTTTAAATAAGGAAGTACAAGTTTATGCTAAAAAACATACCCTGTCTCATAATATAGTTCTTGTTTTCCTATTTTGGATTTCCAAAATGTTTTTTCTGTTTCTATATTCGGATAATATGTAAGGTTTATTACACCCTCACTTTTCAATGTACTTTCTAACTTACCCTTGAATTTTATTCAATGTACTTTCTAACTTACTCTTGAATTTTGCACATGCTTTGCTTTGTACTTTTTCTCTTTTTTTTCCTCTAACTTTTGTTTATGATTGTACTTTTCACTTTTGTTAATATACTTCATCCACTTTTTCCTCCTATTTCCTAAATACGGTAAAAAAAAACACAAACAAGAACTATATTATGGGACAGAAGGAGTACATGAACATTGAAATTTCCGTTCACATATTTGCGTAGGCATAGTTATATTGCTCGTATTAAAGTTAAAAACCAAAGTACATACAAGTATACAACATAATCACGAACTGCGTATTCCAGTAATGCAATTCTCACGAAATTCTGGTTCCCAAGGTTTTAATCAGCAATGACTCAATAAAAGCAAATTGCACAAACAATTGCATCTTAGTTGAGACATTATTCCTCATTCAGCTGTAACAAAAACATATGCTAATTTCCAAATCAATACAAGAACAAATTATACAAGAATGAAATGATATTATTGGTTAGAGCAAGCAGTGGCTCAGTTTATTCAATTTACTCCCCATGATCATTCAAAATCTGTAGTCAGTTTTCTGAAATCGCTCAGAGCAGAACTTGCTGCGTACAGCGCCATCTTTTTCACCTAGGAAAAAAAATGAGCAGAAAATCAGGTTCACCATCTGACAGTACAGGTGACATGAAGAGAGATGCGAATCAGTAGATCGCAGTAAAGTTAGTGATTCAAACACAAACTTTACTTTCGGAGATATGCACATTGAGAGTGACAGCGGAATAGGCAAGCATTGCATTTTTGCAGATCATTACAGGTATCCCATTAGAAGGCTTAAATTACAATCATAAGAAATGCGGATGAACTATCCCATTTGGCAGTTCCCACCTCAAAAGTGATAAGGATTTATGATATTCCAAATTTGAGGAATGCATCATGATTCAATTTGTCAAGGTAGAAATTTTGCCTCTACCATAATATCAGAGCTCTAAAACATAGATAAATGTGACAGGATTAGCTTATAAGAAAGAGAGATCACATTCACAAACCTCCAATTTGTCCTCTTTAGATCTGTGGTTTTTGGGGAGCAAGCGAAACTCATCTGTCAATCGAATGCATTCTTGAACATTCTCCGGGGATACAAAGTCAAGGGCCACTTTAATGCAAGACTGAAAAAAGTGATAACATTTTGGTAAGGTAACAGTTCTTGACATGGAAATGATCATAAAAGATGCAAGATGCTTTGTCCACACCACATTGCTTGAATACAAATTCATGTTTCTCAAGGTGATAGAAAGATCTAATTTAGACCAGCTCCGTAAGAAACTTTAAAACGACAAAAGTAAACTACTCCGAATAAACTAAGCTTCACAGAAGACAGATAAGTTTACAAAGCGGCAATAGTTAACCAAAATGAATAATTCTGGCCTTTATTCACCCCTCCCCCAATTTTTTGGTGAAAAAAGGGGGAGGGAGTACAGGGTAAAATGACGAGACTAAATCAAGATGGATAAGAGTCTCCCTGAAACAACAGACGCACTGTATTAATGACATTAAGCTTCATGAAATGTGGGATAAAATGGCAGGGGTTAGAAAGAGGGGTTCATCATAAATGTTGGAAGTAAATAAGAGTTTCACAGGAAAAATACTACTCAGGAAGTGTGGCACCTTCTCAAAATGAGTGCAAGTACATCATGCCTCTATCCAAGGCAGCTTACCAAAAGCACCCCGCCCCATACGACTAGTTGGGGGGGCTGTTCGCCTTTTGAATAAAACAAAGTAAGTAGTAAGGTAGCGTAAGCTACTTTCATTCTAAAGGAAACCGAAGAAGCAACCTTTAGTCAATAGGAGCCCTACTTTCCACACCCATTCCCCGGGCAGGCCATGGCGAAGACATAGTGTGAAGCTCAGTCGTAGGTGCATGAATCTGAGAACTGAGATACGTATCTTAGGGAATAGGGAAATGAGTTGTCTCACTATTGATATATATGGACGGCAAGAAACTAGCCGCTTGAAAAGGGAAGAAAAAGTTACATGGACTACTAGTGAATAACAGATACTTTGTATTATCCCTTGTCTATAAAGGGTACTGGCTCGAAGACAGAAGCACTCGAACGTGATGAACTTATTGATCTATCACTTGCCATTTGAAAGAATCCTTCCTCCTTACCTTTAAGTAAGCACAATGGTGCAAGGATGCTAAAGGAAAGGGGTTAGCCCAACATGAATAAGGGCTCTACGACGGAAACTATGTCAAGAAGGTGGAACTAGGAATAAGAACAGGGACCCACGTCGAGCCATCCTGACGGACGAGCAGCATCAATTGAATCGGCAGACACAAAGACGAATAACAAGAAAGAGGGAACTGATTCCTCAGATTTCCAGGGTTAATAGGCGAGTCAGGGGAGGTTGAATCAGAATAAGAGTTAGCGGGGGATAGACCAAAGGAATGGATTAAATATAGTTAGTAGAAATGGAACCTCGAATGCAAGTTCTGAGGGAGAAGACAGGAAGGAAGTTTCATTTTGCTTTGTCAGCAAACCAGCAGCAATCCGCTTAAAAGCCAGTAGCACGATAGTACTTCCGCGGTCCTTGAGAAGTCCTTTAGGAGCACTTTTTTCATCCAACTAGAAATGGAAATTCAAATTAGATTACTAGATCTTGCACCTTAAGGTATACTTTCATAAAGTGTAATAAATCAAAGTATTTTGGACCGCCGACGAATAATAGGTACCCTCACCCCAGGCAGAGTTAGTGAGCCGAATGAGGGGAATGTTTTTGCTAAAATGCTTCCTGGCTTGAAGCTGGGAGATTATCCTCTACCTTCTTTCAGGCTCACTCTAACAGTTCCTTCCTACCTTTGACCGATATGCCCTTAGGCACGGCCATACATTAGGAGAAGGTGACTGAGCTGACCGGAACTGTGACTGGCTTCCCTCACAACCTAGCATGAATTTCGTTCCTCCCTCCTACTCCTCGTCCATTAAACAATAGAAGTTGTCCTTCAAAGAGGCTATTCAAAGAGGGGATTGGTGCAAAGACCTTCTTTGTCCTTTCCTAATCGCCTTCGGTAGAACGTGGGTCTCCAAAACCCGATGTCGTAGGTTCAAATCCTACAGAGAGGACTGCAAATCCTTGTTCCCCAGTTCAAATCCCTTTCAGCTCGTACTGCTCACACTCCTAGATCTTCACGGCACCTTTGTGCCTTTCATCTTACGCTACTTCGGGCTTACTTGCCTCTGTTAATGAATTAAAGGTCAGAAAGTTATGCATTCGTATTTCCGTCTCATATATGATGCTTCCCCCTTCAAGAGCTGGGCTACTACCCTAATAAAGTTCTTCCTAGCGTATAGTATTGGTTCAAGGAGATTCTTTATGTACCTGACTGTTCAGTGGTCGCTGTCGCTTGATTCTCGGGAAATCTTGAGTATCTTGAAGCTATATCAGACCACCGCTCTCATCTATCGAGAATAGGTCTCTCGCCCCTATCCAGTGAAGCTGCGGGTTCTTGATCGGTCGAATCGATTCGATCGCCATGTTTCTGAGATTCTTCTAAATGCCCTTTCTCTTTCGTTAATGGTTAAAAGGTAGGCGGCTTAGGGAAAACCCTGCGGATATCGATTCCGCCTTGAATAAGTTCCAAGGGCCAATTGCAGCTGTCAACCGGTATCGGTACACCAACGAATCTTTGGGAAGGGGGAAAGCTTGCTTGCTGTAGCCCTTTTTTAGTAGACTAGGCTTAGTAAGCGTAAGCTATTTAAGTAGGCTCGCAGCTTCGCCAGAAGCGACGAAGGGGGGCTGGGGAAGAAGGCCGACGACTACATGAGAGGGAAGCTGTCTACGAAGCTTTGCCCCTTGCTTTACAGAGATTGTTATGAACTGACTAAATGACTAGATTCCCCCGGAACGCTAGCTAAGCTAATAGTATTAGTTTCTCAATAAGCTTATTGATTGATTCAGCGAACAAATCGCCTCCTTCTTAGAACCCATTGAGGAGGGCCTCAGCCCAGGGAGGGGAGAGTGGCCGAGTGGTTAAAAGCGACAGACTGAGCCATGAGAAGGAACGCTAGCTAGATTCTTAACACACACATGCAAGTCGGACGGGGGGAAGAAGCGGGGTAGAGTAATTGGAAAACTCATCAGGCTCATTGTTGTGAATGAACAAGATATTGAGGAATTGTCTATACGTAAAATCAGAATTATTGATACGGGCCTTCTGTCCAGGTGCAGGTAGTCCGCATCTTCACAGACATGTCTATTTCACCGAGCCTCTCTCCGAGACAGTGCAAGGTGCCAATCAAAGGTGGCAGCAAGAGAAAGAAGAAGTAAAACAGAAGCCATAAGGGTTTATTCGATCCAATCGTACCACGTAATCTTTTAAAAGGCGTTCTAAGTGAGTTATTTCAGCTGCATGCTTTTTTTCCTATGAATCTTTGTGTACAAACTCCTTATGAATTCGCTTTACGGAAGGTTTGGTATTAATCCCAAAAGCATGAAGACTATTATCGGTGATATAGGTTTCGAGAGCATTCCGCCAGTTTTTGGCGACTTTCACTTTCAACCCGATTCACCGCCTACGTGCCCTTTACGCCCAGTCATTCCGAAGAACACAGGGCTATTTCCCACTCTTCGCTCATCCATTCTGCCCGCTCGTCCAGACGCGGCGCCCTTTCTCATTATCATCTACCGCCGCTATCACCCCAATAAAAAAAATATTCTTGTGATAGGTCCTGTTCCTGGGCAAAAATATAGTGAAATTACCTTTCCTATTCTTTCTCCAGACCCTGCTACTAAGAAAGACGTTTACTTCTTAAAATATCCGATATATGTAGGTGGTAACAGGGGAAGGGGTCAGATTTATCCTGACGGAAGCAAGAGTAATAATACAGTTTATAATGCCACAACAGCAGGTATAGTAAAGAAAATTGTACGAAAAGAAAAGGTCGGATACGAAATAAACATAGCGGATGCCTCGGACGGACGTGAGAGATCGGATATCGGACCCGCTTCCAATCCGGAATCTCGTAGATTAAGTTCTTCTTTCATTCCTTTTGTTCAAATGCTTTCCCTTGGCTTCGGTAACTCTTGTTGCCAAAGCTCAAAACAATCCCAAATTATCAATATCCTATCATAAACTTTTAGCCATAGTTTTGTATACCTTTGGGTACCAAATGACACAATTCTATGACGCTACAGTGTAGGTAGACTGAAACCAACATCTTTCTTTGCCTAAATCAAATTCTTCTCTTTTCACTGTGATTCCCTTTAAAGTCTAGCATGACCATTGAGAGATCTTCAAGTTTAAGAATTTCTATGTTCAACCATCAAGCAACTATATGTCTACATCAAACCCTAAGGTCTGTAAATATGAAGAATTCACCATTGGACAGAAAAAAAATTACATGATGATGTATCAATCCAACAAATACAATAAATAAACACAAAAGTTTATGTTGAGACTGAGAATCAAATGAGACCAAACAGTGTGAAGAACTGGAAACTTTAGAAGTAAAATGATACTAGAAATTACAACCAAATTTTTGAGGAAACTTACTAATCTATTTCTCACTTGATGGGGACATCCAGCAGGTATAAAAACAGCCTCACCCAAGTGTTGTTCAAATGTCCAAGGTTCCACACCTGCAACATATTCTGTTTAAAATTCCTAAAAATTTAATGAAAATAGTAATACATACACCAAAATAACTAGGCAATTCTTACCAAACTCGTCTTTCAGCTGTTTCTTATGGATTTCAGTCATATAGAAAGTCTGGTCATGAATAGGATGGACAGCCTAGGGTAAATGGAGTCCATCAAAATAAAAGGGGTTAATGTTGCTAACAATAATATCTAGTTGAATAATCAAACAGGTGTACAGTCCAATGAGTCGATATGACCTACTGATTTCACAGGAAGATTGTTAATGTGGTTAAATTCTCGCTGATGCCTTTTTAGATAATCAAGAAGTTTTGGGACATCTTCTCTTCTAAAAATATCCCAGATAGCACCTTCACTGACTTTATTTTCATCAAAATCAGGGTTTTTAGACAATAAATCATGCTCTCCACCAGAGCATGAAGCCTCCAAAGAATTATTAGCACTTCTTACAGCACCAGGTCCATCAACAGAGGGAAACTCTTTAGCAGCAGAATGGTTCAGGATAGCATCAGAGTTTTCATTAGTTTCACTGTCATGTTTATCCGCAGATACTGATGTTTCTGGAAAATGGCAGATGGTGCTTACAGAGCCATCTCCATCAACAGAGGGAAACTCATTGGCAGCAGAGCAGTTCAGGCCAGCACCAGAGTTTTCTTTCGTTTCATTGTCACATTTATCTGAAGACACTGATGTCTCTGAAAAATGGCTGAGTGTGCTTTCAGCACCAGCTCCATCAGTACAAGGTTTGGCATCAGAAAAGTTGACGGCAACATCTAAATTTTCTTTAGTTTCAGTGTCACTTTTATCTACAGTTACGGAACCTTCAGTTTCATAAGTCTTTTGCAACTTGTGTATGACCTGCTGCTGAAATGAGCTAACATCAACCTTTGTTGTGTGCATCAACACATTAACCTAAAGAAAGAGCAGCAGTAGACAGTAGTCAAGACCAATAGCATGCTCATTTCTCAATGCATGTGAGCTCAAAAACAGAATAACGTGCAAATGAAAATCAGTGCATTTATAATTTTCTTTGGGGGAGGAAGCAGAAAATAACTCATACCGCATCAGATATATCACAGTGCAGTTTTGTCATAGAATCACCTCTACCAAGCTCTTCTTCATAACCATATGCAATGTATGTTTTTGGTCCCAAATCTGGCTTTGGCACGCCATCTGGAAGTTTGGTAACAAGATTGAGGATACCACATTCAGGATGAGTGTAGTCGCTATATGGAAGCATCATGATATATTCAGCAAAGTGCCTTGGCAAGCATTCTTCAAATGAATTTGAAGCAGGCCAATCCTTCAGTTTTAAAATTTCTGGCCAACCATTACTATGATTCCGACCATGCAAATAGCCCTTGAAAAAGTGATAGATATCAATCTCTACCTGCAAAAGGAAAATGACTTTTTCATATGTATCTGGCCTTCTATTCTTGAAGAAACATGTAATTCTTCCCCAGAGCAGGATTGCGACTAAACAACAGGTTCAGTAAAATCCTAATAACATATACAGAGAATTTATAAATTCTAGAGGGGGGGGGGGGGGGGGGGGGGGGGGGGGGGGGGGGGGGGGGGGGGGGGGGGAGAGAAAAAAACTGCAAATTCCATTCACCCAGAAGCAGTTACAATACTTCCAGTCAATATAAGGTAGCAATGTGAAACTTCAAAACATAAAGACCAAAGAAATTAGTGACTGAAAACTGGATTTTTATTTCTGCTGTTCTAATACTCCCTCCGCCCCTTTTGATAGTCCCTTATGGGAATTTTTCACGGGAATTAATAAACGCAAAAAAGAATAGTTAAAGTACATTGAAAAAGTAAATTGACATTGGGTATGCAAAAAAGTAGAGAGAGAAAGTAATAAAAGTACATGGGAAAACAAAATTTACATGGGAAAGTTAAATTTGCTCAAATATTGTTGCAAATTGGAGGAAATTTTGATAAAAAATTAATATTAATAGTTGTTGGGTGAACATTTTGGGACTAAAATTTGTCCATAAGGGACTATCAAACGGGGACGGAGGGAGTATCTGTAAAGAAAATTGAGATTATAATTCTGAAAGAACACAACATTACTATCCAGTAGACAAAATATGATACCAATTCTCCCCACAAGAAGACAGGAGATAGTAAACTTAATACTAGTTTAAGACACAAATGACTTGCTTAGAGGGTAACAAAGGATAATACATACCAATAGACAAAGTAAAGTACCGTTTAACATTTCCAAATTCTGAAATAAATAGATAAGTCTATCACACATAGCAAGTTCAGAATCCAAACGCATACCTTGAAAGCCTAGCACGTACCTCACACCAGTCCAAACAATCAATGGCCTTAACATTAAGTGTATCCTCCTTCATTATCTTTTTGGCTCCTCTGAAAGCCCTCCACATCACCATTGGCTCCCAACTCAGACCAGATCCTTCTTTCAATACATCTCTAACAATCACAGGTTCACCTCGTGTCCAATGCCTTTGAAAATGATCAATATTAAGTTCATTCATACTTGAAACACTCGGACAGTATAGAAAGTTATCACGGATATTCAGCCTTGAAGCTGCCTTTCTTCTTTCAGAGGTAGTACTTTGAGCATCTGAAGCAGTGGGGAGGCAGATGAGACATTCCTGACTAGAATCTGTCTCTGGCACATAATAATCAATAGTGACCTTATCAATGCTTTCAATCACTGTGTCCACCCAATTAAGTTCAAGGACACGTCTCAGTTCAAGTACGTGAAGTCCACAACCACCATGTCCTTTCTGAGGACAAAGAATACTATCATTTATGTTCATGCTCCCACAACCTGTAGGGGGTAAATAATTGCCAACAGCAAACACTTCACTGTCCCCCATCTTATCAGCATCATGTTTCTGGCTGTTTCCCGTTATATCATGATTCAAGGAACCTCCTGTAGATTGACATGAAGATCCAGCTTCAAGGTCATCAGCCCTTAAACCTGATCTCAATTCTTGACAACAGGATATACAGAGATCATAAGAGCAAACAGAATTGGGGCAGCTTCTGTGGAAATTTACAATGGATGTGTTGCAATTATCACTGTTGAATAAGAATAATGTTAAGGTCCAAGTGCTTGGCATAATTCTACATTTTTTCTACTATCTGACAGAAAGAATCTTCATAGGGGAGGAATAATGTTAAGGTCCAAGTGCATGGCATAATTCTTCATAATTCTACATTATTTCTACTATCTGATATAATTTTCTCTAAGAAACTCAGCAAGAGTAACTAATACCACTTTTCGGGTTCAAACTCATAGCCCTGATAATTTCACAAGTCAATATTGCAATATAGATGCATATTGCATATTCATACACCCAGTCACCCTGCCCAGGAAGTCCACTTTGCAAGTTGCAAACACTAGATGTTTTGATTCTAACAATCAGAATTATGGGCACATACCAGTATATCCGATCATCTTGATCAAATCTAGTCTTCATTATATCCTCTTCTTTAATTGGTTTGCCTACCAAAAAAAGGAAGTAAAATACAAGGTTAAGGCTCTACCTAGAATAAGCAACAGTTTAAAAAAAAAAAAAAAATGTAGTCCACTATGACATCAAAAGTCGTTAAATGTTTATATCCTAATTCTAGTGCTATAAACAGCCAAGTTTTAATCATTCATTAATATAACTATATTTTCTATATACATCAAACAAGATTGCGCACCAAGTATTCTAGCTTCCACTTCCAGCTCAGCTCTCTGCTCCTCTTGTATGCTTTTTAGAATGGGGTTGATTTTGCACATCAAGTACAAAAGCCTATCTAACTTGACCTTTCTATCAATGTCTTTCTGTCTGTCCTGAAAACATAAAATTTATCAAGCATCCAATTCCAATGCATCAAGAGTAGCAAACATCAAACAAAGCAAAAAACAGGCACCAGAACCTTCATAACTAGCTTCTCCTGGAGGCATATTTTGCAATTGCAATTCCCGCGACAAAAAGGGCACGCCTCCCGTACTTCCTCCTTTGTTCTTTCAGGATACCTGATCCATTACGCTAGTTTTGAGACCAAACATTTATCTTGCTGAAGCATGATGATAAAGGGAAAAAAAAACTTCGTGGTGTAAATGATAGTTCATAGTAATGACGTCTAAACAGGATAACAAATATACCTCAAATTCCAAGTAGATGAAAGAGCATGTCTTTTACAGTATTTACTATTTATGTATGGAGTATAATTTTAAATTCACTAGAAACGATGCTGTTTTAGTATATTACCACTTTTTAAGGCATGGGAAACAATAACGTCTCTTTTTGCAGAATGAGCAAGCAATGATATCATTCTTTTCGCATCTGCACTGGTGACACCTTGAACTGGGCTCTCTTCTTCTAGAACCAGCGACAACCTGAACAAACAATCTGATGAGAGTGGCAAACATAACTTAAACATGACATTAAAAAATATAATCACAAAAGCTACTTTGCAGCTTATGAACAACAATCCAGCCAAGCATCACCATCTTCTCTTTCTTTTGGGAGGACTGCAAAGATATGGGAAGAAATAAATGAATTTATAGCATCTTTTTTTTGTCTTGCTACTCCTACATGATTGTACATAGTCTGAAAATCTTTTCCTAGATATAAGCAATAAGCAGGCTCTGAAATGGTATATTTGGTCATTCAAAGTAAGCAGGACACTTCATCCAACACACAAATGACACCAAAAAATTCATAACAATGACTGAACACTTCCCACATTTCTGTTAATTAGTTTTTTTAGGAATTGAAAATTGGTCGATCAAACTTATTAATGGATCCATCAAATATGGAGTACCATAGAGCACAAGGCCGATACACACTAAAGTAAATAAGTGTTATTTGATTCCATCCAGAAATCTATTTTCTTCCCTATGAGTTAAAGGCAGATAAATACATATACTAGCTTTAAATCTGGCATTGTAGCACTCAAGAAATGTCAAAACCAAGAATAAAGCAAGCAATGTCAGGGCTATACATGAGTCCATTTTTCCATGACTAACATAAGTGAGATTTGACACATAAAAGATTATTAATAGTGTGAATCAGCTCCAACATTCAGATAAATATCATTATTTATTAGTTTACCTAGCTTCTTGTAAACTATGTACAGAGACTGCAAATCTAGTCAGTGAAAATATAAAATTTATAATCTAAAGCTGCCACTCTGAAGATGAAGTTTTGTCATCACCAGCTTATTACTTTCTTCCAGTTCTTATCACAATCATCAAAGAACTGATTGTCAATCTCAAAAAAGCTTTACCTCAGGCATATTTCTCGCTCTCAACTGGTAGTTAGAGGCCTTTATCTGAGGTTTCTGCTCTCCAATTGCTGATTCAAGTAGCATTTCAGCACCATCCACCTTTTCAATTCCACAATGTCGCGGTAAGTCCACAAGTCCCATGTCCTTTTGCACAACCAAGCCTCTTCCTCCAGGTAGTGAGCTAATAACTTTGGGAAGCACTCCATCAACAAGAATTACCCTTTTGTTTTTCAAACCTCTAGGCCGTCCACGCTTCTTCTTTCTCCGGCGTACTCTTGAACCAACATGATCAGCAGGCTCATTCCTCACAACCTGCACAGCTTCACCACCTGCCTCACCCACTTGTTCTGCACTTTCTTCACAACCAGCAGGCTCATTTCTCACAACCTGCAATACTTCACCACCTGCCTCACTCACCTGTTCTGCACCTCCTTCTCCACAAACCCTTCCCCTCCTACCAATCTTCCTCTTCTTCTTTGTGGAACCCTTAGGCCGCCCCCGCCCACGCTTCACTACCTTCTCCCCTTCCTCTTCCACCACCTCAGCAACCATAACCACCTCCTCTTCCTCATTTTTCGACCCTCTAGAACGCTCACGCCTCTCAACCTTCTTCTCCAATCCCTCTTCCTCCACCTTAGCAACCACAATCACCTTCTTCCTTCTCAACTTCAACCCCTTAACCCGGCCTCGCTTCACCACCGTCTCTTCCACTTTCCCTCCAACCTCCTCCCCCGGAAAATCCTGAATCACATTCTTTTTCCGCCTTTTCGAACCTTTCAAACTCACCAATGCACAACCCCCATCATCAATTCCTTCCCCACTAACCACCACTCCACCATTCTTCCCCATTTTCGGCTTATTCTTCACACCCTTTGGCCGCCCTCGCTTCCTCTTAGGCATGATCACCTCCTCTCTAACACTAGGCACTTCTTCATCACCCAAACCCTCATCAGTTCCTTCTTCAAAACCCTGAATTCTGTTCTGATCATCTTCTTCACTATCAGACTCAAACAATTGCCTAACCCTCTTCCCAATATCATCATTTCCACCAAAATTCACACCCATTTCATCAAATTTCTTACCATCATTTTGATCAACAATTTGATCATCCCTTAATTGTTCTTGGTTTTCAACCACCATTTTCTTGTTCTTGTTCTTAGACCCTTTGGGTCGACCCCTTTTCCTTTTTTGCCCCTGACCCACCATTTCTTTGCCTCCAATTTCATCAATTCCATGAAAATTCTCTGCCATTTTTTTTTCCTGCAATTTTTTCAATCTTTCTCTCTTCGAACACTTCACTAAACAGAATTTCCTGTTTATTACTCTTCTCATCACTACAAACAGAAGCTATAAAGTCATTTTGAACCCCCAATCCACGAATTCCGCCACCCGATTCATCAAGGGTAATATAGTAATTTCCCTCAAAACCACCATTCAATGCCGGTTCAGCTACCCTCTCAACCGTTTCCTTAAACCCCGTACTTAAGTCACCAAGGACAATATTGTCTTTTCGGCTTCCGACTACATCTCCCTCATTCGAATCAACCCTCGGTTCACCAAGGGCAAAATAGTCATTTCCAACAGCGCCGCCATTAAATACCGGTTCAGCCTCCCTCCCTCCCACTTCCTTAATATCCATCTCACCCAATTTACTAAGGATAATATCGTCATTTCCGGCCCCAAATACAATTCTAACCTCTGAACCGATCCTCGGTTCACAGAGGGTAATATTGTCATTTCCAGTTGAGCCACCATTAAACACCGGTTCAAACCCCCTTTCCTTATAACCCATCCCACCCAATTCACTAAGGATAACATTGTCATTTCCGTCTTTCATATCGATCCTCGGTAAACTCGCTTCACCACCGGTCCAACCCGGCATAAATTGAGACCCAAAACTACCCTCACCACCACCTCTTCCAAGGGTGTTTAAGTAACTTCCTACACACACTTCACCAAGGGCAATACCGTCATTTCTACCAAAACCCGGTTCACTCCGACTCGAATCCCCCTGAAAATCAAAATCAATAACCGGTCGATACGGCTCAACAGCAGATAAAGAAGCGGACACAGAATCTCCATTACTCATTCTCTCTCCTCCCGGAAAACTTCTCCGGCGGTGATTCTCGCCGGAGATTCCCTTCCTCCCTTCTAACGGAAAACTTTTCCGGCGAAGTTGCCGGGAAACGCTGAGAATATAGTGCTTCTGACAATAAGATCTTCCAGGAATAGCTCTTTCACGGCACCTCCAATTAGGGGTACCCGTTCTCCGGCATCTTTCGCCGTCTTCCGGCGCCGGAATCTCCATTTTCTCTCTCCTCTTTCTCAATTGTAAGAATGTGAAAATGGGTTTTGGGGGTGATGATTTTAACGAGGGAAGTGAGATAAAATGAGTAAATGTGAGAGATTTTTGAAAGAAAGAAAGAAAAGATTTTGATTTTGATATTTCAATTGAAAAGATTGAATATCATTTTGTGTATCAGCATTGATTTGGGTCCTCACTGTTCTTTTGCTACTGACAACTGATGATTTTATTGTATCGAATTTAAGGACCTCATTTTTTTCTTTTTTCTTTTTCCTTTTTCTTTTTTTTTCAGTTTTTTCTTTTTCTTTTTTAGGATTCTTCGAAAAAGACAGGATATATTATAAAAATAAAAAAATAATAAGTGTTAGTGATAGTTTATCTGTTTTTAATTTGACTTTTGCAATATTTTGATCATGTTTTACTTATGGTAGTGGCTCTGTTTTTTTTTTTTTTTTATTATTATTATTTGCATCACTTGATAATATACAAAATTTTAGGAGAGTAATAAAATTTCGTAAGTAGATGAATAAATTATTATAGTAACCATGAAAAGGTATGTGAGAGAAGAAGGATATTCTTATTAGAGGGGACAATGAAAGAAAAAAAATGATAATCCGTAAAATAATTTGAGTGGAGTATAAAGTAAGAGATAATGATAAAGCACAGCACAAAGTTACCAAATACTCCGTATAAAAGTGATGCATTTACAAAAAAATCACCCATAAAAGGAAAGTGATGCAATTAAAAAAAAACGGGGGAGTATGTTTATCTCACCACATCAGTTTTCAACTAAGGTTTAAATTATTTTTTTAATTATAAAAATTGTACTTGTTTTTATCCACTTTTAACCCATTATATCAAGACTCACCTCAGATTCACTATTTATATATCCATTTCTTTTATAAAACTCAACAACTTTTTTTAGTTGATGAGTTGGCAGCTCCTAATGGCCCAAAAAAAAAAAACAAATTGTGTTTTTTGTGAATTTTAGAGTCTAAAGATGAGTTTGATTGTAGAGTCTTAACTCTTAAGATGATTTAAGACTCCTTATAATCTTGCGCCACTTTATATTGCAAAAAAACATATAGTCTTGTATGTAAGTCACCAATAAACTCTCTTATATTGAGTATCAAGACTCACCAATAAACTCACTCTTATATTGAGTACGGGCTTGTTCTCTTCAGCTTGATTTCAGTTCAGCTTCAATCAGTTCAGTTTAGTTCTTAATTTCCTTCTCTCATAAACAATTCATTTCAGCCTTATTCAAGTTCAGTTCAGTTAAGTTGTTTTAAATAAATCAGAACATACCCTACATATATTAAACAAATGTTCTAGCTTAATTCCAGTTTGGTTTTCAATTAGTTCCATTCCTAATTTCCTTCTCCCATAAACAATTCATTTCAACTCTATTCAATTCAGTTCAGTCCGAATCAGTTCATTTGTTTCCAGAAATTCGGAACAAGCCCTAAACTAAGTTGTAGATATATTTTAGAATCACTTTAAGTTATAATTTTCAAATATTAAGTTATTGTTTGGTTTACAAGGGAAGTGAATTCCCATAGGAAATTATATTTATGGAAAATAATTTTCCTAGCCCATTTTCTAGGAATTGACCAAAGTTTGTTTAGTTGATAATATAGGAACTCAAATTTCCTAGGAATTCATTTCCAAGTATTAGTTAAAATTTGTTATATACACCCGCCTGCACCACAAACCTAAGGTTAGTTTTTGTTTTTCATTTGATGATAAAATGAAAAACAATATCAAATTGAGAACAAATACTTACGGTACACCCAGATGTATATAATAACCTATCATTATTAGTTAACTTGATTATTTGTTATTTAAGGGCTTGTTCACATTTACTGAATTGAATTGAACTGAGCTAAGCTGAGCTGAAATAAATATTTTATGAAAGAGGGAAATTAATAACTAAACTAAAATGATTGGAGCTGAACTGAACTGAAATTAAGTACATGTGAACAGGCCCTAAGTAAATTAATTTGGAGAGATAAAGAAATAATTGTGAAAAATGTGAGTTACCAAGAGGGGCTTGGTAAATGAATTCCCATTGAAAACTTTCTTTGGAAATTTTACTTCTCCTAGTTTGATAAATTTGTGTCAACCAAACAACACACCCATATCCTATTTCCTAGAAAATGGGATTTAAGGCCTGTTCTCATACGTTTATTTTCAGTTCAGTTCAGCTGATTTCAGTCTATTAGAACAGACCCTTACCATGTCTTTTTCCTTTAACCAAACAACGCCTAAGTTTTACAATTTTTAATTATTGATAGTTGATACTATATTAAAATTATCATTTTTTTTCAAAAAAAAAAAATTTATCATTGACTAAAATTCTTCATGAACATGTCTTCAAAAAAAAATAAAAAAATAAAATAAAAATAAAAAAATAAAAATAAAAATAAAAAAAACTTCATGAACAAATATATCAGATACGATCATACGAATACATAAACTATATGACTGATTTTATTGCTAACAATATTAATAGCTATTTAATTCTCTGTACTAATTTATGATTGAATCTGTTGTACTCATAAACTTGTTAATATGTACTAATAATTAAAATCTAGTTTTACTTTAAAAAACTTATTTACTAAATCAAAACTATTATATACAGTATATTCTTTTTAATTGCCCCGTTTCAATTTTAGGAAGTGAGCATAATTTTGCATTGATTTTATCTTTTTACTGAGTACAAAGTGATTTTTTATAAGAATTTGTTACCAATTTTGTATTAGAAGTAATAATATGAATTAATTAGTTTGATAGTACTGTATATGGTTAGTTATCACTGCTTAATAAATCTGGAAAAAGTATGCTCCCATTCTTTTTAAAAAAAAAAAAAAAAATCATGCTGTCACATTATACTTCTCATGTGAAAAATTTATACTACCTCCGTTACTTTTATTTACAACTTTGGAATATTTTATATCTCACAAATAATACCCTAAAGTTGCAAATAAAAGTTAACGAAGGTAGTAGATTTTAAGAAATTAAGAACATGTATGGTTTGAAATTATTATTTACGACTTTACGTAGCACATTGTAATAGTTGTCAAATACCCTGCCTATTAATACAGCAAGGCCCTGTTGTTCATTTTGAGTTACTTTGTATAAACAATAGTATCAAACAAACCCATTTTACCAAAATTATCCAAGCTCGCTTGGATTTGTACAATTCTACATAACAATATATTTGTTCTTTTCTTGGAAAATCAAGTAATATCCTTAATTAGGACAATACATGACAAATTGGCAACTAATTCTAACCAAGGGAGTATTTCAAACGTGATAAGCATTCTGGTGTTGAGAAAATACTGGGGTAAGCCTAAAGGCCCCAAGAAATTTCTTTCGAATGCTGTAAAAAATACAAGTTAGATTAGTTTCAAGCCAAAACCTAAGTTCATGTTCTTGCGGAAGGGCAAGATAAGAGATGGAAGGAACTCATTTGGTACCTCACAATGCGATTCCAATTTCCAACTACGAAGAACCTACAAACTAATCACCCAACTAGAGCCTAATCTGCCACCATGTCTGCAGTCCCTGAAGTTAAGGGAGAAACTTGATTAGCTCCAAACCAAGATTCTTCAACGAGGTCATAATGACAGCCTTGATCCTCTAACGGGAGCATATCATCGACTATCGAGGAACCTGTCTGTTTTGTACTGCAGATGTCTGCAATTGTTGCTGCCAAACATCATAATATCACATTAGCATTCTCAGCAATTTCAATTACATCTTCACCAGAAATGGCATTCAGTGATAAAGAAAGAACTACCTGTGCCATGAAAGTCGAGCTATCAGCTAGAAACTTGATAAAACTTTGCTTTTTCAAGTTGAAGGTTTGCTTTTCATGCTCTAACATTGCCTGTTCTCTCCGAATATCTTCCAGAATTCTTTCCTTTTCCCATTTCTTCTGTTTTATCTGATTTTCAAGCTCGTAATACTTGTCAGGGAGACTTGCTCTATTGGAGCATTTTGGGAACCTCACATCTACTTCTTCCCTTGTTTCAGTAACATTGAGAAAAACAACAGCAAAGTAACAAATAAGAGGTTAGTTCAATTAAATTTCAGAAATAATCACAGAGAAAAAAAAAAAAAAAAGATAGTCTATCCTGGAATTACTGAAAAAGAAAGAATTAGCTAAATGAAGTCTATCCAGGAAATACTAGTATGGAGGATTGAAGATAGATATTCTTTAAATTCAATGGAATTTGGTCAATGAATAATGATACAAGTAGTACAGCACTTTAGACCACAAAAACGTAATCTGCAAGCTAATGATACAAGTAGTACAGCACTTTAGACAACAAAATCGTAATCTGCTAGCAATAAGTTCAGTAGACTTGTCCTATTAGTCCTATTTGAAAGATTGGCAGTAAAGTATGTGAAATAGGGAGCGACAACAGCGCAGGCTGCAGAGTGTACACTACCATGACACTATGACAATCGCCACAACCTTTCAAGTGCCTAATCCAATAATCCACAACATCCAGGAAAGAATCAACATCAGAACGACAACACCCATGGCCCAAATGACAAAAGATTGATGAGCAGAAAAGCACAAGGCTCATCAATCCATATCCTTGCCCTAGGTGTTTAGCCAGAGGGAAGTAGCACATCACAGAAAGTAGACAATGACATCAAGCAATACTAGCGTTTTACAGTAGCAAAGCTATATATTGAGTGAAGCACCATACATATCACAAAGTATCAGCAACTGCACACAACTTATTCCAGATAGGTGAACATTAATCATTTATAGAATCAGATGCACTATTGTGTGTTCAGAAAATTTGAAGATTATGTGCAAAGGTACCTGCTACCAAGGAAGAACACACCAGTAGACCTGATCATTCCACCATCCAGAGAGATGGCTCCATCACTGATGCATGGAAGAGCATTATGCATCTCAGCTCTTGTTCTGTAGACTTGAAGACGTGAAAATAGATTGTAGAACAATGTTTCCCTAAGGCCACACCCATTCAAAGTCAAACAAAAGATATGAGGCCTATCTACATGAATCATATTTACAGCAAAGCCAAGAAATCCAGCTGGAATATCACCGGTAGGCAGTCTTGGTTTTGGAATATCAAGTCTCCTCTGAGGATCGCCGGACAAATATTCACCAGCGTATGGTCTGCACAAAGAAAGGTGTTAAAGTGACTAACATACAAGCTTAGTAGACAACACAAAGTTTTGGAAATCGTGCCTTAAGTTTTCAAGACATATCACAGAGAAACGACCCTCCAAAGCTCGCCCAATAGAAGTTCCTGCGCCATGAATTCCAGAATCTTTATTTACAAGTCCTTCACCATCATATATTTCCAAGGCTTTGATGCCTTCATAAGTTTTACAGACAATTGTGAGCATAGTCTGCAAGCCCAAATACTCAGAAAAAAGCCTGAGTTTGCAATTTGCAAGCACAAACAAAAGAGAATAGTCAGTCTATTTCAAAAGAAAAACTTTGTTAGCAGGTTTTGACCATAAACAATAATAACATGGTTTCTTATTATAGCCAAAGGAGTGATTTCTAGTTTTCTACAGTCTGGGTGCAGTGTACAGTGGCGCATTCAGGCATTAATTTTTGAACAAGTTTGAGTACAAGTTACCTGCTGAGATTGTCATCATCTACTTTTCCTAGGGAGGCAACAATACCAAGAACATCTTCGCGTAAAGATAGATTTGAAGTCTGAGAATCATGATTATTTTTGAGTTGGCAATAAATACCAGCAGCAGAATTTTCATGCTTTAAAATTTGCTTGATAGTTTCCTCCTCATTTTGAACATGAGAAGTGTTGCCATCTTCAGTCTTGGTTGCAGCACTTGAGGAAAGGTATTTACCAAGACTAACTAAAGAATAGGAAAAATAAAAAATAAAAAAAAATTGCATTAGCTATGAATATAGAATACCAAGGAAGAATGCAAAGAGAGTGACAGTATAATATTCTCTACTTCTCTTCAAGAGAGCTGACATCCATCTGTTGATATCTTTAAAAACATTTGAAATATCATAATCTATAACAAATTCAAACAAACAACTTTCTCTCAAAAGTCAAAACAAAGCTAACCAGGAAATTGGACTGTACATCTATAATCTATTGAGCACCAACTCAGGAACTTAGCCTAATGACCAACTTTTTTAACAAGACATGTGGTGCTTACGTGATTTGATTTTATTCACATGCCTAGTCAACAAGTATTTACCTCTTTTTACATAGTAATCTGAATCTTTGGACCTTAAAAGTGACCATTACCTCAGCAATATCAATTTCCTATATGCCTTTTCTCTGTAATCAACTTATATTTTCTCTCTCTATAAATGTTCTAGGACCATACACATTTCCCATAAGAATGAGCAATTTTTTTCCCACAATGTCTCTTGCCTCCAGATTCAAACAAGTTCAAAAGTTCTCTATGATAAAAGAGAATATGACAAGAAATCATGCATACCTTGCAAATCAAGTATAGCATCATCCAGCTGATTTTTCTGTGCCTTAAGAAATTTTATATTGTCCTCGTGCTGCTTCATTTTACTCCCTGTTTTTTCTACTTCATCTTGCAATTTCTGCACACCGCATACAAACAAAAATAATGGACATCATGTTCTCCTTGCCACTACAGCCTGGCAGTGTATCATAAGTTACAAGGAGTGAATCACATGTCTATCACTCTATCTTCCCACTTATAAGTACATCATCAAAGGGAGCATGAATATTAGTGTAATTAGGGCACCAATCCATTAAATTAATGTAATCCAATACATATGTATCAACCACCAACAGAACCAACCTTAGAATTAGACATTATGGTGTTTGCATAAGGAATTGCTCCATTTGAAACGTCAGTCGCAGTATTTGCAAAAGAGTTATTTGAATCTACACTATTTAGAGCTGCAACATCTTGGACAACTAGCGCCTGGGCATTTATTGGAATCTATCAAGAAAAGCAAAAAAATCGTCAATTTACGATACAAGATAGCATGACTAACAAGTAGCTATCAATATATGATTGGGGATTTATATTTAAGCACTCAAAATAACAAAGCTGTGATGCAACTGCACTAACATCTAGTTCTGTAGATATTACATCCACAACTTTTTAAAAGTCCTCAACACTAACTTGTAAAGCATATTCTAATACTCATGATCCTCACCATTATTTCTAACAGAAAGGCAATATTCAGCCAAAGCGAATCCCATGAAAAATAAGACAGACAAATCATTTTTAAAAAAAAACCCATGACTTCATAAGCTTTTCCTTCAAAAATACAAAGAAACTCAACATAACATGACACAATAAGTCACAGTCTCCCATCACAACAAATAAGAACCCCTCGTGGTTCTTACATAATTCTTCCCATCCCCAATCACATGGGGAAAATAGTTAGAATACTCCAGCTTCTAAAAAATGATAAGGAACAAGAAAACTAAAAAACACATCATACATTTAAAAATAAGTATCGATTTTAGGGCAAGATTATACCTATCTCTTGAATCTGAACAGATTATTGTCTCTCAGAACGCATCGGAAAGTATTCCACCAACCCACACAATTAAGCTAAATGTTGTTATTAAACCAAATGATAAATAAAATTGAGGTAAGAAATGAATCCCGTAAAAGAGCAAAACACAACTGTCTCTGTGACAAACAAAAACCTGCTTGTCATAGCTTGTAAGACTTTCACGCCCAATCCACTCCCCAAAAGAGACCACCTTCTACTAATGACTCCATACTATCATGAACAAGTATCAAGATCACATTGAAAAATCATTTAACGAATAAAAACAATTCAGCAAGTTGCATTATAATGCTAAACTAGGAAAAACTCCAAACAAATTGGGTCTGTCTAACCTTTGTTGATATTTGAACAGATTACCCAAAGTTGATTTTAAAGCCCCTAAACGAGATAATAACTTTAAAAAAGATATATATATATAAAAAAATAAAAAATAAAAAAAAAAAAACAAAAAAAAAACTAGGGGTAATAAAACCCAACCTCTGCTTAGAATAGGAGAGAGGAGCAGAAAATGGGCAAGTATAACATTGAGAGTATTGAGACAAGAACAACTGCCCCTGAGGTAAAACAGCAGTGCTAACATCCACCTAAACAATTGAAAAACAGCTTGTGTCCGAGGTAAAATATTGTTAACATTATATTAATTTCTCCCCCCTTCCCCTATCCATCAGAAAGTTACTTAATTATTTGCTGATTTTTACAATTACCGAACGTTACAATCACAATCAGAATAGCAGCTGATATAATAGTCATTGATTTCGTGGTCAGTTGCATTTGAATAAAAGTAAAGCCCAAACTTGCTACTATCAAACATAGCTAATGCATTCTACAATAACAGCAGCTACTAAGCTAAATTTCAACCCAGCAAAAATCTTAACTTTTCGGCTTCTTCGATCCCCATCAATGTCACATCATACTGTAGAATGACAATTAATTGCCTATATCCATCGTCATCACTCATCAATCCAAAAACACACCCAACTTCATGAGTCAATTTTCACCACAACTTTACACAATGAAATTCATTCATTATAAGTAATTCGAAAATACACACACACAAACACACTTAGCATCACACTACAATGCGAAATTAGTCGAATCTAAAACAATTGAACCAATAAATTATCAAATGCGAGAGAATACAAAACATGAGAATTTGAAATAAATCTAAATTCAAATTAAATCAAGAAAAATAAACCTAATTGAGCTAAAATAACTAACAATTGCACATCAATAATCGATTATAAACACCAATAAATTCCAATTACATTTCATAAATTAGAGTTCGAGCAGCAAAAAATTCAAATCAAATAACACTGCGTAGTAAAATTGCATGCATGTGAGAGAAGAAACCCTAGAATTCAAAAAAAAAAAAAAAAAAACAGAGAGAGAAACGAAGAAGAAGTAGAGAACACTTGCCGGAGAACTCGTCGGAAACATGGTTAATAGCAGAAGTACAGTGTCGCTCTTTCACTTTCTCTCTCTTGATTTCTAAACTCTGTTTTATCTCTCAGCTTCTCACTATAACTTTTAATTTGTGACTTTGAGAGAGAAGAGGGTTTTTTTTTTTTTAACCCGAGTTACCATTCAAACTCATTTCATTGGAACCATTTATTGCTTCATATTGTTCAAATATTGAACTCTTTTTTAAGACCACCACGGGAAACTTTATTCATTAAATTAAGGCCCGTCAAAGCTTGTAAGCTTTGGGGAAACTTAATTCATTAAATCAAATATTGAACTTTGTATTCAGAGTTATAGTGTTTTAAAATTAGAGTGTTTTTAGCAATCCACTAAAAATGTCATCGGGTGTTTTAAATTTGAATCAAACTAATGAATAGGAATGTCAATAGGGCGGGGCGGGGCGGATGTTGGCCTTCCCATCCCCATCCCCACCTAATATTTTCATCCCCATCCCCATCCTCATCCCCGCGGTGGGTCCAATTTTCATCCCCATTCCCGCCCCACCGGGTACAACTCCAAAACCATCCCCGCCCCACCCCCAACTTGGATATCCATCCCCACCTAATCCCCACCAAAGACCCGCCTAATCCCCACCCAAGATCCGTATCTCAAATACACAATCTTACATAATTAATACGAATTATAAAATAAAACATTCTATACACATTTTTGTGTTATAATATAAGTGTCGTACAAAGTATTATAATTAATATTGTCTTTCATGTAATTATTTTATAAATTGAATAAAAGTATGTAATTTTGCTTTAAAAGATATATAGATGTGGGTATGAGGTGGGGATGGGGCGGGTACGAAGTGGGGCATGCGGGGATGGGGCGGGTACAACTTAAAATCCACCCCCGCCCCATCACCCATGGCGGGTATGGTTTTTATCCCCATCCCCGCCCCACCACCCCGCCAAACCGAGAACCATCCCCGCCCCATTGGGGCGGGGATGGGGTGGGTCTCCTACTTGACCCGCCCCACTGACATCCCTACTAATGACCCACACTTGTTTCAATTTAAATAACTAGTGTGTAGCCCGGGCGTTGTACCGGCTGCTACTTTAATTAGACCTTGTGATTATCGATTATATACATTTATGTTCATGTATTTTCATGTTTATAACATACTCCGTAGTTTATGATTGGCTTAGATGGTTAAGTAACTTTCTTAAAGGTTGGGTGTTCAAATCCCCTTATCATCGTTTTTCCATATGAAACAATAAGAGCAACTCCAATGGTTGCTTTTGGGGATTAGCTTGCAATTTTAATAATTTTCAAGCTAATAGCTAAACCATTGGAGGATAGTTTAATAATTAGCTTGGCCAAGGTAATGCCAAGCAAATTAGCTTAGCTAAGCTAATTAGCTTAGAAATTAATTGTCTCTGTTAAAATACTAATTATTTAAAAAATAAAGCTAAAAAATCTAAATGCTAATTAGCTTAACCATTGTGGCATAAATTAGCTAGAATGAAAAATAGTTTTGTAATCCTAGGTGGCATGGCAAGCTAATTTGATAATTAGCTTGTCGTTGGAGGTGCTCTAATCTAGTTGATTGAATAGTGATGATGTGGCATAATGAGAGATGAAGTAGGTGATGTGGCGTGGTCTACGTGGCATAGAGACGTTCTTAGTAACACCTTTTAATAGATTAGTATAGATTCTAGGGGTGTTTGTTTGGAGGGATAAGGAGGTAGGAAACTAGGAATAAGGATAAAAAGGAAGGGACTAAGGGCCTGTTCACTGAACTGAGCTGAACTGATTGGAGTTGAATTGAACTAAATTGAGCTGAAAAGAATATTTTATGAGAGAGGAAAATTAAAAGCTGAACTGAACTAATTAGAGCTGAATTGAACTGAAATTAAGTAAATATAAACAGGCCCTAAGAAATGTGTTGTTTGTTTGAAAGGATAGAGAAAAATATGAGGGACAGGGATAGAGACAAAATGACCCTTTATCCCTTGAAAATAATACCTAAGGGGTTAGGTATAAGATGGAGGGATAAGATTATTTAAGGAAATGACCATTTTGCCATCAATGAATTGCAAGAAAGTAACAAGGTGTATAAAAATATTAAGGGTCTATTCTAGTCTTTGTATTATCCTTATCCTTGTCCCACTATCTTATCATCCTTATCCCTATCCCTCTAGCCAAACAGCCCGTTATAGTACAAAATACTAAGCTTTATATTTGGAGTTATATTTTGGTATCCCCTCTCTCCCAAAATCCAAAATTGACCCCAAAAAAAAAAAAAAAAAAAAAAAAAAACTTCAGCTTTAGACTTGAATTGTGTATGACTGTATGAACCAAAATATGGTGTAAAGTGGAATTGAGCTAGACATGAAAAATTGGTCATGTGTCATTTAGATAATGTTTTTGCTTTTTGTAGCTATGGAAGGAATGGATATACTTCTATCTACACCTTAATATTGGCAAAAATCATTTGTATAGCACAAGTTCCTTCTGTCTTTAACACCAAAAGTATATATACATCACCATCAAAATATGGCATCATTGTACGACTAAACAACCATACAAACCTTGGCACTTTGCCCCTTCACCTACCAAAATCAGTTTACCATGCAATGTACGCTCAAATACGAAACTGATGTTCCAAACACTACTACTAACAAGGACTTTGTGTGGCAGCAGGCGCCGTTGGAGTTGTTTGCAAGGACTGCTGTGATAATCTGAGTTTATATGTTGCTTCCTTATCTTCAATTAACTTCAGGAACCCAGCTTTTTTGCCTTCAAATTCGCTCAAACAGATTTCCCGCTTTTCAATGATGTAAGGAATGACTTCAGTCACCCGCTTCAGTTCTGATTTCTTTTCTGTAATATCTTCCAAGATCTGCTCTCTATCTGAAGACACTTGCTCCTTAGCAATGACAGGAAAATGCACGTCCACATGCCTGAACAAATATTCAGTCATATCAGTTATCTATTACGAACTTCAAAAGCACAATATTATTTCTTCAGTAATTTAAGGGAGAGCGAAGGAATCATACATGGATCCTAATGAAACTGTGCCCTTTCTGCGCATGATCCATCCATCTAGGGAGATTGCACCATCTGTTATACAGCCAAGAGCATACTTCAGTTCCTCCTTCGTCTTGTACACTTGGAGATCCCCAAAGAGATGATAAAATAAGGTCTCACGAAGGCCACGCCCTGTCACTGTCTTGACTTGAATGTGTTCGGCATCTATGTCAATCATATTGACAGCATACCCCAAGAAACCAGGCGGAGTTGATCCATCAGGCAACGTAGGGTTTGGTAAATCCAACCTTCTTTGATGATCATTCTCTAATACATCCCCGGTATATGCCCTGGAATTCATTCTTTAAATAAGTTTGTGTAGTTGTGCATATGCAATAAAAAGTTCCGGTGTAAATAGTTACTTAAATACTTAAATATACTTGCCTGATATCCTCAAGACATATAAATAGTTGACGACCTTCAAAACTTCTTCCCAACTCTTCAGCTAGGTAATTTATGGTTGTTTCGTAAACATCAGGTGTTTCTATAGCAGCACTGGATAGGCAGACAATTCCTAGCATTTGATCTTCCCCCAAATATTCAGCAAATAAGCTGCACATTATTATCAGTACACTAGGCTGTCAACACAAGCTTTTACTTGGCGAAAGATAAGTCTAAAAGGAGGATGGAGAAAGAATATACCAACTATGCGTAGGTGTAGGTGCTGTTGCAAGAAGGGCAACAAGGCCAACCACATCGCCCATGAAATCCGGGAGTTGATTTTTTAATTTCATGTCCTGGGAAGCAATACTGTATATTGCAGCTGCTGAATCAACCTTGCTTTCTATTTTTTCCTGCACCACTTCTTTCTGAGACATGGAATTTAATTGCGATAATGGCAGTGGCAGCACTTCTAATTCAGCTGAAACAGTTCAAGATACAACCATAGCCTATTAGTCTGTTTGATGACAATTGTATCATTTCTTCAATTTACATGGGAAAAATATAAAATAAGGCACCTTGCAAAAGTCTCAGTTCTTCCGTGATGTGACCCTTGTGCACCATAGCCCATTTCAAGTCGCCTTCTATATTTTTAATACAGGACCCATGATCGTGGATGTCTTTTTCAGCAATCTGATGATGTAAAACACAGCAAGACCACACATTGTAGCTCAATATTATAACCTCTGACATGAAGTAAATCAAGAAAAAATCCTCTGAAATTACACAGCAAACTAAGAGCTATTCATGTTGATTATAACATAGTAAATGTTGACGCTTAGATAGATTCTTAATTCAATACTAAGCTAACACTTATTGTTATCTATTGTTATATTTACCTCAAATTGCTGTAAATCAGATCCCGATAAGGTTATCGCCTTCTCAGGCGTATAAGAATCAGCACATATGATCTTCCTCTCTGGAGTTTTGAACATATCGTTGTCGTGCTCACATTTCAAATCAGATTTCTTGTTTAAATTTTGTGCAAGGGTAGCCTGAAAAACAGAAACCTTAATAAGAAATTTCAACTCTTTGTTTCATTTTAAAAAGAAAAGTTTTTATCAACTTTGAAATGATGCTGAGAAATCATTAAAATGGACAATATAGTTATCACACTTTCTCATTCTACCTGCTGCTTTTGCAACTTTGATTCAGAAAATAATACAGGTGAGGATTTTTCCTGCTTCATCATCGGAGTTTGGAGGGAAGATAATGTATCACACTCCTCCTTAGGTACCGGAACAGTTACCTACACAGAAAATAAAACAGTTAACTTGCAGCCTTGCAGGAAAAAGGCTCTGCTAGAATTTCAGAATGAATTCAGTCAACAACATAATTTAGCCCCAGTACAGGGAAAAATAATTAGGCTCGGGTATGTAACGTCAATATACCTTTGAGTTCTGAAACTCAAGCCCCTTGTTTTCCAAATTATTTGCAGCATAAGTAGCTGAAGGGGATGAGAACCTCTCATCTGAAAATTGTGGTACATCACAATCAAGCTCTTCCGTACCTTGGAGATCAGACGTGGTATCATAATCTGTACGAGTTGATCTTGAGAGTGTAACCTGCAAAGTAGGGAAACAGTAAGTCTATGAATGATGTAACCAAAACCTTATATAAAGACACCAAAACCTTATATAAAGACACCATTATGCAGATTTGGATAACCTCAAATTTCACACGTAGTTCTCGGTAGAGGGAGTGAGCAGCCTCAATGCAGAAACGTCCTGCTGTCTGAGGAAGAGTAATCGATGGAATAGTGCATCGCCCCTTCTGAAAAGCATATCTTACAGAATTGTCATTTACCAGGTCTGTCATCAATCTTAATGTGTGTGATTTTCCGTGCTTGACTTCATCGTCAACAGTTTGATCAACATCACCTTCAACATTTACAACCTCAAAAGCAACATCTGTTAGCTTTGAGCCTGCAGGACAAACCTCAGGTACCTAACAGCAGAAAATTTTAAGAAGGGATCAGGACTAAATATAGATGTGAGAACATTCTCATCACTAAAAAGAAAAGAAAGCAGAGCTACCTCTGTCGCAATCCTCAGCTCCCGTTTCTCAATTTGAAACTTTTTTGTAAAGATGATGTTGTCATTATATTTGACAGTGATAGACACTATAAAAAAAACACGTGCAAGCGTAAATTAAATCAGACGGACAGAGTGACAGACATGATTTGAGCTAGCAACAATACAATACAGCTCCAAAACTGTCATTTACAAGTACAATGCAATTAATTTACCATAACTGATGCAATCAAATGGAGATTAAAAGGTAAAAATCAGGAAGAGAATGGACTTCAACCCAGAATCATTTTGATTACTTAAACCTGAAGATAACTATCAATAAGAACTAATGGACACCAACAAGACAAGGCAAAAGCCATGTCTTACCTGGTTTACCATAACCTTCTGTGACTTTCAAGATACCACTAAGATCAACACAACCATCATTATCAACCTGAACCACAAACAAAAAATAAAAAAAAAAATAAAAAATTTTAATGCTTGCACACGCCTAGAAGTAACAAAATAAGCAGTAATATATTATATATCTACTTGCAACACACGCCTTTCCATAATGTAACTAATAAGAGATTATTCCAATGAAAGATTAGCAAAGAAAAGAACATAATCGTATCTTCTTACTTCTAGGTTCTGATAAGTAAAAGTATTATCGTTTGGAGAAAAAAATGTGCAAATTAAATGATGTATATGATTATGATATATGCTTTCAAGCTGTTAAGTAAGAGACAACATTACCTTGCGCTTTAGACCAATCTTATCCAGGAAAGAGAACCCATGGACGTCCAGCTCTACTTCAGTTCCTGGTTCGACATGATTCTGATGTCTATCGAACATCTGAAAGCAATTATTTTATCAAAATTACCAACAGTACATATTCGTCAAAACTTTTTTTTTTCATTTATTTGAACATAGTTCTGAATCAGTGATGTGCCAAAAGTGTCCAAAATAAGTCTTTAAAATGATAGCATAGTCTTTCAAGTGTTCTCCTAATTACTTTATCCGTACAATAGACATGAGACATTCATCTTGAAAAAAAAAAAAAATTGCCACAGCTGAATCCATGACAAGTCCAAGAAAGATCCTGAATACAAATAAAACAAATCGCTATTTTTTCAATTGTTACTTAAACTCCAATTTTTCAATCAGATAAATATTTGAAGTTCAAATACATATACACGAAGTAAATAAATGAAATAAATTTCACATAATGATGTCAATTTCAATTGAACCACATAGATTACTTTTAATCTGGTATGTTGTTTTATACTTAAATCTAATGTTTCCATATGATGTAATACCACATATAAGTTTACCATTCCTTAGTTATGTTTGATATCTTATACAAGAAAAATTAATTTAAGAGTCACTCTATCAGTATTTCAAAATCATGAAAAAGAAAAAAAAAAAAAAAAACTATGTACACTTATAGCTCTGTAGGTAATATGGATAATCATAAATTCACATTACAGAGAAAATTGAATAAAAAACCTTCCTGGATATTTAAATACCTCCAATTTGAAATCTTCAACCACCTGTTGGGGAAGTAAACCTTTACCCGATTCTGATGATGAAAAGTGGACACGTTGAAGAGATCCAGGAACAGCTGATGCGAAAACAAAACAAAGTAAAATCAAATCCCAGATTAAAAAAAAAAAGAAAAAAGAAAACATGATAACTTATATTGATTTCCAAAGGAAGAAAGCTCAGCAACTGAGATATCAGTAGTTCAGTACATTACTACCATGCTCAGTTGCTTACCTTGACAAGAAATGCTGAGGATGGGGCCCTTATTATGAGGCAGAGACAAAGCCAACGTAGCTTCATAACTTGGGCGAATAATGTCTAGCTTATCAGTTTTAATCCTTGCATTCTGGGAAAACAAAAAAAAAAAAAAAAAAAATTTCAATATGCCAAATAACATGCTGTAAGACCAACCAAATTATTACAAAACGAAAAGGCACTACAGTTCATACCACAACAGTCATTCTATGCATATCTGATGATAGTTCCACCTTCACATTCTGTAAGTGGGATATCACCGTCTCATTGGACATTAAGTGACATTCTATAGGTGGAATACTCTTGAATGGAATAATGTTTTCAAATTCATCATATCGGCAAAATGAGAGTGGTGGGAAGCAAGAGCCTGCACTGTAGTATAAATTTGACTATATTAGCTGCTGTTACTGCTGTTATAGATGTCAATAATAGACTTAACCCAGTAAGTACACCTGCAATCTTTAAGAAATCATGTCCTATCAGGCTATCATACAGAGTATATGCTAACATTCCAATATGTTAGAACTTAGAAGTAAAAATTTGTACCAGTTTCTACTTGCTACAGCTAACAAGATTAAATGCAGCTCAGTAACATTTTTTTTCTTCCCAAATTCTGGTAAGCAATACCAAAATCAAGGAACATTCAGCATAGGTAGATCTGTGACTGATACCATACCTCACTCTCAATGCAATTGTCTGGTCATTACCCTTCAAGAGTTCCCATCGTTTGACCTTGGGTGATGCAGTGACCCTCACAATTTTTTTACAACTTGCAGTGGTACAATTTTTCTGAAGCAAAAAAGATCATTGTTGTAATCTTAGCAGATATAGGATGCAAGATAACTAGAGAGGGTACGTGATATACTTACAAGAGAGAATGAGAATGAGTACGCCCCAGCTTTTTGAAACAAATTTGGGATGGAAACTAATGAAAAAACATAAAAACCCTGACATCCTTTAAGAGATGAATTTTTAACAGTCAATAGATCAAACTTAAGGCCTTTTCCATCTTCAGCCTCAAAATTTATGTCCAGGCACATCTCATAATTGTCCCTTAAAATGTATTTTTGATCTAAATCATTAGCATTACAGCTTGGACTGAAGTTTGACGGCCGCAGAATAGCAACAACTTCTTTTGGAGGTAATGATCCAGCAGAAATTGAAGCATCTGTAGGTAATGCCTGAAGTGCAACATAACAGCAACAAACTCAAGATATGATGATTGTGATATGTTATCATATAAAAAATAAAACATGAAAAAGAAGCCAAAATGTTAAAATAACTGTTAACTGACCCCGTCAATATCTAATATTTTGCATTGCTTTGGTCCCAAAACTTCAATTGCCGAAGGCATTTTGAGATTTTGCTTGTCAGATTGGCAATTCCATTCACTGTCACTTACAGCAACACACTGCAGCAAAGAGCACACCATTATTGGCTGAATATACTCAAAATCAAAACATGAAAGCAACATGCCTATTTTACATCCCTTCCAATGCTTGGGTGCACTAACAACGGGAGACAGCTTTTCCATATGAGTAAGTGTTCCAACCTTTCCTGAATCTATCACAGTGATAGGCAGAGATTTCGATTTACGAAGTTCCAAGTTTGTGCCAGAAGCATCAGCTGTAAGCACACTACCATCTTCATCCTTAACACCTAGGGGCCTTTACAATCCAAAATATCAGAAGACATACTGGTGATGAAAGAATGTGGTAGAAGACTAAAAGAAAGATAAGTTATCAAACCTGCACAAGACCCGCGCCTCTCCTGTTTTTTATAAACTATTTACAGTCAGCAACAAGCAGAAAATGAGAAAGAAAGAACGGTGGAAATACTTATCTACATATTTTCTGGACAGATTTACATAGAATGTTGGGGTGAAAATGGCACTTACCACCTGCCTCGTTTTGAAAGCCTTCGAGTAAAAAGTATTCTATTGTCGCATACACATTGTTCTTGTAAAGACCAGGACAGGCACCTTTGAAAATTTTGACCTTTTGTCCCCTATTCCAGGATTTTCCCTTCCGAGTAACAGCTTGATGGACTCTCGCAACTAAATAAGTAAAGGAAAAAAAATGTCAATGGAACATTTGACAAAGATGCTACGACCACTATATCTATGATGAAGTTTCACTTTGTATATCATTACACTTTTCAAAAAAAAAAAATGATGATAAAAATTTTAAAAGCAAACATAAAATGGTAAAGAGTAACCATCAACTCATTACCACAATAGAAAAAGCTTTTTCTCTTCATTAGGGTAACTCTTTGTAAAATAGTCCCAAAAATATTTCATATTAGTTCTTATTGTGCAGAAAGGTTGAATAAAATAAAATAAAAAGATAAACAAGTTCTCAGTTTAATTCACATACTAGTGGCTTAAACCTTCAAGGCATGGTACACATCTTAGCAGCCCATAATCATTTGTTGTGTGGACAGGGAGGGTAGTTATGTAAAGGAGGAAAAAAAAAAAAACAGAATGAAAAGGAACAAAAAATATAGACTACTTTACCATCAGATGTGATGCCAAGTGCTTCTTTGTTAGATGGACTCAGGAGCAAGACAGATTCATCGTCTCCACAGTTGCATTCGTCATCGTACTGACCATGCATTTGCAAAATCCAATCCTGATACTCTCTTACAAGCTGTTGCAATGTCAATTGCTTCCCATCTCTCTCGATTTGGACTTTTACAGCTACAAGAAATTTACAATCACGATGTACATTATGAGCATTTAAGAGTATATGACCTTAAACATTTTGTAACCAACAGCAGCTCACCACCTTTTTCCTTGGTATCATCTCCCAGATCTTTCAATGCTTTGGTGAAAGCATGTTGAGGAGCAAGATCAGTCTGAAACAAAAGGTGCACAACATTAACAAGAGATAATAAGATTATTTACTAAATCAATACAAATGTTACAAGTTCATAGTGAAAGAATTAAAAATCCCATAAGGCTTAAAAATCCTATTCATTTGGTTGATCACATAATGGATCATAATTCTTAAAAGATTGTAATTTCAATGGCATTCCCCACTAGCCCCACCCCCCTTTCTGCCCAACCAATCAGAAGATTTCAAAACACTGAATCTTGGAGGAGACATTATCTATGAACTTTGGTCATATATTATGATGTTATAAACTTCAAAACGAACATAGTAAAATCCTGAATCTTGGACCACTTTTTAAGTATTTACCCTAATATTCATCAAGATTTAAGACAATATCTTGAACTCTTTGACATTTTAACTTGTAGTTTGGTTGATTAATATGGATTCTAATTTTAGCAGCGGCATGTCTAAAGTTATAATATGACAACAAAAATTTAGATGTGGCAAGAAAAAGAACCGAGCAGGCAAGCTTCTCTGACTAATTGCATGGCCTAGCCTTATGTGATTATGAGTTTGTTGATCCATCCATCCTAGAAACACCAACTCACAGAAGTACAGAACTCAATACTCCAAAAACCCTTGTCAATGAAAAAAAAAAAAAAAAAAATCACGACGACCAACAAAATCTACTCGGGGATGCAAAAGGGCAGACGCCTAGTATGCAACATGCTCCCGCCTCCCGCTCTGTAAACTAGAATATATCCCACATATATCGTTTCCTTTGATATATTGTTCTGCATTCTTAAAAACAATATATATTATCCTACACGTGCCAAATTGATCATGATAAGCACAGATAAGGCAAGAGCTTTGATATCATAACATTTCTGATTCCTACTGCCTAAAAAATAATATTATGACACCAAAGAATTGAATGCAGTTCTAACAAAATCAATACCTTTGAAGGTATTGGATTGAATCCAGCATCTGTGTCTGCAAAATAAAAAAATTCATCACAAGAAAAAAGACTTAAATATGGCACAAACTTAAACCCTTTTAGAGATTTATGTAGAGCAAAAATCTTACCAATAAAGCACTTAACTCTCATGCAGCATCTCTTTAAAATTTCAACTTTAGCGCCCCTCTTCTGTTTAGGTTTCATGAAGGGAAGGAGCTCCTATGGTACATATTAGAAAAAGTTAGCATGTTTGTAAAAGGCTAAGCCTGATCCATGCAGTAACAAACTTGACCAAATTAAAAGGATCAACGAGTGCTTATTTTTCCTGTAAATGATGCATATTAAATAGCACGTTACTTTACACATCTTTCCTCAGATAAAATTCTATGTTGACCTGCAACCTGTTACAAGTATAAATAGGTATAGTAGACAGATTGTAGGCCTTCGTTCTGCATACATACCATTATGTCATGGTGGTAGTTGATGATGTGTCAAGGACATGAAAGCTACACTTCATTGATACAATTGAGCATTTAAAGTTTAGTCATGATCACTTGCTAATTTATGGGAGCACATTAAGGTAAAGAAGACGATCACTAGAAATTAAACAGAGGTTATCAGAAATATATCATACACTTAAAGGCAGAAAGAATATGTCCACTAACGTATCACCTCACCGCACAACCATAAACAAAGCATGAATAAGTTCAATTATGAGACTAACTAACCCAGCGAGCTTCAGGAAGCAGACGGCCCAACCGCCTTATAGAAATTCGGCTATAAGTTTCATAATCTTCTTTAATATCCAAACCATCAGCATTCAAATTTTCCAAAATTTTCTCAATACTCTCCTTACCCTGCAAAGAAAATTAAAGGATCAAAAGACTCAAAACCCATGATAAAAAGTTGAAGCTCTATACAAAATTCCTATACCTCAATGATGGGAAAGTAAACACACTTCAGACGTGCATTTCCTTCACGAGCTGCACTTGAACCTGAAAGCACAACCGAAGAAATTACTGAAAAGCAAAAAAAGTTACAAGTACAATGCAGGTCATCAGACCAAGAGACAACTTTACCAAACAACCAAGGAAGAGGGTGAGATATTTCCAGTGTAAATGAATAGAATTTCCAAAGTAAATATTCAAAATATGGTAACAAGATAGGGTTTAGTCTCACTTGGAGATTTAGACATATCCTTGCCCTCTTCAATAGAAAAGTGAAGGTTTACAACGAAGTTTAAGCCATTACAGGAATGCAGATTCGTCACTGCCACTTCGCCACCTTCAATTTCAGCTAAATTGACGCCATTGATCTGCAAAATCCCAGTCAAGTAAAGGGCACACTAGTAGAACAATCTTTAAATAGAACATAAGCTCAATATTATCACAACATAACACCATAATAGGTGGATACACGACCAACTAACGAGATATATAATATACGGAGTACAAATAAGTAAAGCAAGAGCTCCACAAAAAAAAAAAAAAAAAAAAAAAAAAACACCTAGGATATGAAAGCAAAATTTGCAGCTCAAAAAACATCACAAAAATGTAAAAAATATATAGAACCTCGAAGTCCACTAATGTTGTAGTCCTCCCAGCCTTTGATATCTCATCACACTGCAGAAACATTGCTTCACAATATTAATCCAACAAAAATTATTTTAATTTCATCTCTAAGAATATAAGCAACTAAGAGTAGGCTCTTGCTCTTAAATTACTTTAGAAGTATAAAAAAATGATCAAAAGTGACTAATATAGATAGCAATTAACTTAAGGCAAAATGGACAGTAATGCTCACAATGCAGGACCTAGCACTGCAGAATGCAAAACGTCCAGATAGGCAGCAATAACTAATGTTCACTCCTTGGACAGACTACAAATATGGCATATAGAATCTTAGGACTTAACAAGTCAAAAATCTAAAACTTTCTGCACAACTCCAATACATAGAAGAAATTCAGTAATAATTACAGGACTGCAAGCGAAAATTTCTAAATTACCACATTGAAGTATTTAAATTGATCAAAATTCACTTCTACCTCGTACACTACAGTAAGATCAGAACGTAAATATAGGTGTTATAGCTAGATGAAAGTGATTGTAATGCTATTATTTAATTTCCCGAGAGAGTGGGGGTAACATATAACCTGAAAGCACTTTAGCACTTTCTAATAATGAAAACTGATGGGGTAGAACAAAAGTTCCTTCCAAAGTTGAAGATGTGATTTACTGATCAGGAGAGCTTTATTAGTCAATAGTCAAGACTCTCAAGAGGAGGAGATTAGTTAAGGAAACTCTTGAGTCCGGAACTAAATGGTTTCTGAAGCCACCCAAGAGACAATGGCTTACATTCAACATTTCCTTCTGATAAAAATATGGAACCAGCCAGAGACAGAACCAAAAAATGAAAAGGAAATAATAAGAATTATTACGGTAAGAACCAAGAGTCTGAGACTCAGTACATCTACATATTAACTGCTAGTCACATTAATATGATACATAGATATTGGAAAAGCAGCAAATAAATTTATTTTAATTTAAAACATGAGCATACCTGAATGTAAGGGAAATAAATATCCTTGAGCTTGCACTGGAGTTGATATATATCAGGCAGCTTCAACTTGGGCTTCATAACAATCTGCAGTGCATTGGGCAAAATTCCAAGGTCAGAAGTTTTAAACAGCTATAATGATTTAACAATCTCTTGAGATATCACATCGAAAGTTCTAATCCTCTAGAGGCTTTCCAATTCTCTTAATCATAATTCGTAGTATCTGCAATTCAAAGGGACATAGAAACATACCCGTGAATGTAGTAGATCAGTCATATCAGTGATACATTTTAGTAAAAAAATCACACAAGGTATAAACATCACTCTCCAAGAAATTAAAGGCTAAAACCAATAGCATGTCCATTTAATGTCTGAACCGAATCATTTTCCAACAGATGTTGAGATTAATCTAATACAGTTTGTCTTGAACAATGTAGCAATCTGACCAACTGATCATGACAGGCTCGAGTAGTCGTTATGCTTTTTGAAGTTCAACAAGCATCTCTTATATTGTACCACAGTCATCAATTCAAAATAGAATGAGATTTTGCAAGATTTTTAGGAATCTGTAGACTTGTAGAATACTTACTCATGGCTTGATTATCATGAATTCATGATTATAAGGAAAGAAATTATCAACTAGGATGATTCCTGTAAATAGTAGTAATACAAATTTGCTAATTGCTTCTTAAATCAGATGCTAATGTTGCTGATGGTGATGATAGAGGATATGATTCCCCACAATAAAAAATTAACTTAGTGAATATGTTTCACAAAGTGTACCTTAGTGAAACTTCCATGAGGTGACATTTCAATCTCTCCATCTGACGGATCTCGCATTCCTCCAGCAGCCTGAAAATTAATCAACAATGAAAGAAACTGAGTTTAACTTCTGGGCCAGCAAAGTATTGTCTAAAGAGAGGAAATCTCAAAAGTTCATTTAAAACAAAAGCTATAACCTTCCAGCTATGACTAGAACCAGATCTCTTTAATAAAGCATCTCTATCAAGACGTAGCCAGTAAACCTTCTTGGACTCTCTGGTCTTTGCAGAAACCTCAGCACGACTAGCAAAGGGCACAGAATTCAGAAATGATGCCAACAAGCATGTTGCAAGATCAAAGCTTCAAATTAACCAATTAGGAGAAGTTCGTTATCATACCTTCCTAAATGCATAGATGCAATGGTTCCACCATATCCAAACATTCCAAAGAAAGGCTACAAAGAAACCATTCTTCAGGAAAACGTAAATTTCCATAGTATAAGCTAAAACTGAATCAAGCAAACTTAAAGTTGAAAGTAGTAAATCCATCTTCCAGGTTAGACTTGACTTAAAGTTCAATTTCAGGCCTTCTTTGATATAACATTTAAGTATCAAACTTCCTCTTGTAAGAAGTGAGTCCATCTACTTTGAACTTCAAATGTCAAGAAAAATACTAATCGACAGATGAAGTATAATAATTTCCATAAACAGGTTCGTTTATTGTCCCTGGATATGTATGCCACTATCTTTGACATAAATTTTGACATTACCATAAGATATGGAGGTTTTCCACCAATTGCAAGTTTTTTAAAGGATCTGTGAGCTGAAGCCCCCATTTTGCCCCTAATAAATGAAGGAAAATGGAATTTTAGTAGAACTATCATAAGAGATTAGAACGAAGCATAAGAGACAGAACCAAGGGGGCAGCAATTTTGGTAATAATAGCCAAGAAATAAAATCATGAAGGCCTAAAATTCTCCGAAGGATAGAGTGATATACCACTTCTCTATTGAATTTTCATCGCTTTCATCCATGCCAGGACCAGTATCAAATACAGAAACTTCATCCTCATTAACTTCAACACTGCAAAACAAATCATTTCTCGGTATCATGGCTGACAAGACACATTAACGATCATAATTCCATCATACAATTACTGATTAAGATATGAAATAAGCAGGTCCAGCACCCCTATATTTCTTCAAAAAAAAAAAAAAAAGAAAAAGAAACAAGCCATAAAACTTACAAGAAAACTCATACTAGCACAACTACATGTCTACAAAAGGATAAACCAAAAAAGCATCCATAATGTAATCAGTACCACACTATCATATATTCATATGAACAAAACAAATACAAAATCTTTAAAAAGTGAAAATAAAACCACAATATAGCATTGGCAGTACCATTAGCCTCGTCCCATGTATAACAACACTAACAACTCATCAGTATCATAATATCCTTTGTTAAGGACAACTTAAGGTTAAGGCAGTAAACAACTCACAATAATATACAAATAAAACATACTACGTATTTCTGATCCAGTAAAAGCAGTTAGAAGCTGAACAACAAAAGCATATTTACCTAATAAGCTTCCTTACATCTTTGCCATTTGACCACACTGCCTGCAGTGAATTATCCTGTGTAAACACAAGCAATGAAGCACAGATGCAGCTTAAACATGAAAACCCAAAGCTGACTCCTTAAATTGAATTGTGTTATCTGATTCAAACCCCAAAACTTACTATCAAGTCTGCTAAGGCAGTCTCAAAGGTATAGTCATCAGGAAGTTCTGTCAACAAATCTGTGTCTGGTGTCAAGTCCCACATATTCTGTCCAACCCAACAAAAAAATAAAATGATAAGTGCAAACAATCAATCAATCATCCAATTAATTCAATGAAAAAGCCCATGTTAAAGTAATACAAACCTCAAAGGTGTCAGCAGTCTGATCAGAACCATCCTATAACAAAGAAACAACTCTAAACAAGTAAAATTCTTGCTTGCTAAACCAACAATATCATTTCAATTAAAACTATAATTTGGCAAATATATCACATCATATAATACATCATAGTTGAAATTAAGCCAACATATAGCATCTAAATTTGACATTTGATTCTTAAAACCAGTTAAGGATGAATCCACAGCCAGTATACTAAGCTACTTAGCAAAACAACATTCATATCATGAACATAACACAAAAGCATTGTAAACCAGTAAAACTTTTCAGATAGTCTATACCATATTTGTAATGATTTGAAATAAAGTATAGAAGAAAAATATCTAATCGTTACAAATAATATGAAACGGAAGTAGTATAAAAGATATGAAGAGAAATCATACAAATATATATTCTGGGATGACACCAAAACCGGCAAAACCCCAACACAAATACGAAGTATAATAAATTACCCATTTAACAAATGACAACAGACAACATACAATTGATCCAACTCACAAAAAATTACCTATTAAACACAAAAAAAAATAGATTAATCCAACTCACAAGAAATTACCCATTATAAAATCATATCAAACAAGAATTACAGTAACACATACTGGGTAATAACATAGATTAAACTCATAATGACATTAAAATAAATTGAGAAAATAAGAGTAAAATGACTTACAAACAACTTCAAAAAATGGGTTTTGTTAGGCGAAAACCCATTAAAAGAAATATGATTTCTGAATTTGTTACCCTTAGTATCTTCCAAATACAATTCTTTACTATCCCACAAAATCTTTCTTCTGGGTTTTAAATCATCTTGCTTCAACATTGCACGGTAAACTTTTTTAACAAAATCATCAACAGAAATTCTCTCATTTTCTGGGTTTCTTTTTGTCCATGTTACATTCGACCCATTAGGTAATAAGACATTAAATTTGTAAACTTTTTCCCCTCCATCATCGTAAATTTTTTGAATGCTTTGAAATTTCCTCTTTTTCCCTTCCATTTTTCTTCAATTCTTGCTCAATTCAACCAAAAAACAAACCCCAGAAAATAATTGTAGATAAAGAAGAAGAATATTCTTTCTTTTTTTTTTTTTTTTTTTTTTTTTGAAAAAAACTCAGAAATTTGGAAGATGTAAAAATGGAAGTGAAAGAGAGTGGCGCAGTATATTAAGGTGTAGCAATGACGATTGTAATACTTAGAAGGCGTAGGTTAGCGTGAGTCGGTTATGTTGGTGCTATAATGCGCGTTGTGTGAATGGCGCTTAGCTGTCCTTTGTGTAACACGTGGAGGTATTTTTGGAATTTGGGGTCCATTTATGATTTTGGATGCTGACGTGGAAGGGTCAAAATTGAGTCAATCGTTCAACTTTTCAGCTGATTGATTGGTGACCAAGAAATGGCGAGTACAATTTTTTTTAATTTTTTTTAATGTAATCTTGTGATTTGTGAAGGTTTTCATTAAAGAGACTATAATTTGTAAGCAAAATGATTTACTGGTAACGTTTAATAACTTTCTCTCCATCCATTCTTTAAACTTAGGGCCTGCCTCATACGTTTATTTTCAGTTCAATTCAGCTCCTAATTTCCTTCTCTTATAAAATATTCAGTTCAGTTATGTTCACTTCAGTTTAGCTCAGTTCAATTCAGCTGAGTTCAATCTATGAGAACGGGCCCTTAGGGCATGTTCTGATTTAGGGTTTGTTCACTGTTACTTCCTCCGTCCCCTTTTGAGAGTCCCTTATGGGCATTTTTCACGGGAATTAATAAACACATAAAAAATAGTTAAAGTATATTGAAAAGGTAAATTGACATTGGGTATGCAAAAAACTAGAGAGATAAAGTAATAAAGTACATGGGAAAACAAATTTACATGGGAAAGTTAAATTTGCACAAATATTATTGCAAATTGAAGGGAATTTTGGTAAAAAATTAATATTAATAGTAGTTGGAAAAGGCAAATGGGATGAACAGTTTGAGACTAAAATTTGTGTATGGTATAAGGGACTATCAAAAGGGAACTATTATCAATTAAATGGGGATAGAGGGAGTACTTAATTTCAATTCAGCTCCTAATTTTCCTCTCTCATAAAATATTCATTTCACCTCAGTTCAGCTCCAATCAGTTCAGTCCAGTAAAAATGAACAGACCCTTACTGAATTGATTGAGTTGTACTGAATTGTTTAATAACATAAAGAAATTTAGAAACTGAACTGAAATTAAGATAAAGAAAATCGGCCGTTAAATGTTGCTTTATTTAGCTTTTCATGATATTTAAACGTTTCTTACACTATAAAATCATCTTAGTCCCTACATTATTATATGTGAAAATTATACGGAGTAAAATATTATACAGAATATTAAAAGATATATATTGAGCCTGGTTATATTAATTTTAATAGATTACTCCATTTTTATAAGTGTTACACTTTATTTTATGGCATAAAGTTACATCATAATATTTTATGGCATAAAGTTACATTATAGTATTACTTCCTTCGTCCCTTATTGATAGTCCCTTATGACTATATTTTTAGTCCCAAATTGAATTGATAGTCTCATTTGCTTTTTTTAGGTACTATTAATATCAATTTTTTTTACCAAATTCACGTTCAATTTGCAACAATATTTGTGCAAATTTAACTTTTCCATGTAAATTTTGTTTTTTCACATACTATCATTACTTTCTCTCTCTACTTTTTTGCATACCCAATGCAAATTTACCTTTTCAATGTATTTTAAAATAAATCTTTTTCTTTCATGGTCCCCCCAAACCCACTACTATTTTTATTATCGGGTATTTTTTTTTTCTTTCACATTCATTACTTTACAATAAATTAATAACCTAATTATCTTTCTTTTACGAAGTACAATTTTTTAATGTTTCAACTATCCCACTTACCTTTTATATTATTTAAGTCAATTAAATTATCTACAACTATGTGTTGGTCAAAGTATAATTATGTGTCGATCAAAATATAACACTTACGAATATTAAAACACCGAGGAAACATTGGGAATCCATGGTTAAGTTTTAATACTTAGCTTTAACCCAAAAATGATTGCAAATAGGGCAACCTTTTAGAAATAAGGGGGAAAATATTATTGGAAAAGCAATTTAACATGTTACTCCATTAATCTAGACAATATTTTTTGTGGCTCTTTCCCATAAATGCCTAAATTTGAATGAAGTATTTGTAAAACTTTGATGAATCTATCCATCTTTTACAATAATAATCTATATTATATATTAAAAGGCGTTTCTAATCAAGAATACACGCCACATGGCACACCTCTCTTATACTACGAACATACCACGTCACCAAGGAGAATTGGAACACATCAACTTAAAAATGCTTATGTCAAGAATTGAACTCGAGTTCATTAAAAATGGATAGGAAGTCATACCATCTTTGCTATCTAATACTTTTGTTTATTTATTCCTTTTGAATATAGTTAATGTATGGCATGAAATTTTTGTTTATACAGATTATTTTATTAATCTAAATCTATAATAAAAGTTAAGATTATTATAATACAAGAAAACTATAATTCGATATAAAAAAATATTTAACGTATAGATTCGGGGCATCGCCCGGGCTAAACACTAGTAATATTATTAAAACACAATGGGACAACATGCTAATGACATGTGTCACAATTCCCTCAATATGATTTGGAGCCACATCATCATTATATGTCACCTTATGTGTATCAGTCTAAAACTCTTTTATCACTCTAAAACTCTTTATATGTGTAATATTCATGCTTAACTTTCCCATACAATAATGTAACCTCTAAGTAATAGCACAATAAATTATACTAATTTTTTTTTTTTTGAAAGAATAAATTATACTAATTTTATTTATAAGAAATTAATCACATAGATTCCTTGAATGCTAATTTTCTAGATTCAATATCAGCTTAACAATTAGACAGCTGGACAATTTGGAACATTTCCTCAGCCAGCGAAGTATTCAACTAGTAAAAAAAAAAAAAAAAAAAGGGCATAGGCTTTGACTGTTGATGTGGGCATTTTGTTTTTCATTACTCTTTAGTCTTTACTCTTTAACATATGGTTGATTTGTTAGGATTAGGAAGTATAGGAACAACATTTCACCTCAAGTTGGTTTGTCATTACTCATTATATGATCTTTCCATTTTGCAAATTGAAGTATTATGTCCATTAGTAGGCAATGAATTAATGGATTATTGCTTAGACATTGGGTAATTGAGATTTGGACATCATATTATCTTGCTCTTCTCGCAAATCTGTGGGTCTCTTGACTCTCTTCTCCTTATAATGCATGTATTGTTTATTCTTGCATCTACTTTCCCGGTTTTGTTTACTTGCAACATTTTGGCTTTTGCACCATTTATAATATATTTCACTTTTAGTAGTTTTGATGATTTATAACTAAAATAAAATATGATCTTATTATATTTACCTTGATTTATATTTTTCATGTAATATCATTTTTAATTTTATTTTTTTTACATATTATTAATTGACACAAATTTTTATATGTGGCTGGCCACACGGTGTGGCCAGCCACAATTTTTATTTTTTATTTGTTTTTTAAAATACTACAACTCTTCTCTCTCCTTTTTTCTTAGCTTCTTCTCCAAGTCAAACCACACATCACCAACAACCATATCTCTACTCCACCCATTTCTCTCTCCTCTTTTCTTAGCTTTTTTCTTCAAGCACTACTAGAAAATAGCTTAATTCCGACGGACCCAATATTCCGTCGGAAAAAGGGATATTTACGACGGATTTTTTTTTTCGTCGTAAATTTCCGACGAATTCATCGATTCCGTCGGAAATTTACGACGAAATAAATATCCGTCAGAATTTTTGTATTTTCCGAAGGAATTTTCCGTCGGAAATTACCTTTTCCGACGGAATTTTCCGTCGGAAATTACCTTTTCCGACGGATTTATAGTCCGTCGTAAGTTTCCGACGGAATATTCCGTCGGAACATATATTTTTTTTAAAAAAAATAAAACACATTTACCTCCTAAAAAAACCCTAAAAGCATCTGCCTCTTTCTATCTTTCCTATTCTCGTTCTCCTATCTCTTCTTCTCCCTCTATGTCCTTCTCTATGTATCTCTTCTTCTTCTCACGATCTCCCCTCCTCTCCTCCTCTCTCGTTCGCTTTTTCTCACGTTCTCCTCTCTTTCTCTTTCCTCTCGTTCTCTTCTCTACTTTCCCCTCTTTTACAACCACCACAGCAACATAAACACCGAACTCAACAAGTAATCACCGACATTAACAACAACAAAGGTTAGGGGTTATCTTATTTCGTCCATTCTCTCTCTTCTCATGCTGAAATCAAAGGTTTTTAGGTCGAATTCGACCATGAAAACTCTAGATCTAGGGTTTTCATGGTCGAATTTGACCTCTTAAACCCATTTTCGAGTGTGCGGTTGAAGGTATGTGTCTATTTTTTTTTCAATTTTGATGTTATTTTGTTGTTTTATCGGATTTTTTTACAATTTATGGTGGCTGTGGGTGGTGGCTGTTGGAGATCATGTTTAGGGGCTTGGGTTGGGATTTTATTTTATTTTATTTTTCTTTATTTTTTTTGTTAATTTCTGGGTTGGGATGATTTTCGGTGGTGGCGGTGGTGACTGAGGTGGGTGGTGGGGTGGTAGATCTGGTTAGGTAGGTGGTTGTGGTGGTGGTGGTTATAGATGGGTAGATCTGGTTAGGTAGGTGGCTGTGGCGATTTAGGTGGGTGGTGGGGTGGTAGATCTAGTTAGGTGGGTGGTGGGGTGGTTAGTGGGTAGGGGTTCTGGTGTGGGCTGGTGATACGGTTGGTGGGGTTGGGTGTGGGTATCGTGAAAGTTTGGCTGGTTGTGTAAGGTGGGGGTAGGTGGTGTTGGGTGTGGGTATGGTGAAAGTTTGGTTGGTTGTGTGAGGTGGGGGTAGGTGGTGTTAGGTGGCGGCTTGCGGTGGTACGTGGTGGCGGTGTGCTTTTTTTTGTTTTTTTAAAGCATTTTCCGACGGAAATTCCGTTGAGAATTTACGACGGAATTAAATTCCGTCGAGAATTTACGACGGAATTCAATTCCGTCGGAATTTTCCGAGGGACTTTGCCGGGCTTGAAAATACTCTCGGCGGACTGAAATCCGTCGGAAAACCCATTTACGACGGAAATTCCGTCGGAAAAGGGTGTTTTTCCGACAACAACTTTTCCGACAACCGGTTACGACGGAATTCCGTCGGAAATGGGTTTTTCGACGGAAAACAAGGTGTTTCCGATGATAAATTTCCGTCGCAATGTACCTGTTTTCTAGTAGTGAAGTCAAACCACACATCACCAACAAGGCAACAACCATATCTCTACTCTACCCATTTTCTCTCTCCTCTTTGCTAAATTGCTGCAATTTAAAGCCCAAAATTGTAGAAATTGGGTGTCAAATTGTTGTGAAAAATTGTGATTAATTATCCTTAAAATCATCAACAACATTTGAACTAGTGAAATCGATGAGAACCAAAGAAATTTGAGCTCGTTTTCTTCGTGGAATCTTAATTAGATTGAACATTCTATGTCAAAAATTATAGGGTGTTACTAGTTTGGTCAGGGGTTTTTTGTAGGGTGTTACTGGTTTGGTTAGGGGTTACTTGTAGGGTGTTACTGGTTTTGACCAGGGGTTACTTGTAGGGTGTTACTGGTTTTGGTCAGGGGTTAGGTTACTTGTAGGGTGTTACTGGTTTTGGTCAGGGGTTAGGTTACTTGTAGGGTGTTACTGTTTGGTCAGGGGTTACTTGTAGAGTGTTACTGGTTTTGGTCAAGGGTTATTTGTAAGGTGTTACTGGTTTGGTCATGGTTCACTTAGCCTGTAGGGTGTTACTAGTTTTGGTTAGGGGTTACTTGTAGTGTGTTACTGGTTTGGTATGGAGCCTACAAGCAACCCTTGAAAAAGTAACAAGTCATCATTGAATAAGTATTTCATACAAGTAACCTTTGAAGTAACTCAAATAAGTAACCCTTGAATAAGTAACTCATACAAGTAATAACCCTTGAATTAACTCATATAAGTAACCCCTGAATTAAAAAAAAAAAAAAAAAAGTAACCCTTGAAAAAAAATACAAGTAACTCCTGAAAAAAAAAATACAAGTAACTTTTGAATAAGTAATCCATACAAGTAACCCCTGAAAAAAAAAAACAAGTAACTACAAAAAAAAAAAAAAAGTAACCCCTGAAAATACAAGTATCCCTTAAATAAGTAATCTATACAAGTAACCCCTTGAAAAAAATACAAGTAACTCCTAAAAAAAAATACAAATAACCCCTGAAAAAAAAGATACAAGTAAATCCTAAAAAAAAAAATTACAAGTAACCCCTGAAAAATACAAGTAACCCTGACAAAACCAGTAACCCCGTTATGCGCGTGAATAGCAATCCCGTTATATGCGCGTCAGACTCCGTTATTTTTACTGACTTGGCAGCAGGCCACACGGTGTGGCCTGCTGCACCAAAAAAGCTGGCATTAGTTGAATATGTTAGTGATATAAATAATGCATTGACAAACTTGAAATGAAAAGGTCTCACAAGTTAAAACAAATAAATAAAAAGGTTTTAAGTAAAATAAAAAGTTACACTTTTTAAATTTAATTTGATTAAAGGTGTTTTTTATTTTCATTTGATTACTATTTTTTTATTCTAAAAAAATCCTTTATTAACCCTTTTCAGAACTTATATGAACTTAATTTGCCGAAATTTATTTTTTCTGAAATAATGAAAATTAGATGAACAAAACAAGACCTAAGAGGCAAAGATAAGAATGAGAGGGAAGAGAAAAAGTAATTTGGAGGGAAAATGGATCCGATCCCTTTCCCTTCGCCTTTCCTCCTTTTTTCTCCTCTTTCGTCTTGGTTAACAAAGTGTTAGTCTCTTGTAGTAGACATTTTGAGTATAAATTTAAGATCAATTATTGTATATATTCTACCATTATTTGATTTGTTTCTCGATGGACAAATTAAATAGGACAAACCCAAAATGGATGTGTACTTGTATATTTTTTTGGCGAAAGAGTAGCGCAATTAAATTTCAAAGTTCATCAGAAATATACTTCTTATCAAGTATCAACGGATCTGATATTTTTAACAAGGATGTTTTAGGTCAAAAGAGTATTTATTATTGTAATCAATTTATCAATTAATTTAAACGTAGTAAAGTCCACTGGAAATTGTATCTGTTGCTTTGACTTTAACACCAATTAACAAAAAAACAAAACAAAATGATCATTGTCCTTTACAAGCTAAATACTCAATTCCACCCCCAGTCCCCCACCCCAACCCCAACCCCTTTTTCTTCTTATTAATTGTAACAATAGAAATCATGAAATAATTAGAGGAAAATAAATTATTTTAAAATTTTTTGGATATAAAAGTGAAAGTAATAGAGATATGTCTATACGAGTAAATATATGAACTACAGACTACAGAGTATGTATAGTTTACTCCGAATCCTTTATTTTCTCAGTTAATAACTTATCGTTAGCTACAAGTTACTCCTACTCCGTATGCCTAACAACTATTACTACAATTTGTCTACAATTAACGACCATACCTCCTGTCCAACAAAAAGTAAAATTAAAAAAAAAACCCTATAAATATATTTTGCCAAAAATCTCCTACATCTAGTTTTGAAGTATGTTTAAATCATTTTTATTACTTTGTATTTTGTTATGATCATTATAGCCAAAATAAATATTTTAACCGTTTTTTTAGCTACATCATTTTGCAAATTGTACATAGACTCCTAAACATTTTTTTTAAAAGATGAGAGAGATAGAAAAAAAAAGGACTCATATGATAGGAAAGAGATTATCATCTAAAAAAAGCGATTCAACTAATGTAAAACTTTCATTTAGGTACCAACCAAAAAAAAAAATACTTTCGTTTAGATCATTTTAGAATAGCAATGCAAGTACTCCCTCCATCTCCGAAAGGAGAACTCTTATGGCCTAAATCTAGTCCCAAAATAATCATCACATTTGCATTAAAATACTCTCCTATTTGCAATAATATTTGTTCTTCCCCGTGTTAATTTTGCTTTTGCATGTACTTTTATTATTTTTTCTTTTTTTCTTTTTTGCAAACTCTATGTGAAATTCAATTTCTAATATACTTTTGTCATTATCCTTTTCACTTTCTTAATATCCGCAAAATCAACCTAGAAGTGTTGCTCTTTCGGTAACGGAGGGAGTATAAAGAAAGGAAGAAATATTTGAAAGTCAACGAAATAATTTTGACAAATAAAAAAAAAAGATAATATTATTAAAAAATGACGTGGCAAAAGCCGATTAGTTGTAGGCAGTAGAATATAGCAGAAGCAGCGGGTAAGGAAAATCCGTGAGAGAGATAAATGCCTAACGGCAATCCCGCGGTACGTCAGTTACTCCTCCTCCTCTTTACACTCTCTCTCTCTTTACTCTCCTTCCTTATTTTCTCTCTCCTCCCCTGTTTCCACACCTTCCCAATTTCTCATTTTTTTTTCTTATTCAAAATTTATCATATGATAAAATTTCATGACATAAAATGAAATGGAATATGCATTAAACCTATTATGTGATCATATCCTTTACAATATTATCATAAGGTATGATCTTTGTAATATAATCATACTCCTTTGATTACTTACTTTTCGTTTTCATTCGTTTTACATTTGAATGTGTTGATCTTAAGGTTGATATGTTATTAAGGTTTGTCCTGCAAAAATGGGGAAAAAAGGAGGATGGTTCTCTTCTGTGAAGAAGGTCTTCAAGTCTAAAGACTCCTCGGAAAAAAATAAGGTATGTAAAATGAGAAATTTTTTGAATCTATTATTAATCTTGATATAGTATTTCTTTAATTTAAATTGTATGTATGAGACTAATTTTTTATTTTATTTTTGAATCATGTAAAATGAGATATTAAAAGTAGGTTTGTTATAATTATGTACCATGAAGTCATGAACTATTATCGGCTCTTGTACTTGTTTGTAATAAATTTTATCTTGACGTTTCAAAATAATATACTCGTAATTTTTTTTGTACAATTTTAAATACGTAAATGGCATTTCAAAAATAATGTTGTACACATTTGAGTTCAGTGTTTATATGCTAATGTCCAATTTTTACCTATCTTGATTGAAAGCATTTTTATGATATTTTGTTTAACAAAATTCTAAACACTTTAGATTTTCCTAATTTAATAGAGACGTATTTGACATGATAAAAATCGAAAATGTAAAGTTTGTCCAACCTATCAAATTTAAACAAAAATTACCTATCTATTATATAATTTCTACATCAATTTAATTAATTTAAGTTAATTTAGAAATAGCTAAATTTTTACTCCTTAAACTTGACAAAAATACCTCAAGTGGAAAAAGAAATGAAAAGAAAGCATAAATTTATTTTAACCGTACCATCTTTGCTTTACATTTTACACAATTACACATTAAGATTTGACACGAAAATCATCTCAATTGGATTAATTTACTTTATTTTCAAGGGAAATTTACTATTATTGAATTTATAATTTCTAAAAAAAATCTTGTCTTGACTTAAATGGCAAGTTGCTCTTATGCATCATATAGCTTTTGAGGTAACTTTATGCTTTATTCATGTAACTAATGTCGTTAGGTAGCTATTGATGAAACCTTTTTAAGGGGGAACCTAATTTATTAGGACCATGAATCAATCCTCATTGATCTGAAAATCTAAAATGCATATGATACTTGTACATATGGTCCCAATAGGTCACAAGTTGTAATCCACAATAGAATCATGGAAATTAGGCTATCAACATCAACCTTTGTGATTATCATGTGTTTTTATTAATGTTAGATCTCCATCATCCAACTACGATAAAGATTTATTATATATTTTTTCGTTAACTTGATTTTTATACTGCCTATACTCGATATAATCATGTGTGATTTTATCAGATTTGTTTTAAATTTACTTTTATAATACACATAAATCTTTGTTGATGGTTATAGAAATAGAGTAGGGTAGAAGTGGTAAGGTATACTAGTAAGATTTTGATAAAAAAGAATAGAGTAGAAGTGAGTCAAACTTGTTGAAACAATTTAGAATAAAAGGCAAGTTAATTGAAGAACTATCCAAACTATAGGAAGTATATAATTATGAGGTAAAGTTTGTACAATTAAAATGATATAGCTAATTTTCTCTCCTTTATTCTATCTTTGAGTATACAAAGGAAAAGAATACTTGTACAAGAAAAGCTATTCTTACTAAAACTTGTAACACAAGCTTGGAACCAATGAAAGGGAGGAAAGCACTAGGAAAGCCACAAAAATGACTTATTGTAAGGTGAATCGTGAATGAGATAAAAAAAATTATCATAGCAATTGGTCCAACCCAATATCATGCAAAGTAGTCCACGCACACATTGATGCCTTCATGGCTTCATGCCTTAATATAAGCTGTTAAAACTTCTGCCGTTTTTTAATGGTCGTAATAATTAATTTTATACTATTAATATTCTAACATTAACTACTTCGTATATCATACAAATATTATGTATATACTTTACTACTCCGTAATATATACTTACTCTGTTTTTATTTACTTGCAACACTTCTCTTTTCACGCTTGCCGATGCATTATTTCAATCGTTTATATCTTTAATTATCAATATGTAAAAATTATAAATGTTAGATATTAAAATAGTATAAATCGAGACGAATCTAACAAGATTCCACATGACTATATTTTTTCTTAGCTATAAATCATCAAATCTAGTCAAAGTGGAGTACATGAATAGTGTAAAAGTCAAACTGTTGCAAGTATAAGAAAACGGAGGAAGTATAAATTAGTATTATTATATTATGAACGGTAGTTAAAATTTGGAATAATGTTTATTTTCATATACGAAGTAGTGAAGTACTAGTCAAACTTGTGCATTATCGGCTACTCTAATTTAAAAGTTTGGGAAATTCTACATAATACCCCTGAGGTATTGACTATTCCACGTTGTGCCCCTCCCTTTGAAAAGTTCCACGTTATAACCTTAAGCTTCCAAAAGTGATTAAACTGTACCCCTGCCGTTATCCCTCCGTTACATGTTGCCGTTAGTGGGGCCCACTTTACACCTATTTATTTTTTTTCTCGATTTTCGTGCTAAAAAAGTCCCATTTAAGGTTTTAGAGGTCATTATAGTCATAAAGGGTCCAAATTGAGCTCAGATTTTGCAAAAAAGTAACGTAAAAGTCCCGTTTTGTGAATTTGAATTCTCATAGTTAAATTTAAAATTCATAAAACGGGGCTTTTACGTTACTTTTTTGCAAAATTCGAGCTCAATTTGGACCCATTATGCCTAAAGTGACCCCTAAAACCTTTAATGGGAAATTTGTTAGCACAAAAATCGAGAAAAAAAATAGGTGTAAAGTGGGCCCCACTAACGGCAACATGCAACGGAGGGATAACAGTAGGGGTACAACTTAATCACTTTTGGGACTTTGAGGTTACAACGTGGAACTTTTCAAAGGGAGGGGTACAACGTGGAATAGTCAATACCTCATGGGTATAATGTAGAATTTCCATAAAAGTTTATATGAAGTACTCAACAGTAATTTTGTTATCCTATATTCACTTTAGGAAAAAGGTGCCCAAAAGTGGACCAATAATGATGCACTAGAAGTTGTGTCCGTGGAGCATTTCCCAACTGAAAGTTCCCCTGATTACACCAATGATGAAAGTGGTGGAACATCTCCAACAAGGGATGATCGCACCCATGCTATAGCTGTTGCAGCAGCCACAGCAGCAGCAGCCGAGGCAGCCGTCGCAGCAGCTCAAGCAGCTGCTAAGGTTGTCCGGTTAGCAGGCTATGGCCGTCAATCTAAAGAAGAAACGGCTGCCACTTTAATTCAATCACATTATCGAGGATACTTGGTAAATAACACTTCTCATTGCAAAATTTCATTATTTTATATGATTCATATTGTTTTTATTATGGAGTTAATTACTACTTCCGTTAACTATTATTTGCAACAAAGGAATATTTTATATCTCATAAATAATATTTCGTACCTCTTTATTGTAAATTATAATTAACTGAGGTAGTATTATGTTATGAACACAAATTCTTTTCCCTTCTTATGATAACTCCGTATTTAATTTATAAATGACTATATAGTTTTTTTTTTTTTTTTTTTTAAAGAGACTATATAATTAATTTTAATGTGTACCTACTTAAGATTTCACGTGACATATATATGAACAATACATTAAATATATAATGCATCACATTATCTTATTGGTATGACATTATTTTATAGATTAGATGTTTGATTTGATTGTGTTAAAGATATTAAAGTAATAATTTGGTCGTTAATTTGTTTTTGAAGGCTCGAAGGGCTTTGCGTGCATTAAAAGGGTTGGTGAGATTACAAGCATTAGTGAGGGGACATAATGTACGAAAACAGGCTCAAATGACAATGAGGTGCATGCAAGCTCTAGTACGAGTCCAGGCTCGGGTTCGAGCCCGGAGGCTTCACTTCACCCAAAACCATCATCGCGCTAATCATGGTGCTAATTATGCCCCTAATGATAATTATGGTAAAAGAGACAATTATAACAGGACGAACACGTTGCAAGATCAATTAATCACGTCAATTAAGAGTCCAACTAAGATTAATTATGGTAGTAATAGTAATGCTGATGAGTGGGATGGAAGGCAACATAGTTTTGAGCGTATCAAGGAGAGTTCTCTGAGGAAACAAGATGCTGCTTTAAGGAGAGAGCGCGCTCTTGCTTATGCTTATGATTATCAGGTTGGTTGATTCAATCCCCACTTTATTTTTTGAAAAACATTTGTGTAAGGTCGTTTTATCATCATAAGACCACTTTTGTGAGTCACTTATAAATTTTTTATTAAAACATTGTGTGAGTCATAAAGAACATTGTGGTAGATATGTTTATATTCTTAGTCTTGGATAACGTACGAGTAACATTTACAAAGATTGTGGATTTTAAATTCATGATTTAAATGGCAGCAACAACACCATCCAAGTTATCTAAGGCAATCAGATAATCCTCCAATGAATGAAACAATGTTCTCAACTTATGCCAATTCTATGGACAAACCGCCGTGGGGATGGAATTGGCTAGAGCGATGGATGGCCACCCAACAACAACAACAACAACCAATTCAAGTCTCAAATAAAATGAAATCGGCACCAAATGAGAGTACCTACGTAACAGCGGTCACCACTAGCACCGATGATGTCTCCGAGAGAACAGTAGAGATGGACATGGTTGATCCACCTTATCAAAGGTACGTAACTCTTTTTATCACCTTTTAATATAAACATAAAACTTTCAAACTCAACTCAGTCAAAACTCAACTCGAACCTTACAGGTCAGGTAGGGAGTCTAGGCAGTCCAGTTTTGATGGAGTTCCAAGTTACATGGCCCCAACCCAATCAGCCAAAGCCAAGGTTCGAGGCCTAGGCCCATCTAAACAACGGGCCCAATCTCCTTCACCTTGGAACCATCCTTCTCCATCAGCCAAAAGGTCACCACTTGGGCCCAATTGTGCGGACTCCTCTAGTTCTGGTGGTGGGTCGGTCCACTATCAATATGCTCACACTCCAAGCCCAAGCCCAAATAGTATTGGGGCTCGAGCCCAAGTTCGAAAGATTGCAGGGTACAGCCCAGATTCTACTGGTAGTAGTGATCGAATGTTTAGTAATGGTTGGAGATGAAGATTTTATCTTATGTGATGTGACCTATGATGGACTTTTCTTGAACTTGATTGCTATTGTTGTTACATAATAATGTGAACATTAATTTTGTACTTATTTATCATAATTATAACACAAATATCTATCTATTGTTTTGGGATATTGTGATTATCAGCTTGTGATGTAGATTTGTAAATTTTTAAAAGTGAGTATATGTTTTATACTGCATAATGGTAATTATATACAAGTATACAACTAGACAAATGTGTTTTTCTTTAATGGTAGTATAAATTTGGTAGTTATGACAAATTCATGTGTCTATGTTATTGATGGCTAACAATATTTAATCTTTTTCATAATTATTTTTCCTAATTATTCCTTTTAAGTCTTTTATTTTTGTAACTCTAGTCACATTAGGGCGTGTATAGTTTATAGAGGTGAACATGGTCTGGTTTGGTGCGGTTTGAGTATAAACCAAACCAAACCGCAAAATATGGTTTGGTCAATTTTCCAAACCAAACCATAATAACGCGGTTTGGTGCGGTTTGGTTTGCGGTTTATAATGAGACGACATTTTTTCCGAAAAAATTGTCAAATATTAATAAATTTATAATAAAGTTTAAATAATTAGCCCAAAGGGATTAAATTTTACTACAAAGTTTTAATAAAAATAACAACCAACTAATCAAGTGCTAAGTGCTAACACAATAAGAGCAATATGAGTTATATGACCTATTGAATTTTAAGTATTGATATTTGAGAATGAGTATAGTGTATAGTAGTATACTGACCGTATAGTCTTCTAATGATTTTTCATGTTTTTTTTTGTTTTTTTTTTTTATAATATATAATAACTATTTTAATTTAATTAAAAATTATATAAATATTAAAATGCGGTTTACTGGTTTACAGTTTGGTTTGGTTTATAATTTTCGAAAAACCAAACCAAACCGCAAACCATATTTCCCCAAAAAATGAAACCAAACCATATTTTTCCAAACCGTAAACCAAACTAAACTGCTAAAATGCGATTTGGTCTGGTTTGGTTACGGTCCAGACCAAATTGTGTACAGCCCTAATAGTTTATACCATACCAGGTGATTTCGATGTAATGGTATTATTATTATTATTATTATTATTATTATTATTATTTATTTATTTATTTATTTATTTTATATACAAATCCTAGTCCCATGAATTATGATGGCTTACAACTTATTATATAATTTTGGAGATTTGTTTCAATATTAGTGTTACAAATAATCTACTGTACATAATAAAATATTGCTGATTTGAATACAGTCTATCTTAAAGCAAACCATATAAGATGTAAGTATAGTTGATCAATTCAATAAGGGCATGTTCACTTGAGCTTAATTTCAGTTCAGTTCAGCTCTTATCAGTTTAGTTCAATTCAGTAAATGCGAATAAATCCTTAGTTTAATGTAAATAAGTTCAGACGAAGAGAACAAACCATATAAGATGAAAGGATAGCTGATCAATCCAATGATGTGAGTATAAGTAATTAAGAGACGGAAGAAGTATGAGATTATAAGTAATTAAGAGACGGAAGGAGTACCAGAGTACATGAGAAATGACGAAAATGATGTGATAAATTTAGAAAGCAGTGCCATTCACCATCCCAAGTCGGCAAGTGTACTGTACCAGTGGGCAGTGACACATACGGTCATAGTTTATTGTCAATTTTTAATTTTTACTCAATTTTTAATTTTTTGGTTCACATTAATTTATACCTCACATACGGTCATTATGCTTTCACAAGATCCGTCCTTGAATATCTGACCTTTTTTCACAAAACCAACAAAAAATACTCTAGAAATAGAATCAAATATTCATCATCAACACATAATTTTATTCTTTTTCTCTTTTTTCTTTTCATCATTTGATATTTTCATGCCATTTTCCATTTTTACAAATTACCCATCTTTCTCTTCTTATAATGGAGTCTCTTTCACTCCAATCTTTTCACATAAATGGCTTAAATTATCGCTCTAAATTGAATTTTCCAAGCAACCCATCAGAATTTAGAGCAATTAATCAACTGGGTTTTGATTATTTTTGGAGACAAAGGTGTAAAAGATTGTCTTTTTCAGTTAAATGTCAATCATATTCTGGGAAAAATGAAGGTGGGGTTTCAAGTTCTAAAGATGGTTCTTATTCTGCAATTGAAGACCAACAAGAAGGAGATGAAGGGCATTTAGGTCATTTGATTGGTCCTGTGAAAGATGCTTCTGGTGCCATTGTTAGTTTTAACTTGTATTCTCAATCTGGTTTGTACACTCCTCTTCTTGTTTCTATAATTTATATTGCATGTTGATTTTTAGTAATTGAAAATATTGATTGAATTTTACAAAATTATATGAATGGATATTGTGAAAATGTCTGTTTTTTTAGATCTTAATGAATTGTTGGGAATGCTATATGATTTGTGTGGTATAATGTCATTGCAAATGAAAATATTTGAAAATTGCTATAATTGGCAATTTTGTGTTCCTTTGTCATAAGTGACAGGGAAATGATGTAACTTGAAATCAGTAGGTTTGGTAAACTATTTTAGTTGATTAGTTATGTTAACTAGCTGTTTGTTGATAATATGTAGTGGACTAGTGGTTGGAGTGTTGACTGTGGAGAAGGAATGTTGCCAACTTGATGGCTGACTGGCTGAGTAATAATTGAAATTGAAATGGTATATATTTCAAGAATAAGAAATTTGACATTTACTTAGAGGGTAGGATCAATATGAGGCTATCATGATGTGATAGGATCATGTGTCGCGGCCACAATAATCTGCATTGAATTTTTGTTTTGTTTTCGAGTTATTAGTAAACGCTCAAGTGATCGCGAGTGATAATGTTTTTCATGTGCAATTGCTTTATAAATGATGGTTGTGGGCTAATGCAGGTCTTGTTATCTTGATTGATAATTTATTTTGGGGGTAATGCCATAATGTAAAGTCAGTTGACTATGTAGTTGCTCAATTTAACTTAGATAGCAATTTCCAACTACGATGAGGGTTTAGTACTTAAGTGTATAGTTCATTTTAAAGTCTTGTTTCTTCACGGTGTTGTTGATAAATTGTATTAATGACCACATTATAAAATTTAAAGTTTGCTTTTCATAATTGAACAGCGAACACGGACACTAGTAAGTCAAACGTTAATGCAGTTCTGGACCTGGATAAACAGGATGAAGAGCAGGGAGATTACGGCATTAAAGAAGATTTGTGGAAAGTTAGGGAAGCAACTGACAGTGAAGGAGAGGAGAAAATTTCTTCTGGATTACCGTCTAGCTTTGTTTTTGAACAAGGAGTAAGAAAGGAAATTTTGGCTGAAGACTTACTGGAAGAAACTGTTGTTGAGGGAGAGGAGAAAACTTCAGTCAAAGTAAAGTTAAGTATTGTCTTTGTTACTGCAGAAGCCGCACCATATTCCAAGACTGGGGGTTTAGGTGATGTTTGTGGTTCTTTGCCTATAGCTCTAGCTGAGCGTGGGCATCGTGTAATGGTAATTGCTCCCCGTTACATACATGGTACTGCTGCAGATAAGGTTTATGCTGGCGCATTTGATGCTGACTGCCGCATCAAGGTCAATTGTTTTGGAGGGGAACAAGAAGTCGCCTTTTTCCACCAATATAGGGATGGTGTTGATTGGGTAAGAAAAAATGAATACTGCTATTAGCCTATTACTAAAGTAAAGTTCTGGTGGCTTGCCTTTTTTCTTTTCTTTTTTTTTTTTTTCCCTCCAGTTTTTACATTCTATTGATATAGTGCCTTGTGTGGATCTTGTATGAGATTTTAGAATATATAATATATTTATGTCTCAATATATAGTGACCTTTTCATTCCATGTTATAGGTCTTTGTCGATCATCCTTCATATCATCGACCTGGAAACCCATACGGTGACAGCTTTGGTGCCTTTGGTGATAATCAGGTATGTGCCATTTCATGGATATAGAATCTCTTTCTCCTCCCATGTGAGTAGGACCAATTGTGGAAGTATGTTACAATTGAGTCAGTTTGACTTGTTTTAGTTGACAAGATACAAGAGTAACAATTTTCATCTTTGGTTGGACAGTTTCGGTTCACCTTACTTTGTCATGCAGCATGTGAAGCTCCTCTTGTCCTTCCACTAGGAGGGTACACCTATGGGGAAAAATGCTTGTTCCTTGTTAATGATTGGCATGCAGGTCTTGTACCAGTGTACGTGCTCTCTTATTTTTGACTCTAATGATTTTGTATTTTTTTTAAGTTGTTGAGTGATGAGTGCCAAGTTATATTGTCAGTAGCAATGGGGATCATATTTTAGACTCTTTGATTTGCTTTGATTTACTTTTCTCAATATCATTGCTGGAGGAGGTTGAACCATTAAGGAACACTCAGAATTAAAGTTGTAAGCAGCAATGGATGAGTAGACTAGTATATTTCAAAAATGGACCTGTACAAGCCATGTAATTATTATAATGTGGAGCTCATCAAATAGACTAGTGACAGTTCCATGCCTGACCACTTTAAGCTAACTTCTAGAAAATATCTTTGAAGTACTGCAATTGATTGTAATAATGTCATTTGCTACTATGCTTGTGCAGTAGTACTATTTGTTAACTAATGAGGTAAGGGTGCTCTTTCTTGTGATGAAAAGAATAATTTTTGTTAATATCTGAAGTTGTTTATCCCTTATAATTTTATTGTTGTCCAGTAGTTGTTTGATGAAGTACTCCATCGTTTACAACAGACCTTATTCTTGATAGAATGTTAATAAATCTTAATGCTATGACACAATGGTGTTTATTGAATGAATAGTGTTAATTTATCATCTATCATGGGCATTTCATATTTTATTGCTTGTGAATTTCTGATAACTTATCTATGATGAACAGCAAACAGATGTATAATGTCGGTTGTTTTTGTAGACTTCTTGCAGCTAAATACCGTCCTTATGGAGTTTACAAGGATGCACGGAGCATACTTGTTATACACAACCTTTCTCATCAAGTACGTGTCTCTTGTATGGTTGATATTGGTCATGTTCTTTGAGTGTATGTGATTATGTGAGTGACCACTTAATATTATAAGGTAGCCACTTGGCAAATATGATACCTTGGAAGATAATAAAGTAATTCAAAATCTCAACTTCATGCAATGCCCACATGTAATGAAGATGCAAAAGTACATTTCTAACAAACGGCTAATTATACTCATTTTGGAAATCTGTCCATCTCCTGAGCTCCCTCTTTTTTCTATCCTACGTTTAGAACTTTAAATTTAGGACGTTACATACCCTTCATGCAACACAGTCTGTATCCTGACTGCAGATTTTTTTTTCTTTTTAAATATTTTCTATAACTACATATTGGCAGCTTTTTATTGATTGAACACTTGTCAAACTAGAAGAAAAGCTATCCTATTGGAGAAACACTGATAATCTATATTTATATCCTGCTTTTGCTAGGGTGTGGAGCCTGCAGTAACATACGATAATTTAGGAATTCCTCCACAGTGGTATGGAGCACTAGAATGGGTGTTCCCCGAGTGGGCAAGAGCACATGAACTTGACAAAGGTGAAGCAGTCAATATTTTAAAGGGAGCCATTGTGACAGCTGATAGAATACTTACTGTTAGCCAGGTAATATTCCCTCAATTATGTATCTAGAATGTTATTTTGTTTCGTTCAGTATGCAGTATTTATTTTGGCATGCAAGTAGAATGTGGGAATAGTTTAGATACTAAATTATAATTTTATCAATTTGTCATGCTCTATGAATGGTTTCAGGGATATTCGTGGGAAATAACAACTGTGGAGGGTGGCTATGGTTTGCATGAATTACTTACCAGCAGGAAATTCGTGTTAAATGGTACTTGTATATCTTTAATTTCTTATTCAATGCTCAACTTTTCTGTTCATTGACGCATTAGGTATTTCGTGCTCTATACTCTTGTGTTGATTTTTATTTTTATTTTATTTTATATAGGGATTATAAATGGGATCAATACTTCTGAGTGGGACCCATCTAATGATGCACATATTGCAGCACCCTACTCAATTGATGATCTCTCTGGAAAGGTATTAGGATATTCATTTATTTGAAAAAACAAACCTTGAAGCAAAGATTCTAAATATATTACAGTGTATATTTCATCATCATTATCGTTTACTTGGTGTGAATTTCAGGCTCAATGCAAGGCTGCCTTACAGAAGGAGCTTGGTCTTCCTCTCAAACCTGATTGCCCATTGGTGCGATGAAGAATCAACTTCTACATCAGACTATTTAATTTACTCCTTTCTTAACTAAAACTAACTTTGGTTTTTATAGATTGGTTTTATCGGAAGGCTAGACTACCAGAAAGGTATCGATATAATTCAGGCAGCAATTCCAGAGCTGATGGGAGATGACGTGCAATTTGTAAGTAGAGTTATATGACTATATCCTTAATTTCAAAATGTGGAAAAGGGAGGTTCCTGCCCAAATTGAATCTGAAGAGGGGGTAAATGCGAACAAAATTTTCTCGGCAGAAGCCCAGAGCCTGTTTTGTTGGTCTTAATTAGTCATGTACTCCCTCTGCCTGTGATTAGCTGCCACAGTATTACAACCCCTCACAACATGACTACGCCAAATTACCCTTTAAATAGCTGTCTCCTTTCCATTCTTGCTCCGTCACTCTTCTTAAAAATTAAGCTTGGAGAGTTAATCATATAATCAATTCCAATTTTAGGATAGATCACAACCTTTTCCAGACATTCCAAAATAGTATGCGCGAATGAAATTGTTATTTCGTGATGGAGGGACTAAATAAATTTGATTTACTTAAATTAGCTGCTGTAACTGAAGTTCTTAAAGAGGAATTTAGAAGCAACTCTCCACCCTACATGCAGGGTTCTTTGTCTTCTTAGGCTTTTGATCTGTATAAAATTTTAGTGATGTGCTGGTTACGCTACTGTGAATCTGTGATGGATGCTATAACTATGCTATCTGCACCAGGTTATGTTAGGGACAGGTAATTCCAAGTACGAAACATGGATGAGAGCAACAGAGGTGACATACAAAGATAAGTTTCGTGGCTGGGTTGGATTCAGTGTCCCAATTTCTCATCGAATAACTGCAGGGTAAAGTAAATAAATTCTCAGACTTATGAGACCTGGTAAAAAAAAATATACTATGTATTACTTTCGCTAACAAGAGTTCTGTGAAACAGTTGTGACATCCTTTTGATGCCATCAAGATTTGAACCATGTGGACTAAATCAGCTTTATGCAATGAGATATGGAACTATACCAGTAGTTCACTCCACGGGAGGGCTTCGAGTGAGTTTTTCTCTAGCTTTTTAAGGTTTTTGCTCTTTAGAATGGGATTACTTATAATGTATTTTGCATGTAATGCAGGATACTGTTGAAACTTACAATCCTTTTGCTGTTGGGACCGATGATAGTGGTACTGGTACCGGGTATGTTTTTCTCGAGAAACGTCTTTTGTATAGTTTGCCTTTTGATTTTCTCTTATTTGTGCTTTTTTTGTTTGTTATAAAATTAACCTTTCTTTGCATTCTTTTTTGCTACATGTAATTGACAGGTGGGGATTTGCTCCATTGGAAAAGGATAGTATGTTGTTGGTGAGTTCTATTATTTTGATCTCGATCTTTTTTTCTTTTGAGATTGAATTCTGACCATTCTTTTGATGTATAGATCTCTGTATTTCCTAGGATCTAGTTCATGTTCCTGTATCAGTCAGAATATGAAGAATGGAAAATAAAATTTGCTCTTTGACTAATACAGGTCTTTTAAATTGATAATGATATTATTCTTATCGCTAATTTTCTTGTCCCACTTAAAGTATGCACCTGGCTTTGTGAAGTATAAGCCTTAAAATTTGATCTTGGGGATCAATTAAGTAGTTCAATTCTATTTTTGTTGTGGCACGTTGATGCATGTTGTACAATTTTGAGACGGAATACTAAATTTTATTCCTTCCTCGCCTTTCCTCCCCCCAATTTAACTCGAACTTTATTTTTGGGGTTTGTGTACTGGCAGGCCCTGAGGAACGCTCTGAAAACGTACAGGGAATACAAGGGTTCATGGTTGGGGTTGATGAAGAGAGGCATGCAACAGGACTTCACATGGGACAGTGCTGCTGCCCATTACGAGCAGGTGTTTGAATGGGCACTCACTGATCCTCCATACTGTTGAGATAAGAGAGAAAGCCGAGCATATAAAATTGTTTAAGCAAGAGCGGAGCATGGAAGCTTGCTGCCAATGGTACCAATAAGTATAAACAAACTTCAGAATCTCTCTAGTTGGTTTGCTGATGAATTGAAGCAATCCCATCTACTACCAATCGAGTCAGCAGCACAGAATCGGCTTTCTTTCTTCTTTTCAACTCCGTATCATTTTTGTAGGTTGGTTATTAGCAAGTCCCCTCATCTCCCGATCTTGTAATTAGTAAGCAGCCACACTCTATGCTCTTTGTACGTAGCGAGAATTTCTCTTGTAAAGTAGTACTAATAGATAAATTAATTTTCCAAGATAAAGAGAATAATAATGATGTGGAGAAAATCTATAATTAAATTAAACAGAACATATACAGCTCCATTAATTGGTCCCAAATTAAAAAGAAATGAAAGTGATGTTCAGTTCTTTAATAGAGAAGTATAAAGTTTTCGTGTTTTGAATATACTCTATTCCATTTATTCTTTTATATTGATGCATAATATAACTTTCTTTAGCTTACTTTTATGTCACATAATGACTAACATATTCTATAACTGTCATTTGTATATGAATTACTTTCATATAATGTTACTTCTTTTATCTTATTAGGACGTAGCAATCTTTGTTAAGTAGAGTTTATAGCTAGAAACCTTAGAGCTCAACCTGAAAAGAGAAAACGACTATTATTTAGAAACCGAGGGAGTATAAACCATCAGAAGTCAAAATTCCGAGTACTTTATAGCGTACGGACTACGAGTATTATATTAACCTTGATTCCTCATGGCTCACGAGTGATGAGTCATGAACCTCAAGTACAGCTAGCCTAATGTTTAATGTTTAATGTTTATGTTTTATGTTAACCTATGTTTTAGATGAATAATATTGTATAGAAATGGTGACAAGCTGGTAACACCTAAAATGGTGACAACCTAGTTATACCTTTGCTGACATGTGTCAGATCTTAACTAGATTTATCATTTTTTATTTTTTAAGCTTATTAATTTAGTTTTTTAATGTTCGGTTGATTGTATACATAAATTTCTCTTTCCAAAGTGATTAGGCATACTACTTGTTTAAGTACATCGACATAAACGAATCCTTGATATAAAAATTTTCTTGTTGTAGCTGGATTAAGGATTTCTTTTTCTTAAACAACAAATTTAAAAGATTCAAGAAACTTGTTTTGTGATTTGGTGTAAACTTCTTCAATTCTCTTTTAATCTTAATATACTTTAGTATTTTTATGACGTATCTTTAGAAACTATAAATAATTCATGTTGCAATTAAGAGGACACAATAAAATTTTATATTGATCAGCGCAAGAACTTAATTCTAACTTTTACTTGACATTAATCACTTAATTGTTCAACAATAAACTTAAACCATTTTTTATTCTTACTGTCTTACTATTCCCATCATTCTTTTTAATTTATACCATTAGTAAAGATGCGAAGCTTTAATCATAATATTCATGAATACATATAACTAAAGAAAAACGGGTCAAATCTTAAGTTACGAAAGGAGTAAAATATCATTATTACTTTCAAGAAATACTTTGAAGAAAACAAACTTTGACCGAACAAACACTTTAACATGTTATTACGAAGTACATTCAGTCATTCAACGTTATCTTAGGGATAATATCGTTCATCAAAAGACATGATTTAACATGTAGATGTAGAAGCAAACTGATAGTGAAAGGCTTTGAAAGGAAAAGGCCAACCAACTCTAAAGAATTCTGACCAACCAAGTTACCTTTGCTTGATTCATGGCTCTAACTCAATCTAAGTATATGATTTGGCACTATAGAGTGATACTAGAGAACAAATTAGGAGTCCATATGATTGACCTTCCAAAATAGAACATGAAACTCAATCAAAATCGAAGAAACACACGGATGAGGGCAACTAACATGCTAGTGCATCTAAAGCTAAGGTGCTATATACACTGGCTCAAAGTTTACACCTTAAATTTAAGTTAGTACAACTTGATTTTTGCGAGTTATTGCTTCTGTTCGGATTAGCTATCGCCTAATTGGATTAAACTTTGTGTACATTATAACATGATTATTATTTTTGGTAAAGGGAGCATTGATTAAGGTCATCATTTATTTCATAAAGCTGTAAGACCAAAATATTATTATTGTTCAAATGAGGAAAAATATTCTAATTTGTAATAAGGTATAGATAGACGAATCTCTCTTAAGTAAAAACTAGATTACTAGCATTTAGACTGAAAAAAACATATATCGAATTATTAACCTTAGATATCACTATGTGACGCTATGTGTAATAATATAAGGTACTACGACATGACAACATCATCATAATCATCTAAAATCAGATTATATCATACTATTGAACGATAGACATAATATTAACGAAAAATACGTACAATCAAATCAAAATTGAACTCCTCTTTCCAATCAGAAATCAATAATCACGTTGATGATGTACTCAAAATTCAAATCGGTAACATGATAGCTAAATCGGAACTAGAGCAATAACTCACAAGATTCAAACCAAGAGTAAATTTGGAATCTTCCAAGATGAATAGGGAAGCTTTTAAGACCCCAATATGACATGTCCCATGTTTCATAAATGATTTTTTTTTTTTTTTTTTTTTTTTTTTTTTTTTGATAATATGTTTCATAAATGATTTATGAATGTATTTGTAATCTCCCGCTATTAAGGCCAAAATTGTCAAAATAACAAAATTATCCATCCCACTTCTACCTCCACCTTTGATGGATCCTCCTCTGCTTTCGCTGTAAAAATTAATAATTCAATTTCTTTTCTTTGATTCCAAACCCTAGATTTCTGTCTCCTTCCTAACACCCCCTTTGTCTTAACTTTCTCTCTCCTCTCTTCTTCATTTCCAATCTCAAATTCATCACTCTCAAAAACAAGAAAAAAAAGGAGGTAATTACAGCAAAACTTAATTCAAATCAATCCCAAATGTTACCTAATATTCATCAATTTATCACCTTGATTGATTTCCCACCCAATTTTTTGATATAATTTTGTGGGTTTTTTATAATTTCATTGATTTCCCACGTAAATTAAGCTAATTTTTTTTGTTGGGTTCTGATTTGATTTGATTAATTGATTGATTACCCACTAAAATTCCCCTGATTTTCTTGGTGGGTTTTCAATTTTTTGTTCAATTAATCACAAATTTGATCTGGGGTTTTGATTTTTGAGGAAAATTCCAATGATTTCAGACCCAGATCTCGTACGCTACGCTTGCGTAGCTCATCATCGTTCTTTAGATTCATCAACGATTTTGGGCGAATTTAACTCAGCTGACTCGGCGCTTCAACAACTCGCTCATCAATGTCTTCACTCTGTTCCACCACATCACAGCATTTTTTCTCACTCATATCGAAATCAAGCTTACACCTTTTTGCTAAATGATGGGTTTGTTTATTTTGGGATATTTGATTCAAAATTGAGAAAATCTGATCAAATTCAATTCTTGGGTTGTTTGAAGGAAACTTTTCATCATATAATCAATGGAAAATCAGATATCAAGTTTTCAAATTTTTGCCTTCAAGGTGAGCTTCACCCAATTTTTCATAAATTGTTGTCAAAAAGTTGTGATTTTGATGCATTGCAATTAATCCCTAATGGTGTTCATAATAACAATAACTCGAAACCGGTTTCGAGTAAGAACAAGAAGATTTTGAATGTGTCATTGTTGTCTGCCTCCAAAATATGTAAAGGAGTGAAGAAAAATAAGTTGTTTGATGAGAGAACAAATAGTGGTGAGCCTTTGGTTGATGATAAAGTTGATTTGTTAAATGAGGGTAATTTTGATGTTGGTGATGTTAAAAATAGGGAAATTAATACCCCAAATGGTAATTTTTTAATGGGTGGTGGTGTTGGTGTTGGAAGGAATAAAGCTAAGAAAATATGGAGAAGACATGTTTGGATTGTGTTAGTGTTGGATTTGGCTGTTTGTTTGATTTTGTTTGGGATTTGGTTGTTTGTTTGCCGAGGGTTTCAATGCATTGAAGGGTAGTAAAATCTATCAGAATTTTCGGTATATGATTTCGACAAGCTTGTTCATCATCTTGGATGTGTTCTTTTTTTGAAATTCAAGGTCATTTGGTTGATCTTGGATTTTGTGGATTTGATGTTGAAGACTATCATCATGAAGTGTTTTACATTTGATCTTGTTGTACCATCAAGTTCATTCAGTTTTATGTCCAAAGAGTAGGAATTACTTTTGAGTGTAATTCAAAAAATGGGGATAACTTCATGTTTTTGAGCTTATTTGGTCTAGCTAATATGATAATTTGGGGTTAATATTTAGTAACCCTTTAATTTGTATTAGTTGAGGATCAATTAGCTTTTGTTATACATCCCCTTGTTAAATCTGTTTTTATGTAATTCTTTGATACTGTGTATAGGAGGAAAGTCAGGAAACCATCAATATGTTACAGTGTTACTTGTGCAGGCTGTTTCAAATTTTAATGGATATGATTATAACTTTTCATCTTGTTTCAACTATGTTCTTTTACTTCTGATTCATTGAATCATGGCTAATTTTATGGTTTGTGTTTGATGCATGATGTATTCTTTGGTTGAGCAATCATTTTCTTTCCATGGTCCCTAGTCTTTCACCAACTTGTTTTTAAACATTTGTATGCCCTTTCTCTAATCGTAATCTATAAAAGTATATCGTTTGAGATTTTCATTGTTGCTATGTTAGGTAGCACGAACATTTCTAAAAGATGATGATAGATCTTGATATTTGATACAGAGTACTTGTTAACTTGTACCAAAAGTTGCATTTCATGCTGATTCAGATCCATTTATGCAATTTTGCAATATTTTGGCTTTTTGCTATACTCCGTAGTACATTTTTGCCACTCATGCTGTATATTAAGCTGTTGCAATACATTGAAGCTCAAAGCACCAATATTACTCAAAAACATGGTGGGGGGAATTCATATTCACATTACCTTTTGTTTTCCACTAAACAAAACAACATTATCATTAGGATACCAATGAACAATGATTCATCGTTGCTTACTTTAAAAATTCTAATACTAAAGCAAGAAGCAACAGCTACCAATTTCTTAACATGTGTTTTTTCTATGCAAAATGCTTTTTGGAAAGATGACAAAGCTAAAGAAATTCAACCTTAATCATGATTAAGAACATGTTAAATTAATCATTTAACTTGCTAATCTAGGTAATTAGTTACAGATTAATCCTGCTGGAAACCTCATAATTGTAGCTCATTATAGTAATAAATAAAGAAAACAAACATTATCTTGTGTCTTCATATAATGCCCATAACATTGATCAACCACCAGAATGAGAGGGTTATACTTAATCAAATCTACATAGCATGTTCTCTACAGATCCAATCTGAATTTTTAAAGGCGCGATTTTCAAGAAAAAATCAAAGTACAGCTATCAAAGATAGCCTCCCCATCTACAAATCCTTGCAAGTTTTACACAATTCGTATTAAACATTTGTATATTTATGGGACAAAATTCGGAAAATCAGATTAGTAACTCAAATGCTCGGGTATGTAACACATACAAACGTGTACAAGAGTATAATATTGTGATCTACAAATACAGCCACACAGTTATACTACATCAAGCAACCTCATTTTGTTTGAAAAAAAAAAAAAAGAAAATTGACCTGTGAGCTGTGACATCCTAACATTGTGTATTTGGGTTCTCAATAAACAGTAAGTGATATGTTTAACCACAGGGAGTGAGCTTGCTGTTTCCTGCACCGCGAGGATTATCATCTTTCCAGTCGTCAAATGCTCTGGCTCTCTCCACTGCGGCATCATCATCTTCATCCTCCTCGGGTGGACCTGGTTTAATAGGATCATTGTACCATGAGGAATTCGCTTCCTCTATGTACTTCTTGGTTCTCTCCTGCCATTTATTCATGATGTCCATTTCCGTCTCACCAGCTTCTTCTATACTCATGGTTGGTAACCTAAGAAGCAAAAAATTAATGCAGGTAAATTCTTCATTGCAACAAGTTATGGTGTAATGAGCTGAGCTAACATGATAAACAGAGGAGCTTGTTTCCTTTTTAAATTGTCAAAAATTTATTCTAGATTCTATGCGCAGTGATGTGACTACTGATTTCAATGACTGTGCATCCAAGTTTTATGTTCAAATCAGATAAAGCAGTAAAGATTAATCCCTAAAAATGAATTGATCAACCATCCCCCCACCAACAAAAGCCCCTCAATCCAGAAGACAAAGCCGAGCTAAACACCAAGCCAGGGTTTAAAACTTTAAATAGCAGCCTGAGGTCAGACTCTTGAGGACTGGTGAATCTTAAAGCTCAATAGAAGACTGAAATCAAGCTCAGCAGCCTAACCCTGGCGAGTCCAGGCTCAGCTTTTGAACATCCCTCACCAAATAGACAGTATCTCAATACTCGCTGAGACACTGACTACTCACCCTTCCAATATGCAGTGAGTGACGAGTAAATTTGAATGAATTAATTGCTTCTCTATAGTGCCTATCCAGCTATACTTCTAGACTTTTGACACTACTATTTTAGATTATATCTTTAGGCATTACATGACATTCATTACTGAACAGGAGCCTGCCTCTCCTCTCATGATGATACACATTACACAGTGCCCACACCAAGCCCAATTAGAAAAGAAAATAATACCCAGAAAAAGCAACAGACCCAACAGTATCAGAACAACCAAAAAATTTCTGCAAATTGAAATGCTTTTCATATTCAAGGAGTCTTGATGTACCTGTGGCCAGGTTGGAAAACCTGTGCTGCCATTCTTTCTCTCTCGGTTGTAAGATTTCTGCCGGTGAGACTAGCTGGTCCAAATATGAGGGGTTGATGTTTGTGTTCATGTGTCTGTGAAACACTTGCTCTCCCTTCAAGAACATCTTGTGCAAAGGTAGCACATGTTATCGGTGGTGCTGGTTTTGCGTACTGAGCTCGGGTGGCAGAATCACGATGCCACCCCTCTACCTTACTTTTCCGTTCATCTAATAGAGACTCAGTGAATTCCTTACCCAAGTCCTGCAAAGATAAGCAGGAGCTCAACAATAGATGTATAAATATCCTTACAACTACAGAGGCTGGTGTCACAGCAAAGGTATCAAAATATCAAATAAAAACCTGCATCTGTCTCTCCACAGCAGAAAGCATCTCTTCCTCTTTCTTCAGCATTTCTAGCAAATCCAAAGCCTACATAGAAGTAAAGCAACAAGTGAACAAGCCTACTTATAAAAAAAAGAGAAAACAATAAAGGTGATTTTGCATATATGATATGTCAATTTTTGCTAAGATACCTTGCAAATTGCCAAAGAGATAGTGGTAAGCCAAGCCTGCAATGACACACACATACATTAAAAAAGGATACCATAGATAAAGGATCTTTTGGGATGTGAAACTTGCAATACTCTATATTTTGCTTAAACATTAACCTCAATTTGCAAATAAAAAATCCAGATTAAATTATGATAGATCTACATTGTAACAAATACGGAGTACAAATGGGTCTGCTGGTGATCATGGTGGTGATGGGTCTGCTGGTGTTGCGGAGAACAAAATAAAGAAGTAAATTGTGTATAAGAAGTTTAAAAAGAAAAACTAACCTCCCTCTCTTCCTCCCCATCATCATCCAACACATCTTCCTCTCCTGCTTCAACAGGTGTAGATAAAGCTGAAGCTCTTGTTGAACGTCCACGTCGTTCCCTATGCTCTTTAATCTCTAGTAGCTTAGACTCAGCAGCCTTTTTTCGTTTAAAACGAGCAATCTAGATTGATTCCATACAGGAAAACATCAATGGTAAAATTTAAAAGAAATCTATATTGATATTGTTCAGCATAAATCAACGTGTCAAGGTAAACTAAAAATAATGATCAAAGCAAATGTTCTACGTAGTATATGGTACCACTTAGACCAACCTTTTTGGCCCTTTTATCAGCAAAAGTATTAGAACTGCCTTGCTTGGAAGATTCCGACTCTTCTTCAGGTAAGAGCTCCATGGCTTCACAAAATGTAACAAATTCCTAAAAAGAGAACAATCATATTAAGACACTCCAAACTATAAGATTATGGTGAATGAACCATAACTTTGAATAGATGAACTATAATAAAATGAACCAACTCTATTCATGTACTAGTTACGACAGCAAAAACATTTTCTAGAGTATTAAAATTAACAATTTTCTAGAGTATAAAATTAATCAATTGTGTTAAATTGTGACTTGATACCTTTTTGGTTAGTCATAAACTTAAAGTATTTACAAGAAACATAAAAACAAAATATAGGCACATTTTGATAGACAACCTTATTCAAAAGGAATCCAATTTGAATATAGTATCTAATTCAATTTAAAGAATGTAATTTTCTTTTGTACCATTGCTAATTTGCTAGTACAATTACTAAACAGTTGTCTTCTTAGTATTATACGTAGTATAATAATAATTAAGCTCACTACTTATAAGAATTAGATAAATGTACCTTCAGCTTTGTTTGTGAAGCCTTAAGAATTTGTACCCTATCTTCCTGTGAAACTTTTTCTGTCAGCTCACCTAAGTAGTATGGAACCTGTAAAGTCAAATGAATAAGAAATGTCAATCACTCTGGTGTCAACTGATCAACACTGCAGGAGCAAGCATTAACTAAGTAACTTATCCAGCCGAAAACAAATGCCTCCAAGCAATTCAGTGGGCCAGTAGCAACATCATCTAATGAAAATGGAACAAGAAAAACAACCAGTAAAGCTGAACACAAATTTCAATTGTTTAAGAAAATACATCCAGATCTGCTGTCATTCATCTATTTAATTAATATTGATAATTTGTTATCTTCTACTGTCTGCTCATTGTTGCACAAAGTTCATACTTAAACGGAGTAACATATTAGAGCCAAATGAACTTACAAGGCCCAAAACTAGACAGTACCCAAACATACCGGACCTAATTTGATATTGATTGACACATCATAATAAGCTAGTTGGAGATAGACCCGAAGATAACTCAGGCCAACCTTATCATCACCTAAATCGATCCCAGTCCAATGAATAGAATGTACTTCTAAGGCTCTAGCTAAAAGATCTTTCTTTCTATCAGATACAGGTGACACATATACATAAATCATACTTGAAACATGCGACAGAGAAATATGTAGACAGACTAGATCCAATGGAAAGAACACATGGGAATTGACTAGAGGACCTTTAGAGTAGCAATTTACCCCCTCTACCTTCTGATGACCACTTTAATAAAAAATTCTACCAACAAACAGATACACACATAGTAGCCTCTCTCCATATTGTATGCCACCAACTCAAAATGACATCAACTCAATGAACACACCTTGACAAAAGAATAGCAAGACTTACTATACTAAAACATGGCAAAAAATGTAGATTGGCTTAAACAAAACTGGTGAAATCTACATGGAGCCAAAGATGGAGTATGACCAATTAAAATTTTTCTTCCAAAAATCCAAGTCAATAGGAGTGTGTCACTGCTACTACATAAAGATTTAGGGAAAAAAATTGTCACTTTAACTAACTAGCATCGACAAGCTTTTAAACTCCTACATTTAAAAGATAACCGACCAATACCCCATAATTCTATAAAATCTTGTAGTGATGCAATTTGATACTACTTGATTAACTTACCTAGGGACTATGGATAATTGACTAGTAAGCCACATCTTACCAGGATCATAGGCCAGATGCACAAATTGCCACGTTTTCGGTTTACTCATTTGACGTTCGTTACTCGATTTTTCTACCACCACAATTTCCTTGTGATTTCATTTCATGCCATTTTGTTTTTTTATTTTACATCACATAAATCTCTTCTTTTATTTATTTTTTCCAAAATTTGCTATTTGGGCCAATCCCCATTTTAAGTGTGAGGATTCACTCTATACTTTTTTGTAACACTGTTATTAAAATATACTGATTATGATAATAAAAACGAGTATAAACAAAATTCGTTGGTTACTTCACAAATGAGCTAGCTAAATCTCCAAAATCAAACAATCAGATGAACACCAAGCTAATTAATTAAATAAACAAGAATTACCAGAATATACTTGAGATTAGCAGTGCTAATATCCTCTTTAGTTTCATTAGTCGAAAACAATCCCAATCTACTAATCATATCCTCGCATTTCTCCAACATTTCACATCCCTTTCGTATACTCTCCTGAAAATCAACCCTAACATCAATTAAATTCCACATTAAAAATAAACAAATTAGGGTTAATCAAAAACAAAATAGCAGAAATTTTCAAATCAAAAAAAAAAAAAAAAACCTGATCAACGGTTGAATCAGAAGCCAACTGATGAATCTTACGAGCTTGATCGAATAGAGAAGGTAAACTCATCTCAGAAATATTCAATTCCCCCATTTCTGAATTGAGGAGATAGAAAGCGCGCGAAAATCAGGTCGAGATTTAAGAAATTAGGGTTTTTTCTAGGTGAATTAGGGAGGTAATTGGGGAAGAAGTTCTGGAGAGTAAAAGAGCTGGAATTATTTTGGAGGAGAGAGAAAATTAGTGGGAAGGGCTAGAATCCTGTACATCACGTCGTATGATAGAGGTAACTATTCTCTGATTATGGGCCTTACGATCGTGTTTTGCTTAATGGGCTAGAATCCATAATGTTAAAGAAAATAGACAGGCATATACTGAGGTGCACACTTTACTATAATTCCGAGTCACTTACTTAGGCCTAAGAAAATAGGCGTTAGTATAGATTGAATACTAGTGTAATATATTAAAGGCGTTTATAAAAAATGTACGGTATATGTGTTACGCAAATCCTTTGAAAGTATGCCACGTCATTACTTAATTAACCTTAATTGTTGTGCCACGTCGCCCAAGAAACCCACATTATTTCATATAAAAACTAGTTTTTGGGTCCGGGCGATGCCCCGCGTTATTACTTAGGGTTGATCATTAATATACATAGTAATTTATAACTCAATTAAATTTGTTATTCATATTGAATTGTCATTTGTTGCATAAAAATATTTTGTATTCAAAAGAATACATAAAAAATAACTTAGATTGGTGGTAAAACACTTAGTTTTAGATTTAGAGGTTGCGTGTTCAAATCTTGGCGTAATGATTAGTTGAGTTGGTGACGTGGTGTAGTGATGGTAGTTTACGTGACACGTAGACGTTTTTATAAACGCCTTTTAATATATTAGTATAGAAATAAGATTAAGGGGATTCAAACACCCAACCATTTATAATGAAGTTGGCTATTTAACCATCTTACCTCGTTATCATGCATATAATAAATGTGAAAAAAAAATATAAATAAGTGTTAACTACATGATTTAATTATTATTTTTTTAATGTTGATTTCAGATTTCAAAATTCTTTTAATTTAAAAAAAAATAAAACCCCAAGTACACGATTACAAAAGTAGTAACTACCCGAGGCAACACCTAAAGAGGCTAAACCATCAACTTCATCCCTTAATACAAAGCCTCTTTCTCTTTTTTGGGATATAATTTACAACAAACGGTCTAACAAACCTTATCGAGAGCAAATCCAAGTTGATCCCTCTGATTATCTTGATTAATATACCTGAAAGACCACAATTTATACTTTTGACCAACCTTAATTTCATTCCTCTCCACCACTTGCATCCAATCCTTAACGAGAACATAAAACACTTCCCAATATTTGAATTTTAAATTGCTAATAATGTGTTTATCCTTTCCCGTGTTGGCGCATTTCACTAGTGTAGGTTCAATCAACACCACATCCATAGTCCGTCTTATAGCCCGATCCGATTTATCATAGCCTATAATTTTCTTCAAGTAATCCTCTTCATGTTTGTGTAGAAAATCCTTGGATTCAATTGAATTGAATGGAATACTTAACCTTGCTTGATTTTGTCGTGTATCACTCTTATATATATATTTTTCTTTTAACACTATCTTCAACTCTGATCCTCTCAGTTTACTTATTTCTCTCATCAACGACAACGGGGGTAACTCATTGTCACGTTGCGAAATTGACAAAGACGATGAAGATGGTGATCCAATATCATCACTAACCTTTGTTTTGTCATCATTATTATGGTGCAACTTTCCCTCGAAAGAAAGCTTTGCCAATTCATGGAATATGATGTCTTGCAACATTGAGTGTTTTTTTGTACCAAATGAATTATTGTTGGTATGATTAGATCCCAATAATAACTTGTTTTCAGAACTTTGCTTTATTTTCTTCTTCTTGAAGATGTCTTCTTTCATGATAGCTAAGAGCTCAGCTCGTGATTTCGTTTTCGAGAGCTTTTTTAATTTATCGGCGTATAAATCCCATTCATGCATTACATTTTGGGCCGAATTTCTTGTTGCAGGTGTTAGATAATCTGTTTTATGATCTATAAAAAGAAATTAAAAAAATATATAAATAAATTATAATTATGACTTAGGTTAAACAAATTTTATGATTAAAAAAAAATAATAATAAGCATTGCATCAAATCAAAGTTGACAACTAGTAACACTCAAAAGTCTCATACCCTTGCCAAAAACTGAAAAATCGGGCGATATCTATTCATATGTTATTTTTTCAGATTTTATTTTTACACTTTACTCCACAATATTGAATTTCAGAAAAAAAAAAAAAAAAAATCAGCAAATCAGTTTTCTAATGTCGAGAAGATTAAAAATCATAAAATTACCAATAAATTTCATTTTATTTTTTATTTATTTAAATTTAAAATCAGATACTTTTTTTTTTTAATAGCAAAAATATTTCATTAATTAAAAGTCATACGACATGTACAACAGAGATTAGACGTTAACAATTACATAAGATACTTTGGAAACCTAAATAAACGTTAAATTATTCTACTATTCAAATGAAAAAAAAAAACCTTTAAATTTTGGAATTAAAATCTTCAAAAACTCAGTTGGTCTTATAAATTGTAAATGACTACAAATTATAAATCTTTTAACAAATTCTTGATTAAGGCAAGACTAACATTAATGTATTGTAAAACAAATTAAAGTTACTCTAAAAGTATTTTAAGTTGTTTCGAAAAAATAAATAAATTGTATTTTAGGTTACTACTACTATGTTATATATTCTATGATAAAGAAAGTTGAAGTAAGTTTACCTTCATCCATTGTAGAATCCTCCATAGTATTAGTACTCGGAATCCTTTTGGTTTCGGCAATCATACTTGTATTGATTGCCATGTCTATTTTCCTCTCTTTTCGTTTAATTGTTAAAACAACCACTGTTTCTTCAATTGTGTATATTGAATGATTGAGCAAATATTTATAAGCGAGATGAGTGAAGTCGATAAAGAAATTCCCCAAAATATGATAATTGTTTTCCTAAAATATGATTAGATATCAGGAATATTATCTAAGCTAAGAGTTCTTCTTAGACTCAAACTATGTTTCCTTATACGTAGTATTGATCTTTGTTGCAAAAATAAGATGATATCTTTTGGACACTTTTTTGTTAAATACAGTTGTTTACTTGGAGACTTGACTTTCCTTGTAAAGTACAAACTACAAAGTACTAATCTGAATATTAGTAGAATTTTATCATACGTATTTTTGCAAGACATAAATAGAGAAAAATAAAAAAATAAAAAAAATTGAGAATTTAAATTTTATTCTGGTGTACATAAAACATAGTCTTTTCAAAAAATCAGAGGATAGCAAATCAAATTTGACTAAACATACACGTGGCACTTATCCATTAAAAGAACACGTGGATTTTCATCAGAAAGTGGTACACCGTCCCACACCTAATAAAAACCCTTTCCTTTTCCTACGTGGAGTAGTGTTTATAAATATATCATCTATTTCCAGCTTTTTCTTCACCAATTTATTTCTGGAAAACAAAATTTCATCTTTATTTTTTTTTTGAAAGAAATTTCATCTTTATTTAATCCACAAAAAATAAAAATAAAATCCTCACACAAAAAAGAATTTTATTAACAACACCAAAACGATGCCGTATTGCAATGTTTCTGGTGAACAACCCGCCGGTAAAAATGGGGCCCGAATATTTTATCGAACTTACGGGAGTGGACCTGTAAAAGTTCTTCTTATAATTGGTAATTTAATTTGATAATAACAATTTTTTTGATGAATTTGAGATGGGTAATTTGTTTAATTTTTCTGGGTATTTGTTGAATTTTGATGATTTTGGATGATCAGGTTTAGCTGGGACACATGATTCATGGGGTCCTCAAATCAAAGCGTTGGCAGGGACTGATGTACCCAATGATGAGAAATCAACGGTGGATGATGAGGGTGTAGGAAATGGGAGTATGGAGGTTTGTGCATTTGATAATCGGGGAATGGGTCGGAGCTTTGCTCCAATCAAAAGATCCGAGTATACGTAAGTTTTATACTACGAGTAGTATTCATTTTCATAATTTATTCATATGCATTGTTTTAATTTTCGTGAAATTTGTGTAATTTGAATAATGTTTCTATTTTTAGTTGAATTGTGTTGATTTATGAGATGATCACAAATTGTGAAATTGTGCTTATTTTGACTTTTCTTTGTCGGATTCTCTTAATTAAAAGAGCATGAATCATGTGAACTTTTATTCTTTACTTGTTTGTACATTTTTTCTTTTGGAGGGGTTACTTGTTTGGACTTAATGGATGTTAATGAATTGTTTGTTATTATTGGTGATTTGCTTATTTAATTTAACTAAACTAGGAGGCGCAAAGTGTGATTAATGTAGACGGGATTCAATCTTACACTTCACTCAGCTCTCAAGATAGTCAAGAAGTAAGTTGTGTAAAACTTGTTTGAACAATTGAACTATTGATAGCACTCCAGCGTTAATGGTTGGTTGGTATGCATCAATTAGGCAAATTTGCTTGTGATTACAAATGTGTGGCATTGAAAAATTCAAATAAAAAAATTATTTTTTTTGTCTATCTTACTAATTCTTCTTGGATGTTTTGGTATGTTTGAAATTATGAAAATATCTACCCGATTCCCACTTTCCTTTTTGGTATGGAGTATATATATAGCATGTGATTTTTGAATTGGTAAATTTTGTGTTGACCTTTACTTGCAACATGGGAGTTGAAACTCATACTTTTGACATCGGTGTGTGTTGAACTAGTCAGGAAGGAATGCTATGTTGATGAATTAAGCTTATGCAAGTTGTCAAAACTTGAATGAGTTTGTTGATTGTATCTACCCTGATAAGTTGATTGTTGGGGTTTTGAAGTTTTTTTATATCTTTTCATGAACTTTTCTGTGTTGTTGATGTTTGACATGATTTATTCTTTGACTAAATATTGTTTTTTATGAACTTTTTGGTCTTATTGATGTTGGACATTGTATTATTTTTATTTGGAACAGAACAACGATTATGGCAAAGGATGCGATAGCTGTAATGGATCATTTGGGTTGGAAGAAAGCACATGTTTTTGGGCATTCAATGGGTGAGTTCATGACTTCCCGAGGAATGTTTGTTGCCATTGAATCATAATTTTGCGCCGCTTTGACACCTTTGTTTTGCTACAGGTGGTATGATAGCTTGCAAGTTTTCAGCTTTAGTACCCGATAGAGTTTCATCCTTGGCTTTACTTAATGTTACTGGAGGAGGATTTCAATGTTTGCCAAAGGTATGGACTGGCGCAGTTTTCACCTTGCAAGTATTTGGTTGTCTTTATCCTCGTGATATGCAATGCTTATTTAATTGTTATTCTGAACATAGTTATCTCTAACAGATCATTATTCTGTAGTATGATTTGTGTTTATAGCTTTCAGTCCTGCACAATTTTTGAATGATTTCCTTCAAATTGTTTGGTACATTTAATCAGTGTGATGTAAACTGGTGTCAATTAGTTGAGTATTATGGTCAACTTTATACGATTTCTTCTTTGTAAAAGTGAAAAATGATACGGAGTAGCATCTAGGAAGTAATGAAGTATGGCTCTCCTAGTCGGCTAGTCCATGATTTCACATTGATAGCTACCTTTTGAAAGGATGAGTCTGAATATATAAAGGCCAGTGGGCCTCCTGTTTATTACGATTCTTCCAAGAAACCATTGTTTGTTTGCTTTATTCAAGGTTAGCATCGCAACATTTGTTCCCTAATTTGCTTGGCCCTGAACTATGAACAGGCTTTTCTAAGGATGGACGATACTTCTTGGAAGGTTTATCAGCTGTGTTTAATGCGTAAATTGTGTACTTTTGTTTAACTTTTATGTGTGGAAAGGCTTGAAGTTGTCTAAATTAACTATTGTAGAAAACACGTGTCTGATGTATGGTGCTTGATGATGGAGCCAGTGTATCTGAGCTTTATTCTAGAACATCTTTTCTGAAATATATTTATTCTCTGGAATGTGGCTAGAACCAGAGACGACTGAATATAATAGACCTCCTTGTTAACCTCTGAACTGAGTGGACTCTGATACTGGGGGTAATGTGCGGAAGATTCTATAATTCTGCAAGACAACCTTGTTTCTCATCTTGTACTGTGAACAGACAACAACAATAACAATAAGATGTTTTACAATTTTTGTAATTCTTAAAAGTGATACATAGGGACTAGATGGACTGGTACAAGAAGTCATTAATGTTTCTATAGAAATCTAAACAATACATGAAGTTTGAATACGTATTCTAATGACCCTGTTGCTTCTCAATTTCAGCTTGACCGGTTAACTGTATCAGTTGCAGTGCGGTTCTTGATGGCCAAGACACCAGAAGAAAGGGCTGCTGTGGACTTGGACACACATTACAGCCAGGTAAAAATATACTCCGTATCTCTTGTTTTATTATGCTGCAAATTTAGATCAATGTTGTCAGCAAGACACCAAGTAAATGCTTCAGCTTCCTACTCCTGTTGCATACCTGCCAATCCACCAATTGTCCATAATTATGTGTAAAAGTGATGACAAATTCTCATTAGCTAATGTATTATGGATTACAGGACTATCTCAAAGAGTGTGTTGGAGAGAGTACAAGACGAGCAATTTTATACAAGGTTAGCATTTCATAAACTATTACATCTTACTGTATGTATTGGTGGACTTGTTTGAATGTAATGTTGTGGAAGTGCTTCAGAGATTATTCACTAAAGTTTCTGTTATCATGCTTTTATGTTTAGAATCGGATGTTTACGATATAAGTTGTTTGCTTTTCACTGAATGCAGGAATATGTCAAAGGTATATCAAAAACTGGAATGCAGGCCAATCATGGTTTTGAAGGTCAGATCAATGCTTGTTGGACACATAAGTTGACCAGAGCAGAAATTGAACAAATTCGTTCTGCTGGTTTCCTCATCTCTGTCATTCACGGAAGACATGACATCATAGCTCAAATTAGTCACGCTAAACGACTTGCGGAGAAGTTTCATCCTTTTGCCAGAATGGTGGATCTACACGGAGGGCATCTAGTGAGCCATGAGAAAACAAACGAGGTAGGGATGTTTTTACGACATTTTAAAGCGTGGGTTTTGTTTATGTCGACAACTTATAACATATGGATATGGATGCCAAATGCACATCCAATTTGTTTTGCAAGTTTTCTGACATACGTATTTCTGTCTTAGGTTAACGAAGCACTTCTTGATTTAATTAGAGCATCAGAATGCAAGACAAGCCCATATGATTGGACAAATTTGCCTGATAAGACAAGCTCAGGTATGCTCTCACCAACACTTCAAGCTCCCGATATCGGTTTTGCTCCCTTCTCTTGTATCTTGAGGTGCTACAAACTTTAACATTATACTTTGTGCCCCTCTATAGGGAAGGAGCTGCTATATTCATGTTTTTCCTTCCTTTTCAGATTGGATACCATTGATGATGCTGAGCACTACAAAATCAGCCACAAGAAGCAGCCTATCATCCATGTATAGAGTATTGGAAAGATTGAACGGCTACTTGATATATCTCTTCGGTGTCTTTGTGCTTTTGTACGAGTATGTACGAAGAGCAGTGGGAAGATTCAAGCCTGTAAGGATCGGGGCTACTCTCACATGACCCAATTCATAAGATCGTTGCTCGTCTCTATAGTCATCGGGATTGAGCCTTTAAGAATACCAACAAATGGGTGCACGATTTTGATTCTGTGCAACGAAATTTTACTAGCAACGATTGCAAATGTATAGTATATTAAAAAAAAAAAAAAAAGACGGATGAGAGGAAGTGTTTTTGTCCCCTTTCCTTGCTATTGTGAGGCCTTGTATTACCAGCAGCCCTAGCATAAAATGAGGGGAGATCCCAGTTGATAATTGTAACATGTATAATTTGATCATAATTGTGAATTGAATAATTATATTGAAATATACTTTTATTCTTCTATTTATCTAGATGGCTATGGTATTAATCAAAAACTCGAATTTAGTAACGAGTGATTGCTACTAAACCTAACGAGACCAAAGAACAGAGGAGGGGCTAGTTATGCTTGCGAAAGAGCCGAAAGGCTCATCATCCCACATTTGTGATACGGGGATTCCTTACTTTCACTCTTTCCTCTTCCTTTTCTATTATGAATGCCTTTCCTCATATTCCTACAAAGTAAGGATTTAATACGGGGGACTCTTCATAACTGCAATTTATGTCTTACACAACTGCAGTTTATGTCTTACACTCAGGTGTACGGTGTATCTACAAATAGCTCGTGTACATGCCATATTACCATGCTCTACCTATATGGCTATGTGCCTATGTGTACGGTTACTTGAGATTTTAATGGACTCATTGTCAGCTATTACATACTACAGTACATATTTTGGGAACTGCCAAGCTTGTCTTGGTAATTCAAATTGTACCTGGATTTGTACCAGACTAGGAAATCCATATTAGTTATAAGTAAATTAAATTACTAGCTAATTCTACAATCGACATCTTTTAGGAAAATGAATCAAATACGTGCAACATACTCTTATCATCTTTTACTAGTGTGAAGTACTTGAATTAAATTAATTTAAAAATGACTGATTTGAGGTTAATTTTGTAGATCAACAATTAGCAATACTTGTATAATACTTGGCATTATCCAAGTCAGTAAGTTATCTCTACATTTCATCAATATAATAAATTAATAATCCTTCCATTATCTAATTTTCTACCCTTCATGACTGTAAAAAAATTTATTCAAAAATAGTAAGCTAAGACATTAGACTGTCATCAAACAAAAATTTATTGTTATAAAAATATAAACCATAATCAATACTTGTATAAGCCTTTATAAATAAAAAAAAGATATGAATGAAGTACACTCAGGGGCGGACCCACCTTTAGTCATAGTGGGTCCGGTGACACAGTATTTTTTTTTAAAATAAAATATCAAAGAGACCCCTTATTATAGATAGGCGGTCTCTTTGATGATGCTAACATCAAAGAGACCTCTTACTAAGGTAGGCGATCTCTTTAATGCTGCTATTGCTACTTAAATATTAAAGAGACCTGTTATTTATATAAGAGGTCTCTTTGATGCTACTATTGCATTTTGCAATTTTTTTGCGCTACTTTCTGTTTTCATTAAAGAGACCAGTTATATTTAATAACTGGTCTCTTAAGTTATCTCACTTTTTTTTGTATAATTTTTTAATAATTTTTTTTTCCCTTTTTATATCTTATATTTGTACAACCGATTTTAATATTTCCCCATAAAGCTTATCAATTAACTAAAAAATCATAAAGTTAATTCAATATAATAATTTTATTGTACCATTTGTTTATAACATGTTATTTGTAGTATTTTCGACTTGTAAAATTGAATTCTTAAGTACTGTATTTGGTTGTGGTATGTATTTTTGTGTCCTATTTTTGGATTGAAATCAATTTGGTGAAATATGGAAAAAAAAAAATTGTACTTTCACAAATGATCAATAATTGATGGTGACACACTATCTCGGAAATCTTGGATCCGCCACTGAGTACACTATACGTCGATACTAACAATTTCAGGTTAAATAGTTATATAATTTCGTCGCAAAAGCCAAAAAAATCAACTCAAGCAAGATGTACGAGTATCGGAGTATATGCATATTCATAAAAATGAATCAAAATATGCAGAGGATTATATAATAAGCAACATGAAACATAATAAATCATGCATGCCAAAAAAAAAAAAAAAAAAAAAAAAAAAAAAAAAAAAAAAAAAAAAAAAGGTTACCTCAAATTTGTTTATACGTTGATTCTGAGGAAGAACTAAGTACAACCTACAAATAGAGTTATTATTATGAAAGTTATTGAAGATGAGAAATAGAGAAAAATTTCATGCAGAAGTGATTAGAATGAAGGGGAGATAGAAAGAGAGAAAACAAAACAGGGGATTTGAAGGTGTCAAGTCTGTTAACATAATTTTAGGCCAAGGTATCATGGTTATTATTTTAGATGCTATGAGAATATACGGATATGCTATTTTATATGCCTTTTTTTATCCTCAAGAAATTTAAAGTATTTTTATGGTGCTACGTTTGTGTCGCTCTTATATATGAGGGGACCTTAAGTTTATCTTCTTGTTAAAAAAAAAAAGTTTATCTTGTATGTGAACGATTCTTATATATAATTAATTAATTATACTACTAGGTCATAAGAATTTAGAACATATGCTAATCTTTAAAAAATGAAAATTAAACTTTTGAACCCTTTTTCTTGGAATTATATTAGATTTACGATGATTTTTTAGTGTTAGTGAGATAGGTGATATTCCGGACTTATTATTAATTTTATTAAGAGGAAACACACAAATACACAATAGATGCTTAGTGTGAATTGGTCATGATGATGAAAAGATGACTTATGTATTCTAAGTTTCTAACACAACTCTCTAACACCATCATACCAACTTCTAAATAAGTGAAGACAAAAATGCACTGAAATTGAGAGAAAACAGAGAAAATAATGATGTTTAGGTTTGCTCATTCTGCCGTTTTTTCATTCATTCATTCTGAGCCAAAAAAACAGCCCACCAACTTACATAAATATGTGAGGCTCACCCACTTACAGAATGACACCACACTACAAGGAACTTTCCTAGAAATATTCAAAATAACAGCTGTAAATACAGGCAAAAAAGACAAGAAAAGGACAACAGTAAAATATTCTTATATCAGCAGAATTGAGCATCCTCCTTTAACACTCCCCTTCAAGCTGAGAGGAAGATGTCTGAACTCCAAGCTTGCTTAGTAACTGAGAGTATTGATCTGTAGATACCACCTTAGTGAAAATATCTGCTATCTAATTTGCAGATTTGATGTACTTGGGAATAACAGTACCATCAACCACCTTTTCTCTGATGAAATGACAGTCCACCTCCACATGCTTTGTTCTTTCATGCTGAACAGGATTAGCTGCTATAGCCAGGGCAGCTTGGTTGTCACAAAAAAGTGGAGTGCTTCCAAGAGACTTTAGTCCAAGATCCTTCAATAGCTGTTTAATCCACATAACTTCACAGATTGTCAAAGCCATTGACCTATATTCAGCTTCTGCAATAGATTTAGCAACCACCTGCTGTTTCTTTGCTTTCCAAGAGATAGGAGAGGCTCCAAGTAAGATACAGAAACCAGAAGTAGACCTCCTTGTAATAGGGCATCCAGCCCAGTCACTGTCACAATAAGCTTCCGGTCTTACACTTGAGTCAGCTGCCAGAAGAATACCTTGGTTTTTTGTGCCAGACAGATACCTTAGCACCCTAAGAGCAGCCTGATAATGAGCAGAAGAAGGAGCATGCATAAATTGACTCAAGGTATGAATAGTGAAAGCAATATCTGGCCTGGTGATGGTAAGATAGATAAGTTTCCCTATCAATCTTTGATACTTCTCAGGGTGTGAAAGAGGAGTGCCAGAGCTATGAGTGAGCTTGACATGAGTATCCATAGGAAGTCTCAGAGGCTTGCATCCTGTTAGATTATATTCATGGAGAATGTCCATGATGTATTTCCTTTGTGATAGAAATATTCCTGCTTCTGTTCTATCAGCTTCAATTCCAAGGAAATACCTAAGATCACCCATGTCTTTCATCTTGAACTGACTTTTCAAGTATTCCTTGGCTTCTGAGATCAATTCCACATTGCTTCCAGTGATGATGAGATCATCCACATAGACAAGTATTGCAGTAAATCCCTTCTCACTTTTCTGTGTAAATAAGGAATAATCAGCTTTGGATTGATTATATCCCTTCCCTGTAAGAGCAGAGCTTAGCTTAGCATACCACTGTCTTGGTGCTTGCTTTAGCCCATATAGAGATTTATTCAGTTTGCACACTTTTCCAGATTGACTAGCAGCATTCTCTCCAAGAAATTCCTTTCCAAATCTGAACCCCTTTCCAAGATAACCTTGTGGTAGCTTCATGTAGATTGTCTCTTTCAAGTCTCCATGAAGGAAGACATTTTTTACATCCATTTGTTGTACATCCCATCCTTTCATAGCTGCAACAGCCAATAGAGATCTTACAGTAGACATTTTTGCCACAGGTGCAAAATCTCTGTATAGTCTACACCTTCTTTCTGCCTATTTCCAAGCACAACCAGCCTTGATTTGTGTCTCTCAACCATTCCTGTCTTGGGGTTGTATATTGTGATGTAGAGCCATTTGCATCCAATTGCATGTTTTCCAAGTGGCAACTCTGTGATTTCCCAAGTATTATTTCCTTCAAGAGCCTCCAATTCATACTGCAGTACACATCACCAACTTACATAAATATGTGAGGCTCACCCACTTACAGAATGACACCACACTACAAGGAACTTTCCTAGAAACATTCAAAATAACAGCTGTAAATACAGGCAAAAAAGACAAGAAAAGGACAACAGTAAAATATTCTTATATCAGCAGAATTGAGCATCCTCCTTTAACAATAAGACATTTGTTCTTTTTTTTTTCTTTTAATTTTTTTTGTTTTTAACATAATCTTTCTAATGAAGTCAGACTAGACTCATTAGTCAACACTACTCCTAACAATCACTCTTATAAAAAACATTACCACCAACTCACCAAGCATTAAATTCAAGTATACCTCTAACACCTTTGCCTGTTTACCACCATGCCATCACCACAGACCCTTATAAACGAACCCACCCATCATTCTACTCGCTATGAGATACATAAGTGATTGATTGTAAGCACACCAAAACTAACTGGTCACGAAAACCTAGCTTATACACACATACAGTTCTAGAACCATATAGTCCTATTCCTAGTGCTTTGGTCATGGTCCCTGGAATAGTCAGGGAGCATGGACTGTAAGGTCCATTATGTTAGTCCGATCAGCAGTCATGAAACCTTAACAAAGAGAATGATATTCAAGTTGGGTTGAAAGTGTGCATGCTTTAAAAAGGTAATATACTAGTGCGTGTCATTAACTAATCTTGCATTTCGGTAATTTTGTTATTGCATTTGAAACTCGTGTACTTGTAAAACATTTGTGCCGAAATGAAACTTAATTTATCAAAGTAGACTCTGGTAATGGGGTTAGGTTATTCAATTCCAAGTACAAACTACAAAGTATGTTTTTAGCTCAAAATCACTACTTAAACATTTACTTTGTCGCATCTCAGTTAATTTTCCTCTTATTTCACATTTATCACCCAAGTACGTGAGTAATCTACTACCCCCGTTTCTTATTATTTGCAACGACTTGATACAAAATAGAGAGAAAAGATGTCTAATCGTTATAATTAATATGAAATGGAGGTAGCATATACATATTCCGTATTCATTTCATACCCGCTCTTGTGCAACATACTCCGTATCTTTTACCTGTAATCGACTAAAATAAATTAGCAGTGTAATTTTCATTCTTTAATCTGAGCCCTTCATTGACCAGCCTCCACACTTCCAATTTCACACTGCTTTTCTCCCTTCAAAATCTCCCACCCATCTTTACATCTTCTTTCTTCAATCTTTAATTTCAATTTAATTGATTTCTTCCTTTCATACTCAATTAGCTGCTTCAATTAATTCTCAAACGACCCTTCACTCAACTTTTAATTTACAGTTTGATCTTGGGTTTTGCGTGCTCGTCTTCAACCCCAACAAATTTATCAATGGAAGCACAAACCCTCTCTTCTCCATGGCAGTTCACCTGGTCAGTCTTCCTTCCTTTCTTTCTTTATTAAATTGATTTTTTTTTTCTTGCTATCATGAGTAAAATCGTAATATTCAATTTATTTAACTATTATATCTTGTAATTTTTGATAGTGTGTGTATGTAACAATTTATTGTGTTTTTTTTTAATTTGTGGAAGTTGTGGGAAGAATTTGAGCTATTATGAAAGGTGCGCCCCAAATTACATGAATTGAAATGGGGTTTTGTAATTACGTTTCTAGATTGCATAAAGATTGAAGCTTTGAATAATTAAAAGGGGGAAAATAGAATAAGGAAATTCTGTCGTTTTTAAAAGGGGGTTAATTGTGCTTCTTGTATGAAATGGGTTTGAGAAACACCGATTTTGAAAGTGTTCAATAGAAACTGGAACTAGGTTTAGGTTATTGGAGCAGGATGCTTCCTAAACTGCTTTGTAGCTAAGGTGTTGAGTGATTGTAGCCCAGAAAGATCGAAATTAAGGAGCGACATTTGTAGATTGAACTTCAAAGATGTAACAATTATGTTTCAATTCGGGTTATTGGACGACTATAGCATGTTTTGAGCTGGGGCTCGTACGAGTACGAATTCTCCATCCCCTGACCATGCCTGCTATAAGTATATGTTTATGCATTGTATACTAGTAAAGGAATTTGACTCTTTGTAAGAGTAGGAGTCATTGTATATAATTGCACCAATTTAGTAGTTTTTGAAAGATTTGTTCAGTAAAGTCCATGATTTTGGCTTGATTTTCCTCTAAAGTGCATTTTGGATGTAAGTTGTTTTTGAAATAAGAATGAACCTGGTCTAGCCATCTTTGGCCACTAAATGATCTTAGTGGGCATGTGGAAGTATGCGTAATTGAATCCTAGAATCAAATTGTTAATAGCATTAATTTGATGAATGTATGCGCTGGTGTATCAAGGCTGTTAAACCATGAAGCATTTGTGGTGTAGTCTACAAAATCAGTGCAGGAAAGCCTTTATGGCATTGTTTAGGAAAATGGTCTAGGCATCATTAAAAAGATTCTTATGAAAAGTATTGAAAATTTTGTGATAGCTTGACAAAATCTTGCTATTAGTTGCTGTTGAAATACTTGTGCAACAAGGTCTGTGCTTTGGGCAATGGCTTGAGTAATCAGTTCAATCTGAACTTTGAAGGGGCTTTAATGAGGCTTATATAGCTTCTGTGTTTTCAAATGTTACTTAAGTTGTTTTGTGGTGTTTAAGTCATTGCTTCAGGTTTCCACTTCGGTATGATGAAATTCATGAAATGTCATCTTCCTCTTAGTTTTATAACAAGACATCAATTTGTCGACCTTTTGTGCAGTGACTTAGAAGTAAATTTTGAATCAGATGAGAAGGCGTACATTGTGTATGCAGCTCTAAATGTTGATAAAGAGGTGAGTCTTTTTGGTGCTTAAACCATCATAAAAATAATTCTCAAATGTTTCCTTAAATTTTATGTTAATTCAGGCATATCTTTCAGTTGCAACCAGATAAAGTAAAGAGGGTGCTGTCAGTTTCCAATGGAAAGCTTGTAGCGTGAGTTTCTTTCCGAGTAAAAAATGAGTTTTCCCTTCATCTTTTGTGTTTGCTTTGAGAAACCTAAAAAAGGGATAATTTCTTCTGGTTTCGGTTAGTGTTTCAAACATATTTTACCCTATGTTGCTTGTTTAATTGTGAATCTCAGTCTTTCATCACTCTTACCAGCATAACATTTTCAATCATTGACTGAAGTCACTGAAGAGCATGTGCTACTTAATATTTAATTCGTTTTTCTTTTCGTCTTTGTTCTAATGACTTGTCTGCACTTTCTCATCATTTCTTTATCCTATCATTTTTACAGGCATTTCGAAGCAGTAGAAGCTAGATTTCTTCGTGCATCGTTCAGTGCTTTTGTGGATGTTCTGACTCTTGCAACGAGAACTATCGAGGAATTCAGTCCAGAAAAGGGAATTTGAGACCTGGACTTTAGGTTAGAAACTATGATCTTATTTATCCAGACTCATGTTGCTCGAAATCATTTTCAATCATTGATGGCCCTTATACAACCAGTTGCTTTACCAGAAGTGGGCTGTCTTGAGAAGATGCTGTACTCAGCTACTTAGTATAATTGATTGTGTATACAAGCATGCTCTCATGATATAGCTTGTAGTTCATTCTATTTTTTAAAAAAATAAAAAGTTTGTAATTCTTCAGAGCCACTTAGCTAGTACTAAATCTAATTTGAAGAAAAAAAAACAGGGTGTTAACTTGAAGGTTATTTTATCTCCTGTATGCATGTACTCGATTTTTTCTTCATCAACCTCGCTGTTGCTGTGTTAATTATTGTTTTATTGAAAATGAGATTCATTTTGTTCATGGTTGTGAAAATTCAGCAGATGATCTTGCAGATAAGATATGATATGATCCTTTTGATTAGTCTTGAATATTCTCCGTAATATATTTCAGCAGTTAGGAGTACTACTCAAGACATATGTAAAATGTAATCAGTGATTGAATAACCTTGAAAACAAACTTCTTGGAAGTCTACGTTGACTTGGAATGTTGAACAACAAGAATCGTATTACTGCTTGGATTTCATCATAGTTATCTACACTTTGTGTCTTTTTGCTAGCTACTGACTCCTTTTTAGTAAGCATTTTTCTGATATACTGTCTAACGTCTGGCAACTTAGTAGTCGAGAACTCATGAATAATTAGCTCGTGGTTCGGGGCAAATGAATATCACCATGGCAGTTTCATCATATGTTCATCGAAAACTGGTGGATTAGCTTAAATGAATGAACAAAAATATACTTCATATAAGCCAAGAAAGAATATACAGTATCCTGTAGAAAGATGTCTTTATTGTAGATATGAATGTACATGACTACATAGTTTTGCCTGTTAGGGAATCCTTAACTCCAAAGAATTTAATTTGACAAGTGGTAATTATCGCTTTTTCTTGATTTGATTATATCGTAAATTACAGTAGTTATTGAATTGAGACTTTAACAAGGGGTGAAGGACCTTGTATTAGTACCGATAAAATTAATTAATACGAAGTACTGTAAGTCTGTAATACATATGATACATAGCAGCTGAATGATGGCTTTAGCACATCTCACATCTTATGTGGAACAAATTACAATTACTTTCCGGTGTAAATATTAGAATAAATAATAACTGCAAAATACTGCCCATGAACCATATTATGGAGCTTCTTTTCTGGGCAAATTCTCATAGTTTTATCAGTATTCATCCAAATAAGTAAATAATGTTTCATCTTTCTTTGACTTCCGTCTGCTGAGCAATGCCTTGAGCAGACGCTTACTTTTGCTGGGGTGTCGCTCAATTTCCTTTGGCTTCTCCTTCTCATCATGAACTCGCATAGAGACTGATTTCCATGACTCTGAAAGATACTGTTCATACCATACAAAGTTCCACAGATTCAGATAACAAGCACGATTGAAGTTAAAATGGATTTTAAGATGCTGGAAATTTCCACAATACCATACACATTTTGAATGCTTACCCGATGTCTTTCAACAGCAGAATTTGGAGTTGTTGGCCTACTGGATTTTGGTGTTGTTGGTCTTGAAGCAAGAGACCCAGAACGCAAAAGAGGAAACCGATGTGGTGAAACTGATCTTTTGTCTGATTATTGACAAAATTATCGTAATGAGAAGAAAACAATATGAAAAACTGAAAACCCATGTTACGAGTATAAAAAAATAAAAAAATAAAAAGGACGAAAAAGTTACAAAATATCTAAAGTAAAGACCTTGTTCTTTTTTGGGTGTGGAGCTGGTAAAAGAGAATGATCCAGGTAACCGGGATGGTCTAGGAGCAGGCGAAGTAGAGCGCCCTCTTCTGCTTAACATAGTACTCAAATTTAGTCAAATGATTAAAAAAAAAAAAATTAAATATATATATATATATATATATTTTAAAAAGGAAGAAGAAGAAGAAGAAAAAGCAGTACTAAGACAAGTCCAATGAACAAAAAAAAATCTTGGAAGAAAGATTTACCTGATAAAGGAGGATGGTGTCTCTCTAATAGAGGATGGTGTCTCTCTAATAGAGGATGGTGTCTCTCTTAATGAGGATGGCGTCTCTCTTAATGAGGATGGAGTCTCTCTAATTGTGGATGGTGACTCTTTTATTGTGGCTCTAATAGCTGAAATGAACAATTAAAGAGCAATAGGATGATTAACATTAGTAATAAAAAGGCAGCAACAGTTTGAACAAGAGTGAAACCTACCACTCCGGAATTGAAACCAGTCATCTTCATCTATGCCGCAACTTCTGTATTTCAAATTTGCAAGATTGCTGCTGTTCATGGTCTGACCAGCTGTTATAAATATAGCAAAGCAATATAAACATTAGAAAAACTATGTCATTGTAAGTATTGCATGAGGCAAATGTAAGGGAAAGTTATTCTGAAGTTCACAATCACAGACAAAGAGGATCGTGTTCTTGCCTGGTAAGACATATCTTTTATGGTATTTTGGCGTATCTGTAGTTGATGATTGCTGGGCCATGCCCTCCCTATCAATATACTCTTGGCATGTGCGTAATCTCTAAGACAAAGGACCATAAAAATGGAAGGGTTAGAGGCATGTTAAACTACCCCAACTACAGCAGAGAGGTTGTTCTGGTGAAAAACAGAAAAGACATTCAAATTGCAAGAGTTTTTATTGCCTTCACCAAATCCGAAGCCACAAAGACAAGTATTATTACTTTTGGGCCTTCTGCAAGTGTTCATTGACACAAAACAGGCGAACTGCTCCAAGTTTTAGATGGTCACTTATCTCTTTTAATCATCAATTAATTCAACATGTTTCAGGAAGTAAACAAATACAATACTATGCAAACATTAGGGTTATATAATTTTATACAAGTATATGATTTCCTGCTCATCACAAGCTTTACAGTGATAAAATTAAGGAGCCAGCAACATACATGTGTATGATGGGAAAACAAAAATTTACCTGTTCAATGCATGACACATGAAATTCTGTCTCGGAGGCTTCTTCAACTTTTTCTTCCAAAAGATCATTTACCTTATAAGTTACTGAACCTAAATGGTCTACCGTGTTCACCAAAGCTTTAATGGCATAATCCTTTAATGTATCAATAACTCTGCATGATAGGGCATAAAATAGCAAAAATTAGTGAAAAACTGTCAAAATTTAGACAAAGGTTTCCTCCAAATAATCAAACTGCTAGCGCCTTACAATTGCTTTTGATCGTCATTTGTGTAAGATAGTTCAAAGTACTCAGCCGCTGAATACAACTGAGTTCGCAAATTCTTCAAATCCTAATTACCAATAAAAAGAAAACACTAAAATGATTACAGTTATCCTACTGAACCTGGCAACATATCTTTGAAGTGTCTGGTAGCACACAAAGCAAGTTCCATTGCACAAAAGTAAGCAAGTACGAGGATTGAGGATAATACCTTAAGACTGTCAGCAAAGAGAAGACTTTGATGCATAGACGTCTCATCGTAGTTGGAAGTCCGATGATGTATAGGCCGAGTAGCGGCAGAACTTAGAGTCTCCATGGAGGAGAGCAATGAACTTCAGAATTCTTAATCCTGCAACAACCACCACCAATTGTTCAATCAATTGCCCAAACTAGATTACTAGTGAAGTTGAAGAATGAGAAGGAAATTCCAAATATATAGCTCCCTTAACTCCTGTGGTCCTCCCTCCACCCCCACGATATAGGAAAAAGAAAAAGAGAACATAAAATCGCTCTTGAAAACACCTTTCGCATTTTATCCTATAATTTATGTTCATTCAACTTCTGCAAAAGGAAAAAAAGCTACGAGTAGAGAAAAGTCGAAAACCCATTTGTGACCTAAAATTGACAGTTGTGCAAAACATTCTCGTTTGAATATCCAGTAGATGCAACAGCAAGAAGCCAAGAACAAAATAAAGAATTAAAGGAATAAGGAGATGGACATTAGGAAATGACTTTTTTATTACACCCACCCGGTAATCTACAATCTACTAAACTCCGACTAATCCGAATTCCATCCTGAGCATTCCCAAATGAGGGAATCATTTTTGTTTACAGAATAACTACAGAGTATCATAACAGGAGTGTTTAGAGTAAAATGATATCTAATCACTGATTTTCAGCAGGACATGTTGAAAAAGTAGTATTATACTAATAATTATCCATATTTCTGTACTACCCACAAAACAAAATCATAACTAAACTGTCATTTTACAGATTAAAAATAAATTAAACAGCACAATTTGTCTCTTCACTTTGTCTAAATCTTCAGCAATACTCACTTGTTAAAAGAGAAACAAAATGCCAAAAGTGTTTCCCTAAATCCTTAAAAACACCAAAAATTAAGATTTTCAGACATTAAAGAAGAAGAGGAGGAAAGAATATCCAACCTTCACCCAAAAAACATTAGAGGTACAAAATAATAATAAGCATTAAAATCAGAAAGACCCCACCTTTAAAAACTTTGCAATTAGCAATAACATTTCATAAAATCAATTTGTCACAGTCCATTTATGCAGTTCTCAGACTTCAACTATCATCTTCTTGATCTTATTACACAATAAAAACAATTTATTACCTTTATTTAATAATAAAGTTTTCAACAACAAAAACCATCAAATTAAATCATAATCCAGCCTACCCAACTCAATAAATTCAAATTCTAAACACTAATTCATCAAATTAAACCACAACTCAGCACACCCAACTCAATCAAACCACATTCCACCATACCCAGCTCAAGAAATTTCATACAATTAATTCCACAATTTAAACAATCACAGTAAATAAATTAAAAACTTCAAAATTTTAACAGTAAGAACAAGTCATTATAGAGAGGAGATCAAACCTTGATTATAGGATCCTGTGACCAAAATTACACCCAAAGTTTCAACCTTTTTTGCACCAAAATTTGGCAGCTGACTTGAAAATAGAAGCAAAGAAAACTCCCAAAAATCTAGGAAAAACCCAAGTGAAAAATCAAATAAAGGGTATATAATCAACAGAAAAAGACAGGTGAAATTAAAAGCAAGGTCTTTGTTTGGGTTTGGTATGGAAAAAATTAGGAAAACCCACTAAAGAAAATGACAAATTGAGAATGAAAAAATTGAAGAAGTGGAGTTGGAGTTGGAGGGTATTAGAGGGGAGCACGTCGGAAGCAGAAGAGCAGGAATTGGGTTGCTTTCTAGCATGGAATGCGGAGTGACTGGGGTTTTGAAATTGTACTAATTCTTTAATTTTGATTTTAATTTTATGAAATTATAAAATTATAAAATAAAGATTTGGGGGAGTTTAAGTGAGTATGAAAGTATCAATCATGATTATGGTTAAGGTGGGTCACTTTATTGTT